GGAAAAAAAAAAAATAAATAATGATTAAAAAAACAATAAACAATAATATAAGGAACTCTTTTTCTCATATGTATTTTGGTGACATTTATATTGTTAATACATTTTGGATACTGTGTTTAGTGCCTTTTTTCAGGTCAGAGCAACTGCCCTTCAAAATTCCTGTGCACGTCCCTGTCTACTCTATACCCTAGCACACACACCATTATCAAGAAGGCCCAGCAGAGGACGTACTTCCTGCGTCAGCTCAACCTGCCTAAGGACCTGCTGATCCAGTTCTACACAGCCATCATCCAGTCTGTTCTCTGCACCTCCATCACTGTCTGGTTTGGATCTGCCACCAAAAGGACAGGGACAGGCTACAACGGACAGTCAGGACTGCAGAAAAAATCAGCAGTGCCAACCTGCCCTCCATTCAGGACTTATACATTTCCAGAGTCAGGAAACGGGCAGGAAACATCACTGCCCGGACACAACCTGTTCCAGCTCCTCCCCTCTGGTAGGCGCTACAGAGCACTGTACGCCAAAACCAACAGACACAGAAGCAGTTTCGTCACATAAGCCATCACTCTGATGAACAGCTGATTTCTGACTCACAGTGTCAGGAACAATTCCTGTGCAATAACCCAGTAACTCTGTCTCTAATCAGTCACCTGTTTACTGGTTTCCACTTATTATTTATTTATTCACCATTCTCTATTTCAGTGCTGTTCATACTATGTCATATTGTATATACTGTATACCAATACACCTACCTCAGGTCATAAGGTCATAGGTCTTATTTATTTTTTCCAGCATCCTTTGCACTATGTTCCATCACGCTGTGTACATGTGTTCATGTATGTGTACCTTTATCATATCCACCTTCAACATGTACATAATGAGAATAATAGTTTACTCTTGCATCCTTTGCACTCTGATCACTGCACTATTTGTCAATATGTCTATATTGTTTTTTCATAGTGTGTATGTTAGTGTTGTCTATACTGTAGTTTGTGTCTGATTTTATTTTATTATTATTTTATTATTAATGTTATGGTATTTTTGTACGAGTAAGCACATCATGAGCAATGTCAAATTCCTTGTATGTGTACACATACCTGGCAATAAAGTGGATTCTGATTCTGATTCTGACATGGGTGAACATCACGAGCAGAAGGGGCTCGTGTTTATGGAAACAATAAATAAGTTGAGCTAACGTTAGCGTTTCAGTATGTTCCACAAAAAGTGCATTCTAGCACCAAGTTCACAGGCTAACATGCAAAATAAACAGATAAGCAAGATAAAAATACCGAATAACAGGTTCCACATTTGAAGTTGTTATTAACCTATCCTTGAGCTTCAGTTTTGAAGTGAATCCTGGTTTGTAATGTCACTGGTCCTCTAATGCACACATATCATTTTCCAGGAGTGAAGGAAATGGTGGAAATGGTAAAAAAGATAAAATGGTTAAAAAAATTTGCTAATTGGCCAAAAACGAAGTTCTGCGAATCTGCAACTTGATTGCTCTTCCTCAAGCACCAAGGTGTGTGTTTGAGCAAACTGAATTTGAATTTTGAGAACTGATTTTGAACTGTGAGAATTAAGTGTGAAAGTTTATAGAGAGCAGAATTTTCAGTGAGGATCAAATCCAGTTTCAGAGGAAATCAATGCAATTTCATAATATTACATTCAGTTTCAAGTTTACTGGAATTCCGTTCCAAACTAATACATTCAATCTCAAATTATGGTATGCAGATTAAACTTTTTAATGCAACTATTCAAGATGAGCAATTCAAATTCAAATCCAAATTATTCAAATTAAGTTTCTTATGACACAAATTTCTGCCCATTCTGAGCATCAATTTAAAAACATTTTTGGGTTCCCGGACATTCCAGCAGGAGGCTTCCTAAAAACTGATTGAATCATCTGTGGGAATCATCTGTTCAACAAGTAAACAAATTATGGACATGTCTCAACTACAGTGCATGGCAGTGCTCTGCAAAAGTGAGACTTACATGATCTGGAAATAGGTGTGATTTAAATGTTTTATGTCCCTTTTCTTTATTGTACTTTATGAAGATCAACACTGTCAGATTATTGGCTACAAAGAAGTGCAGCAAAGTTCACCGTCAACATGATCAGCTGTGACCGCAGTTTTACCTGCTGCCGTATAAAGCTTAGGTTTATAATGAGCCCAGTCAGACTTGCGAACTCCCCCTTGGACCTGAGGATCCTCTCTCCATTATTCATGAGTCCTCAGGTTGGACCCTGGGAACAAGCTGAGCGAGGCCCTGTGTCAATACGAAACACTGGCCGCCACAATGGGCTCTGCCTCCAACTACACTGTTGACAGACACCAACACAAAGGAGCTGAAAGGGGTCCCCCTCCGTTCTCACACACACTGAAGAATGAGTCAGTGTGCTGCCGCTCAGAGCTGTGTTTGTACAGTATATACAGCTTTTGTCCATGGCCACTGTTCTCCCATCAATGGGGGCTGAAGTGTTGATGAAAACCAAGAGGAAAAGACTTCTCTGTGGCTGCCAGCAAAAGTTCATATTCATTAGATGGGCTCTGCGCCTGCTGGATGGCACCTGTATGTACGTAGAAACCCCCCGGCAGACACAACAACAAGTAATTGGCTTATTGGAAGGGTAAACAGCATTTCATGATATATCACAGCCCTCCCACTTTGACTATCACATTATGACAGGCTGCCATTGAAGGGAAGTAATAATTAATGCATTTGGATCATGAAATCAAAGATTGCATCATCTCAATAAGGTAATCTCTATGGTATACATTGATTCCACTTTCTCTGGTTTCATATTGATGGCTAATTTTGCATAATACACCTAGCACAGATGTGCCGTGATAAAAGAATGAATCCACCTCAAAAGGGTTGTCACATGAGTTTTGCCCATGATCTTAGACAGTTGCAAGGTTCTTGCCCTGTGTACGGCCATCATTTATTTATCCGCTGCATTAAGTCTGGGAATGCATGGTTTTCTGAAACAGTAACAACTTCTGTCTTGTTGCAGATATTTGCATAATTTCACCCATCAAATCTCACTACTCCAATTTGTGGAGAAAATGTCAATCAAAGTTAATTAACAGATTTTTCAGAACACCACAAATTGTGGCAAATATGAATCCAAACCAGTCAAGTAGATGTTAGAGGGGATGTGGAAGGACCATGAAAATTTGCATATATTTTGGTAATGCCCATTGTAATACGTATAACTTTTGGAAATCAATTTTTACCGCTGTGAAAGAAGTAGGTGTTAAATTGAGACCCTCTAATAGCAATTTTTGGGATGAAACTAGATGTAATTCACATTAGGCAAAGGATGTAATAATACAGTCCGTATATTATGTTCCCTTGTATACTGGATTGAATATGTCTGTGTAAGGTCAACTAACATATAACCTATGTTTAATTTTAGTTAGTTTTAGTGTTTTAGTTTGTGTTATTTATTTAGTGTTTTAGTTTGTGTTATTTACGTTGGTATGTTGCTTTTATTATTATTTCCATTTGTTTTGATAAAATTTTTTTACATACATGTTCATGTTTGTTTGTTCGGATATAAATAGTGTAACCCCTTGTAAAGGAAACTGTCAACCTATGTTGACATATTTTATATGTAAAAGGGGATGTGTTTTCAACTCAAATATAAAGTATTGCACTGTGGACAGCAGTGGAGGATGTAACAACTCAATCCATTTGAATCCACTGAGGCAATACAGTGTGTCACAGGGCACTCTTCTGACCTCAATCTGATTTGCTCTGAGCAGCTCCAATCATCTCTTTGTGAAGACTCTTTTCAGCTTTGATCTCCTTGAGACATTCACCAGCAGCACTCGTGGGCTCTTACATCAACTCAACAGATGAAAAAAGCCATTTATTAGGCCATTTCTTTTCATTTTATTGTTTGGTAAACAAAACAATATCACTGTCTGCATTTTGCGTTGAATTGGCTTTAACAGAGAGGATTAACATGATATAATTAAATACAGAAATAAATGAAATCACATCTACTGCACAATGACGGAGTCTGTAGTTGTGGAGTCTGATGTTGACCTCTTCAAGACATATTGTCTCATTCTACAAAAGCATTGAATTAGATTAGGAGAGCTACTCAACCAGCAGAGACCAGTACAGACAAGTCTGACACTTGGACACAAATCCACTGATATCTGATTGTTTTCTGCTGCAGTTTTGTATATCATTTGCGTTTCACAGGCGCCATCTACTGGTAATATCACCAGTATTACCATTCACTCATAGAAGGAGGGATGCTTTTTTGTATGTGACGTTTTAAACAGATACAGCCTTTATTGCAAATCTTATCGTTGACATGGGTAGGCTACATTTCACAGACAGAAGTCTTTCCGTCATTAAAATGGCTTTTTGATTTTTTTACTTTTATTTAGATCCCCAAAAATATAATAGTAGACTAACCACAAACTAAAAGGTGTATGCGTTATAGGAGATGTCTGGTGAGTTCCCTGAACAATCTATAAGTGTTCATTTTCATTTAAATTTAGATTAGATTTAGATGATTATTTTACTTGTTGTAGCCTAAATATTAATTTTGTATTTTAAATTTATTATATTAACGTGAATTGTGTTTATTTGCGCAAAAAAGCATTATGTATCTGGCTTCTGAAGATGGGGAGACCGGGGGCAGTTGTAACATTTTTTACATTTTCCTTAAAAACTCACAGACTACTTCAGATACACAAGTCATCTTTTGATACAAGAAACACATATATGTGCACTAATTAATAATATAATTGATATATTTTCACTTGTAAGAATAAAAATACTATGATATTTAATTTAATGCAAGAAGTCAGAGTGTTACATTGTAACACTCCTATTAACACATCATTGAAAACGTATTCCAAACCACGCCCCCTAACCATTAATTTCCATGGCAACGTCGGAATCTTGGTCTTGATTGGTAGTCCTGAATCAAGGACATGTTTCACCAGGCTTCAAATGGTTACCTGGAGTGACAATCTTTCCGCTCTTCAACTTTGTGACAGGAGACCCTGAAATATCTCGTATTTGTTTAGCAGCCTGAGCTTTGTCTTCACCATGGTTGAGCGTTTTGTTGGAAACTGGACTCTGGTTGCCAGCGAGAACTTTGATGAATACATGAAGGCAATCGGTAAGACTTTCTACTTTATTGTAAACTGAGGGTATTATATTGCCTTATCACCATCATGTGTAGCAGCAGTTGCAACAACATCTAGAAACAGCATCCTACTTAAATCTTGTTGTGTTGAAGGTGTGGGCTTGGCCACTCGGCAAATGGGCAACGTGATAAAACCGAAGCTGGTCATCAGTGTGGATGATGCTGGGGTTATTTCAATGAAGTCTGAAAGCACGTTCAAGACCACTGAAGTCAAGTTCAAGCTGAATGAAGAGTTCGAGGAGACTACTGCAGACGGCCGAAATACCAAGGTGAGTCATCTTGTTATAAATGTAAAGACTTATATTTTGAAGTGCTTCTGACAGCCCCAACGTGACTTCCAGACCATCATCACTCTTGAGAATGGCAAACTTGTGCAACAACAGACGTGGGATGGAAAGAAGACGACACTGGAACGAGAGTTTCAAGACGGGAAACTAACAGCTGTGAGTAATTGCTTGATTGAGCAAATGTGAGCCTACTACTAGAATAAGAAGTTTTTGGATGGCCTTTACATATGCATTCCTAATGTTTGCGTTTCAAACTTTATTCTTGAATTTATAATATGAGATTTCTAACACTTAACCACTTTCTCAACAGAAATGTATCATGGATGACGTTGTTGCAATGAGGACATATGAGCGAGCGGCTTAATTGCTTTTGTTCCACATCCAAGTTGAGCTAGGACCCTCTGTTCCTTTAGCCAACCCAAATGCACTGAGCGATTGCCAAACAATAAAGTCTGAACTGCGATACTTGGTCTGTGTGCAGTGTTTGGGGTGCACATGGTGTGGGTTAGTCTGTATTTTAATGCCCTCACCCCTGCTTTCTTGGACCACTTAGTCTTTATGGGAGAGATTAAGTGCTAGGTTGGCTATGCATTACTGGGGCAGCTGAGTGTTTCAAAACAAACTCACTTTAAATTAGTTTTTGTTAATGCTAAAAATATGTTCAAAGCTAAATGTATCAGAGGTTGCAAATCAACTGAAATGGACAAATATTATGCTCTCAGGAAATTTTACTGACTTTGTTTCAAATCATTGCTCATGATAAGACTAGGGTTGTAACCTTTTTAAATTGCCTACTGTTGCCATGTTTAAAACCTAGTGAGCCATGTTTCTAAACTTGCACAGGGGCCTCCTTTAAACAAGAGAAGGCAACATGTAATGTCATAGCAGCACTCATGACAAGGATGCGGGTGACTGGGAGGAAGCCAAATCCCTACTTTGGGGTTACCGCAGTGATTTCAGTTGTGCCAGGCCTTGTCTTGAATGCCCAGAGTTCAAGCAAGTGCATGTAACTTGTTCAAACTGGGGGTTCTTGGGTTGAAGCCCAAATCCTCCAATTTCCAGGCTTTTGTGATGTCTGGAGGTGCTCAAGGGCATGAGTTCTGATTATTGAAATGCTGATTCCTTGCTACATGCAGTGTCTTGCATATGTCTTGGAAACCAAGATATGGATGTTTTTGCATAATTACAAGTCAGTTTCATTAACTATTAAGGGGTGGGGAAGTCTTAAATGGGTCTTACAATACACATAACGGCGGTTTTAAAGGATGAGCAGTTCTCACAAACTGGTAAATTTATGAACAGTCAGATTCTCTCTTGGTATGAACGAAGCAAAAGCTGTACCTGGTAAGCCATTCTTTTGATGGTCTCTTCCCTCTGACATGTACAGTAATGTTACCACTCTGGTCACAAACTGCCTGCAACTCCAGTGTGATCATGGGTCCACTTTAGTGATGAGCCATTCAAAAGAACAGCTTTTTTTTGGGGGGGGGGGGGTATGCAAAATAATTGCTAGAATAACTCAGATTAAAATTTATATATCCCACCAATGTGACTTAATTTCACATTTAAACTAGTGCTACTGCTAGACCTAATGTCCATGATCTACATATACCCTTATTGAATTTATCCTCTAAACTGTGCAATAAAGTTGCATTGAATGTAGTTCATTGGGTACAACAATGAAAGAACTGCTATCATGTACAGGTTTCCTGCGTTTTACTAAAGGATGGTTGAAAAGAATCAGATTGTACTTGACATTATTCAGAAATCTTTTTTTTTTTTTTTTTTTTTTTTTTTTTAAACTTAACTAGGAAAGTCACATTGAGGTTAAAACCAATTCTACAAGTGAGACCTAGTCAAGACAGGGTCGGATAGCAGGATTAAACAAATAACAAGCAACAATAAGAAACCAATCAACATCATTAGATACAACAGAACAAACACCACAAAACAAGTCTCCACAACATGTACAACACTGAGGCACAGCAACACAAACATTTAAGTATTACATAATACCCTACATAGTACTAAGTTTAAAAAAAAACAAAACAAAAAAAAACAGGCTGCTGGGCAGGACAGGTTTAAAAAAACAAACAGTTGCAGTTGCAAAATCACATGGTTAATGACTGACAAATAAAAAAATTAGCACATCGTGCTCAAATCTCTACAGACAATTGTTTTTCTCTCTTTCTCATCACTGCTGTACCAGGTGCAGTGCTGTGACATTCGATCATTATATTTTCCTGGGGGAGCGTGCACAACTATCTGACATGGAGCAGTGAGACTGGATTCCCACCAAAGTCTGTAGACAGCAGTTGGTGTCACCCTGCATTATATCTGCGTCTTCACCAGTCTTCCCTCATCACTCCTGTAGCTGTTCATCAGTGTGGATGATGCTGGGGTTATTTCGATGAAGTCTGAGAGCACTTTAAGACCACCGAGGTCAAGTTCAAGCTGAGCGAGAATTCGAGGAGGCTACTGCAGACGGACGAAATACCAAGGTGGGTCATCTTTTGTTACAGGCTAAACATAGACGCTATTTTTATATATTGCGGTGCTTCTGACAGCCCCAACATGACTTTAAGACATCACTCTTGAGAATGGCAAACTTGTGTAACCACAGTCGTGGGGTGGAAAGAAAACGAGAGGTTCAAGCAGTGGTGTAATAGACTATACCAAGTCTACGCAGGTATAGGCCTACGCCATATACCCACTAGGGACGGTCAGAGATTTCCTTATATACCCACTTAAAATAGCGAGATGATACGTAACATCGTTTTGAGACACAACTTTCACACGTTCACTCAAATTCACCCCGTCTGTGTTGCGAAGCACTGAACCGACGTTTGGATGAGGCTGATGCTATCGTAACGTTACCTGGTGAGTGAAAGTAGCAAATACGTTATCATTAACGGAACTGTAACAACATTGTTGGTATATTGAATTGCATCTAGTACTAGTTAACTAACGTTAATTTAGTGTGTGTGTGTGTGTGTGTGTGCGCGCGCGGAGCATAGACTGTATATAAAAAGGTGTGCAGTAGTAGAAGTTGCAGGATGCTTGATCATGCATAAAAGCTGATACAGTAGGCTACGCTTGAGATGATGTGGACCACTTTTTGTGTCCTCACTGTTCATAATGTTCTGTAATGAATGAGTGTTGGTGATATAACTGCACATAGGCCTATGTTCATTGTTATTACTGTTATTGTTAATAATAGTTGCAACTTGCAATGTTAAATAACAAATGTAAGTGTGTGTGGTTTTTTTTGCACAATAAGAAAACATGCAATACAATGTAAATATAGAAAAAACATCTGCGTCAAAAAAATACTTAAGCTAAAAAAAAACAAAAACATTTACTGCATTATATTTTTATATTCTGAATTGTCACCTACCACCTGAATTTCATGTTTCCCTTTATATAAATAAAGACATTTCCACCATAAATTGGTGCAGAAAATGTCTCCAGACCCCAATATTCTGGATTGTCATATGCAAAGTGTTTTGTCACAACTCTAATCTGAGCCCTAAATGTCCCCACCACTGTTCAAAGTGACGCCCTTGCCCACCTGTAACTGTTTAGCAGTTAAAGTCTTTGCAGTGTTAATAACACATAGGCTACCCTGAGCAGTCCTTCAGAATGCTCTCTGTTACATGCATACTGTATGTATTAGTGTAGTGGTGTTTATGGGAAGTCGCTCTGGGACGATGTGTATGCATAGACAGTATATCACTGGACGAAGCCACCCCGCTGATTTGAAGCTCATTTTTGGGCCTATCCCTCTATGCAGGCTTTGGTCGGCTTCACTGTCCGATCTCTGGCTTCCCCTTGGGTGTATGAGGCTGGGAGGGGAAATCACATATATAGGCCTACGTACTACAGAAAACTAGACTATACCGCTGGGTTCAAGACCCCGGACTCACACAGGCGGCGTGTCCTCAGCCCTTTGTCAACTCACACTGGAGCAGCGGAGCGTTTAGTCTACCCCACGTAGTTGACTTGTTGTTTATTTGTAATTTTGCAAATGTGCTTCTGTTACCGATCACAGCTGTGTTCACAGCTCTGCGTACCGTTCCTACCCTCCCCTGTTCCATGCAGGGGTGAATTTACCACATGGAGCATTTCAGAATAAAAGCGTTTTGCCTGCCTGATTTTCCTGAATTGTTTAGATTTAGTTGATTTGGTAAGTTGTCCTTGATTTTTGTGCTTCGACCATGGTTAATAAGACTACCTTGTTAAATTGTTTATTTATTTTTGTTTTAACTGTGTTTATTGTTGATATACAATCGGGAGTCTGCAAAAGGTATTTTATTTTGAAAATCAACCGGATTCACCATGCCGTTCTGTGTTTGACTTCCTGCCTGGTTCGATCTGCTCTGTGGTGCTTGACGCGTCTTCCGTCAATGATAGACTGGCTGCCTATTCTCCGCACAGCGGAGCGGAGAGCCGCTTCTGGGGCACGCTGCTGTGTGTGCTGGTGTGAGCACAAGCATTGACTGTCATAGTAGGCGTATATTAATACAAGAATTCTCACATACGTCGCCGGAAGACGTTCCTTCCATGCACTCGCAGCCGGTCTCCCATCTGCAGTCCCAATCTGCTGGCACTGCCAGAAACTTTGGGCCCCATGACAAAAAATGTAATTGGGCCCCCTTTGCGCAACTGTTGTCAGCACATCTCTAGGACCTAACTGTCCCATCAAAAGCTTTACATAGGCCTAACTCTAATTAAAGGCTTGCAACTGTCTTGTTTCTTGTAGATCAATACTAGTACTAGCACAATATTTACTGCTGGTGATTTGTACATGCAAGTCTACATACAGTAGGCTATGCAGTTCACTATTTGATGCAAGATTAAAAGCCACCATAAAAATGTCCTTAAGGCAATCTTTTACAGTCTCAGTGTATTTTATAGTAAAATTAACTATCTATAGATGTCGTTTAACGGCCATAATTAAATCTAAATGAACTTATCAAACTGGACTATTTTAATATTGTCTGTAAATTACATGCAGGCTGAGTTAAGCTATACGGTTTCCAACTGTCCAGCATCCAGTACAGACAGGAGGTTGTTTTTATTTTATTTCATAATGATCATTATGTGAGAAAATAATTTGTGTTTGAATTTCTGTCATTAATATCTTTTTGTCATAGTAAAAAGAGCAAGAGAGACAGAAATCCCCACAGAGTCCCTGGAATGATGCAAACTGGCTTGTCATTAACACAGTGTTGCTCCCCTTCTTCAGTGGGACAGGGAGGGCTATGGGGAAACTGGGGTGCTGCTGACTCATGTTAGTAAGGGTGCTCCGATCGATCGGTTACCGATCATAATCGGCCGATAATGGCTTTAACTAGTTTGATCACTGGTCGCAAAAAAGGCAGGTAAGAAAAGACGATCAGATGATGCAATACTCGCCAGACAAATTTTCTCTGGCAGCTAAAATGTTTCACTACGCTGTGTGAGCGGTTTTCAAAGCTAGCTAGCACCAAAGTCCTTCTCAGACAAGAAGGAATTAATGTGCCCACATAATCATTTACAATTAGAGTTGAGCAGAATTCAGACAAGTGGAGCAACACGCAGGAGCGATCATGTGAAACTGTTGCAGCTGTGCTCATCTCACACACACGCCACCCGCAACCGGTGTTTAATAGACAGCGCATCAGGCAGAGAGACTGATGGGGCTGATTGTTCTTATGATGCTTTGGCAATATTGTTAATACACATTCATGCCAATAAAGCTAATTTGAATTGAATTGAACTGACTGATCCTTCAGTGTGAGTTTCCTGATGCAAACAGCGGCGCCACTCAATCAGCTGACTGCCTCTCTCTCTCTGTTTTCGTTATAAAAATGAGACCTTTTTCTACGTTTCCGCCTCCCGTCCAGATTAAAACGGTGAATCAGAATATGCTTGTTTGAAAACGCTGCTGACCCGAAAACAGAGGACTTTATAAAACGATGACACTCACATTTGGCTTTGTGAGTCGGTCTTATCAGTCATGCAAAGCAAAAACACGATGCTTTACAGAGTTTTAGTTTTGGTATTTTTATTAAAATATAAGTACTGTGTAAATAACACTTAACAGTTTGCCTAGCCTACTGTGCATGTCGCTGTATTTACTTTGCGACAACTCCCAGTCTGTTTTCTGCTACTTCAGAGTTTATCATCGACTCATGATACCTGTGCTCCTTTATCTCCTAAATATTTTGGCTACAGCCTTTTTGTTGCAGTTTTTATGGTTGTAGTAAATTTATAAAGATGCTGTTTGTTCTGTTTTTGTAGTTTATTCCACAGTAAAGATATATTTGTTAAGCTATAAGATGTTCACAGTAACCAGGCAAAGGCTGCTATGGTTTAAGTCTCTAACACAGATTGAGCAGAATTTGTTGCCCATGTTTCCTGGCAATAAAATAAACAGTTTTCATTTCATGATACTTTACACACTTAATACATTGTTTTTAGGACCAATTAAATAAATATACAGTATACTGTATAATGCTATATGATAAATAAAAGGCTCCAAATAGACCCAGTGATCGGTATCGGCCGATACTGCTTTCAGCAATCAGTGATCGACCTAAAAAATCCTGATCGGAGCACCTATTAGTCTGCTAAAAGGGGCAGGGACAATGATTTAATATGAATGTCTTGCTAAATGTTTTCCTGCACTGATTAAATATTGATGAAATGTAGGCTAACACTAGTCTGTAGCTAGCTAGCTTATTTCACTGTGGACATTAAGCCAACAGGTTAACACCACTCGCAGACTAAAGGCTACCCACCCTGTTTGTGGATTTCAGCTCTGCTTTTAACACCATCATCCCGGCCCTGCTGCAGGACAAGCTCTCCCAGCTGAATGTGCCTGACTCCACCTGCAGGTGGATCACAGACATCCTGACGGACAGGAAGCAGCACGTGGAGCTGGGAAAACATGTCTCTGATTCCAGAACCATCAGCATTCAAGGCTGCGTTCTTCCCCCTCTGCTCTTCTCCCTGTACACCAACAGCTGAACCTTCACTCACCAGTCTGTCAAACTCCTGTTTGCAGACGACACCACCCTCGTTGTGCTCATTTCAGGTGGGGATGAGTCTGCCTACAGGTGGGAGATCGACCATCAGGTGACCTGGTGCAGCCACAACAGTCTGGAGCTCAACGCTCAGAAGACAGTGGAGATGGTCGTGGATTTTAGAAAGAGCCCAGCCCCACCCTCCCCCATCATCCTGTGTGACTCCTCAGTCACCACTGTGGACTCCTAATGATCCCAGGAAGCTCTAAAAGAAAAGAAATGCAGTTAAATATTCAGTTAGGCCAGTACTTCCACCTAATTTAGTTCTTCATTTGCGTATCATTATAAACACTGTAATTCTATTCTTATAGCAAATCTTTATTATTATTCTTTATTTCATTTTCTTGAGCTAAGGCAGGAAATTCCAACTCTGGGTTTAGCATTAAGTTGGTTAAAGTTGGCAAAGGGTAGGTTCAACTTTTAAAAGTTGAATACAGGATCTATGACCATACAACTGGACATAAAGTTGAGCAATTCAATTCAATTTTATTTATATAGCGCCAAATCACAACAACAGTTATCTCACAGCGCTTTTCAGAAAAGAGCAGGTCTAGACCGTACTCTATGATGTTATTTACAGAAGCCCAACAATTCCCACCAAGAGCAAGCACTAGGCGACAGAGGCAAGGAAAAACTTCCTTTTAAGATGCAGAAACCTCGAGCAGAACCATGGCTCAGGGTGGGCGGCCATCTGCCTCGACCGGTTGGGGGTGAAGGAGAGAGAAAGAGTGAGAGGGCAAGAGGGAGAGAGAGGGCAAGAGAGAGAGAGAGGACGAGAGAGGAACAGAGAGAAAGAGGGCAGGAGAGGAATGGACAGAAAAAGAGGGATGGAAGGAGAGAGGGGAGGGAGGCAGCCTACACAATATACACACAGAGGTACAGACAGTAAAGGTGATGTTGCTATAGACTAAATGAAAAATGGTATAGATATGTATAGTAGTGTTAATGATAACAATCGTAATGTTAATGATTATAATAACAATAATTACAATAGGACTAGTAAGAATAGTTGTTGTAGCAGAGGGTGTTGAGCAGGAACCTGGGAGCATCAGGTGACCCGCAGCCACAGATCCAGACTCCACAGCTCCAGAGCCAGAAATACCTGCAGGAAGTGATAGGAGGAGAGAGGAGAGGGACGAGAAAGCACAAGACTACCGGAAAGGGGAGAAGTTGTGTTAGTAACATGCAATAATGGGATGAGGTTGCATACAGAGGGAGAGAAAGTAGAGGAGAGAGGAGCTCAGTGCATCATGGGAAATCCCCCGGCAGTCTAGGCCTATAGCAGCATAACTAAGGGATGGTTCAGGACTCACCTGAGCCAGCCTTAAGTCTTAAGCCTACTCTTAAATGTGGAGATGGTGTCTGCCTCCTGAACTCAAACTGGAACCTGGTTCCACAGGAGAGGAGCTTGATAGCTGAACGCTGTGGCTCCTAGTCTACTTTTAGAGACTCTAGGAACCACAAGTAACCCTGCATTCTGGGAGCGCAGTGCTCTGGTGGGGTAGTAAGGTACTATGAGCTCTTTAAGATAAGATGGTGCCTGACCATTAAGAGCTTTGTAGGTAAGAAGAATGATTTTAAATTCTATTCTGGATTTTACTGGAAGCCAATGCAGAGAAGCTAAAACAGGAGAAATATGATCTCTTTTCCTGGTTTCTGTCAGAACACGTGCTGCAGCATTCTGGATCAGCTGAAGAGTCTTAATGGAATTTTTCGAGCAGCCTGATAATAAGGAATTGCAGTAATCCAGCCTAGAAGTAACAAATGCATGGACTAGTTTTTCTGCATCATTTTTAGACTGTATGTTCCTGATTTTCGCAATATTACGTAGGTGAAAAAAGGCGGTCATTGAAATTTGCTTAATGTGAGACTTAAATGACATGTCCTGATCAAAGATAACTCCAAGATTCCTCACAGTGGTGCTGGAGGCCAGGGCGATGCCATCAAGGGAAACTATATCTTTAGATAATGCGTCACGGAGGTGCTTAGGCCCCAGAACAATAACTTCAGTTTTATCTGAGTTTAACATTAGAAAATTACAGGTCATCCAGGTTTTAACATCCTGAAGGCACATTTGAAGTTTAGCTAACTGATGAGTTTCATCTGGCTTGATCGATAGATATAACTGAGTTTCATCTGCATAACAGGGTCATTGGTAATTTTCACCAGTGCTGTCTCTGTGCTATGATGAGCTCTAAATCCTGACTGAAAATCCTCAAATAAACTATTGCTCTGTAGCACACAGCTGTTCAGCAACTGCTTTCTCCAGGACCTTAGAGAGAAATGGAAGGTTAGATATAGGTCTATAGTTGGCTAAAACATCCGGATCAAGTTTGGGCTTTTTCAGAAGAGGTTTAATTACAGCTACTTTAAAGTACTGTGGTACATAGCCTGTTGATAGAGATATATTGATCATATCTAGTATAGAAGTGCTGACTAAGGGTAAAACTTCTTTAAGCAGCCTAGTCGGGATGGGGTCTAAGAGGCAGGTTGATGGTTTAGATGAAGAAATAATTGAAGTTAGTTGGTAAAGATTGAGGGAAGCAAAACAGTCTAAACATTTATCTGGTTCTACAGCTGTTTCTAAGGTTCCTGAGTTTAGAGATAAGTTGGTGCCAGTTGAGGGCAGGTCTTGGTGAATTTTGTTTCTAATAGTTAGAATTTTATCATTAAAGAAGCTCATGAGCTATGGGAATACTTGGCTCAATAGAGCTGTGACTCTCTGTCAGCCTGGCTACAGTGCTGAAAAGAAACCTGGGGTTGTTCCTATTTTCCTCTATTAATGACGAGTAGTACGCTGCTCTGGCATTACGGAGGGCCTTCCTATAAGTTTTAAGACTATCTTGCCAAATTAAACGAGAATTTTCCAGTTTGGTAGAACGCCAATTCCTCTCAAGTTTCCGCGATATTTGCTTTAATTTGCTAGTTTCAGTATTATACCATGGAGCTAACCGTCTTTGTTTTAGTATTTTCTTTTTTAGAGGGGCTACAGAGTTGAGTGTCATTCGCAGCGAGCCTGCAGCACTATCAACAAGATGATCGATTTTGGAGGGACTGAAATGAGCATAGGAGTCCTCCGTTACTTTGTGACTTGATAATGAATTTAGAGCTGATGGAATCGCATCCTTAAATTTAGCTACAGCACTATCAGACAGACATCTTGTATAGAAATTTTTGCCCAATGGCGTGTAGTTCAGCAATACAAACTCAAAAGTTATCAAACAGTGGTCGGATAAAGAGGGATTCTGTAGGAACACTATTAAATGTTCAATTTCAATACCATGTACCAAAACAAGGTCGAGGGTGTGGTTAAAACAGTGAGTCGGTTCATGAACACTCTGAGAGAAGCCAATGGAATCTAACAGAGAGATAAACGCAGTACTGAAGCTGTCATTCTCAACATCCACATGAATATTAAAATCCCCTACAATAATAACTTTGTCCGTTTTAAGGACTAAAGTTGACAAAAACTCTGCAAATTCAGATAAGAATTCAGAGTACGGACCAGGTGCTCGGTACACTATAACGAAGAGAATTGGTTGCAGTGATTTCCAACTTGGGTGCGAAAGACTAAGAACAAGACTTGAGTTATAGTTTAGTTTAGGTTTAGAGCTGATTAGTAGGCTAGAGTCGAAGATAGCTGCAGCTCCACCTCCTCGGCCTGTGCCTCGAGGAATGTGAGTATTAATATGACTCGGAGGGGTGGATTCATTTAGGCTAACATATTCTCCATCACCTAGCCAGGTTTCAGTAAGACAAAATAAATCAATATCATAATCTGATATTAGTTCATTTACTAGTACACCTTTAAAAGAGAAAGATCTGATGTTTAAGAGTCCACATTTAATTTTCCTATTAGTTTGCACTATTGCTCTTGTGGTTTTAATTTTTATGAGGTTTTTATGCACAGCTCCTCTTCTGTTTACCTTTGATTTAAATAATTTCGATGGTCGGGGGGCAGACACCGTCACTATAGGATTTTCACTAAGTAACTCCTGAAATGGAGGAGCAGAGAAGTGTGTTAGACTGCGACTCTGCATAGGGTTTTGGGTGGGTAACTGCTGAAAAAGAAGGGCAGAGAAGTTTGTTAGACTGCGACTCTGCCTCCTGGTCTCAACTCTGGGTTCTCATGGATTTGGTCCACTAATAAACTTGGCCAGATTTCTAGAAATGAGAGCTGCTCCTTCCCAAGTGGGATGGATGCCGTCTCTCCGGATCAGACCAGGTCTTCCCCAGAAGGTCTCCCAATGATCTACAAAGCCCACATTGTTTGCTGGACACCACCTCGACAACCAGCGGTGGAATGATGACATGTGGCTATACATGTCATCACTGGTCAGATTTGGCAGGGGTCCAGAGAAAACTACGGTGTCCGACATTGTTTTTGCATATGTTCACACCGACTCAACATTAATCTTAGTGACCTCTGATTGACGTAACCGGCAGTCATTACCGCCGACGTGAATAACAATCTTACTGTATTTACATTTATCCTTAGCCAGCAGTTTCAAATAAGACTCAATGTCGCCCGCTCTGGCCCCAGGGATGCACTTAACTATGGCCGCTGGCTTCGCTAACTTCACGTTTCTCAAAATGGAGCTGCCAATGAGTTGATTGAGTTGGTTTCTCAGCGGGTGTGTCGCTGAGTGGGGAAAATCTGTTAGAGACGTGTGGGTGTGTGTCCCCCCTCCAAACTCATTGGATTTCTCAATACCATATGGATTAAGCTTACTTGGGCTGATGCGTGAGTGCAGGCTTTTAAGTGGATGTCCTGAAATGGTTTTACCCTTACACAATCCACCATACCACATTTTACATAAACACAATTTTCAAGTTCTTTAATACAAAGTTTTAACACAAGGTTATATAATATACAGGTACTAATGTTATCACAGCTGGAGGCGGCCTTATCTATTTGTTGCATTACATGCTCATACATGCTCATTTGAATTCCAACAATGTGGACTTGAAGACCCTAAATGTCACCTGACTGCAGCAGCTTCCATCAGGCAGAAATGCTACTTCCTTGCGGCTGAGTCGTGTAATAGCAGGCAATGATTGGACAGTACCACTATCCAATCATTGCCTGTATCTTAATAAAGGGGGTTGGGGGTGTCACAACTTGTCGTGAAATGGAACATAAACAGTTTTATGAGTTTGTTTGTCTTCAGAAAATAACTAATATGTTGAACTAAATATACTTGTAAATGTTTTCGTAATCATATTGACTTTTTGACTATTGAAGTTATCTTGTCTTCGACGTCCAGATGAAATGATCCAGAATGACGTCGCACGTGATGCGACGCCACCGTCAAACATGGCTGACAAAGAAAACACAAACATGGAAGTCGATAAGGAAAAGAAAAAACCCTTTGCTACCAAAGTCGAGCCAGTCTTGGACGAAGTTACCCACATAATAGGCAACCACAACAATGTCGAAGGCAAGAAACCCGCCGGTAAAAGCCGCGCCACAACGGAATACTGCGAGAAGCTGCAGGCATGGATGTGGCAGTACTACACTGGATATGTAAACTGCCAGAGCTGGCTGGCAGTGTCAGCCATGTCCTACCCTTGTTATTTACAGCCAGCCAGTGGGACGTCGACGCCACTTCTTGATATCAACTCCCAGAACTGGTACAGCAGCCCGTTTGGTCTTCCGATGTCGCCGTATCCACATGTAGGCAACTCCTCAAGCAGCCGGGCAGGTGAAGCAGCTGGCGGGGCTGCAGGGTCCGCTCAGCCGCAGCAGCCGCAGGAGAATGGAAATGCACAGAGACCAGGTAAAAAGCGGCTGGCTTTGCGTTGACCGCTTAGTGTCCACCAGGTTGTCGAAATGTACGGTTTCAGGCAACCAATTTAAGTTTGAATATGAGAGGTGTGTACTTCTTGACAGCAATGGACTCCGACTTAGTTATGCAGGCTACAGGAGGACACAATATCCACCCGAGCATGCAGGCTAAGCAAATAGTTATTAAATCATACCTAACTTGAGAATAATCTTACCAAACGATGGGTTCACCACAAAGTTCTGAAATACAGTAACATACTTTATAAGAGTTTTTGAGTGGCAGCAGTGGCTGTCTCACCAGATATGATTGGATCACTAGATCCAGGGTCCATTTTATTATTTGGTTTATTATTGAGATGGTTAGCATAGCCTATATTGAAAGCCCCATTGCACACTTTTGGAATGAACTGGAACGCAGAGTGCGAGGCTAAATCAGAATAAGTTTGGAATGACATGCTCAGCAATCACATATGTGTGTAATGCTAGGGTGTTTGGCCATATAATATGTATGACTACAATTTCATTTTGCTGTTCACCAGGTCGGGAATATAGCATTCCTTCACCTTTTCAAAGATTCCTGGCTGAAATGGTGGATTTCTTCATATTGTTTTTCATCAAAGCAACCATTATCATCAGTATTATGCACCTGAGTGGAATCAAGTGAGTTTATTTACTTTCTGTGTGCAGTTCTCAAAAACACAAACTCTTTGGATTAATATCACAGAAATATTTCCTTTGCTTTTCAGGGATGTTTCCAAGTTTGCCATGCATTTCATAGTGGAGGAAATAGATGAGGACACCTCGATGGAGGAGCTACAGAAAATGATGCTTGTTGCACTTGTGTACCGGATATTAGTGTGTTTTTATGAGGTGAGCACTCATAAAAGTTTCATGCATGTTACTCAGATTCTATACAATTAAGGTGAGACAGAACAGTGGTCTCAACCTTTTTTAATCTTTTTTTTTTTTTTTTGGAAAATATCCCACTGTGTATTTAAGTGACAGCTCAGCATTCTCCCTTCAGATTGTGTGCATTTGGGGAGCAGGAGGAGCCACTCCAGGGAAGTTTTTAATTGGACTCAGAGTTGTTACATGTGATTCATCAGTTCTGGTTCAGCCTAACCGGGTGCTTGTTGTGCCAGCAACCAATGTCTCTCTGTCTGCGTAAGTAGCTCATTTTAAAGATTATATTTTAGCAGTTTCATAATAAATGCAACCCAGTTTGTTTCTCCTGTTTGTGTTTTAATCACTGTCTTTGTTTCACTCTACAGATCAACTGTCCGAGCCTTGAACAAGAACTTTTCAATTGCCTTCTTTTTTCCGGCCTTCATCACACTTCTGTTCTTCCAGCACAACAGGACTGTGTATGATATGGTAGCTGGTACAATTGTTGTCAAGCGCCCCAGGGCCAGATGACGCAGAAGAACACAGAAAAGAGTCCTACATTAATGCTGTTTATTATTATTATTATTATTTTTTAAATGCCTGCAGAACTCAGACACTGTCCTTTCAAGGTATCGTCAGAACATGCAGGAGCATTATGACGGTTGCAGAAAGTTTGATACACATCAGTATGAACTAATTCAACTCCCTACAACTTGGGTTTGGTTTGTCCCAGACACATACTGTATTTCTGCATGTATGTCTACATGCTGCTGTCAGAATCTGTTCCTGTGCCATACTGAGGTCTTGTTTGAAGACAGGAAAAATGATGGTATCCACTACCATTTGATTAACACAAGATTTGCCTCTTTAAGTACTTTTCCAGATTAAGGGTTAATCACTCAGTATTTAAGTCTAATGCATTCATGAGATTACACCTTCAGTATCTCTTTGTATTAAAAATTTGTCTTAAGAGGTATGCTCAGACTTTTCATTTTTGAGTTGTTGACCTTCATTGCTGCAGGAGTGATGCATCATGTTCATCTTTTTCAGCTGCTGAAATACTTTGGTCCTAAGGCACGCTGAAATGTATCGACGGGAAAATGTAAACCTGGCCACAACTGCTCTTCCATTTACTCTGACTGCATGTGTGTGATTGGAAAAAGTTGTATGACACATTTTTGTGTGATTAATTGTTTTTTGCATTTAAAATTAAATGAAACCACTAATTATCTACAAGTTTGAAATGTCTGTATTTTATCAGTTTGCCTGCTATCTGGTAACTCCTACAATGTTTTGATACTAATTAAGTGTCCTCATTATTTTGCATCAACTTGTGTCGTTATTCTTGCCTCATAATGGAATATAGTTTTATTTTCTATGTCAAGGCTTAAGAAGAATTCCACATAAGTGTACTAGTCAGAGAGACACAGACAAGTGACAAATGAAAACCCAGAATGAGTGGAGAAAAACACTAAATGCAGGAGCTTCCATGCATGAGGAGTCATTGAATAGTTCGGAGAGTATAAAAACGTATGTGAATCTTAAGCTGTGGTCTTCATTGGCACAAAATCTCAACAAAAACCAACAGGATGTTTTAGATGATGTTCTCCACCACCACCATCATCAAAAAACCAAATAAGAAAATACACTGCTCAAAAAAATAAAGGGAACACTAAAATAACACATCCTAGATCTGAATGAATGAAATAATCTCATTAAATACTCCTTTCTTTACATAGTTGAATGTGCTGACAACAAAATCACACAAAAATGATCAATGGAAATCAAATTTATCAACCCATGGAGGTCTGGATTTGGAGTCACAGTGAAAATCAAAGTGGAAAACCACACTACAGGCCGATCCAACTGTGATGTAATGTCCTTAAAACAAGTCAAAATGAGGCTCAGTAGTGTGTGTGGCCTCCATGTGCCTATATGACCTCCCTACAACGCCTGGTCATGCTCCTGATGAGGTGGCGGATGGTCTCCTGAGGGATCTCCTCCTGGACAGTCTGTGGTGCAACGTGGCATTGGTGGATGGAGCAAGAAATGATGTCCCAGATGTGCTCAATTGGATTCAGGTCTGGGGAACGGGCGGGCCAGTCCATAGCATCAATGCCTTCCTCTTGCAGGAACTGCTGACACACTCCAGCCACATGAGGTCTAGCATTAAGAGGAACCCAGGGCCAACCGCACCAGCATATGGTCTCACAAGGGGTCTGAGGATCTCATCTCGGTACCTTATGGCAGTCAGGCTACCTCTGGCGAGCACGTCTGTCACACGTGCTCAGTGTGAACCTGCTTTCATCTGTGGAGAGCACAGGGCGCCAGTGGTGAATTTGCCAATCTTGGTGTTCTCTGGCAAATGCCAAACGTCCTGCACAGTGTTGGGCTGTAAGCACAACTCCCACCTGTGGATGTGGCCCTCATACCACCCTCCTGGAGTCTGTTTCTGACTGTTTGAGCAGACACATGCACATTTGTGGCCTGCTGGAGGTCATTTTGCAGGGCTCTGGCAGCGCTCCTCCTGCTCCTCCTTGCACAAAGGCGGAGGTAGCGGTCCTGCTGCTAGGTTGTTGCCCTCCTACGGCCTCCTTCACGTCTCCTGATGTACTGGCCTGTCTCCCGGTAGCGCCTCCATGCTCTGGACACTACGCTGACAGACACAGCAAACCTTCTTGCCACAGCTCGCATTGATGTGCCATCCTGGATGAGCTGCACTACCTGAGCCACTTGTGTAGGTTGTATACTCCGTCTCGTGCTACCATTAGAGTGAAAACACCGCCAGCATTCAAAAATGACCAAAACATCAGCCAGGAAGCATAGGAACTGAGAAGTGGTCTGTGGTCACCACCTGCAGAACCACTCCTTTATTGGGGGTGTCTTGCTAATTGCCTATAATTTCCACCTGTTGTCTATTCCATTTGCACAACAGCATGTGAAACTGATTGTCAGTCAGTGTTGCTTCCTAAGTGGACAGTTTGATTTCACAGGAGTGTGATTGACTTGGAGTTACATTGTGTTGTTTAAGTGTTCCCTTTATTTTTTTGAGCAGTGTACATTTTTGAAAAGTCCCCACCAGTGTTCTTGTTTAATGAATCTAAAGGGGCATGAATCTGCTGTGAAAACTTGTGGTGGCTCCAATAGTTTGAGAGACTGACTTTTAGTATGCCCCATTATCCTGCACTTTTTGGCTATATTTTCAGACAATATGTAAGATTTTGTCCAAATTTAATCTACTGATTTGTTTTGACTATTATTATGTATATGACTTGTATTTTTGAAGTTTTTATATTAGATATAGATACTATATAGATCTTTGTAATGCAAATATATGTCTGTGAATGTTCTCAGTCATCCAGGTCATAGTTATCCAAAGTCAAGTCAAGGGCACCGGTTGCCCTTGACTTGACTTTAACCTTCTTTGGATAATGCAAAGAAATATTTCACTCAACATTAACATTATCAATTATGATAACAAACTACTTTTCTGTCACTACACACACCTACTCCCTAATGAGAACATGCTAGTATTTGTTTCTTTCCCTCACATTCCAGGCTTTATTTCCAAAGTACATCGTCTTTCCAGTTTAAGAAATTATGACATAAGGATATTAAGAGATCATAACATGAGAAGTACATCACTACTGGGAATATTTACAATAATGTTGGTTAACTGAACTGAGGTATCAAACTTTTGCCTTTCTAAATATGAGATAACATGCAATCCATAAATACAGTCATTTTTAAGTTATTATTTGCTCTGTTGTGAGAGGCTGAAATTGTAAATTATGGTAGATTACAGAATACAGTGATCACATTCTTCTTATTTACAGGAGTTTGGCTCTACCTAATGTATATTTATTGGTCATACAGACATCACTCTGCCTAGGTTGATGCATCATGGAGAAAACCACTCACAGCACTGTTACCTGCATACAATAATTTAATCAAAAAACTGTCCCATTTATTATCACAGAAAGTCAATCAGTCTGTCTGCCTAGAAAATGAATCATTCTCTACTAAACTGAGGGACAGCATGAATGAACTTTTCTCCTAGTCTTTGAGTTTTCTGGCGTGTCACATATTCTTGGAGGAGACTGTTGGAGCTCCAATTGTTGGCAAGTGTTGACGTGGTGATTGTGTTAGGCCCACTAAGTGGCAGCTTCAGCTGACAGCCACAGATGGTGCTCCCAGATTACAGAGCAACCCATCAGCTGCCATGCACCATGCCATCACTGTAGGCAACAGAATAATGTAACTCTTAGTTGTGAAGGGCTGTGCTGAGGACCAGAAAAGTGTGGGCAGACACCGCCCACCACTCTTGCTGCACTGTATGCTGATGAGTGAGTGTAGCTGTATTTGGAGTCAAGGCATGTTTGTAATCTATTTTTGCGTCGACATGCTCTGGCTTGTATCCACAGAGAATTTGCAGGAGGAAGATTTTAGAAAAGCTCAAGGGAACACTTATTACTACAATTTATGACAGACCTGTATGTGAAATGTTGCAATTAACCTCACAGCCCTCGTAGTAAATTAACAAATAGCAATCATTTATTATTAAGAATGCTAATAATGCAATATGCAAATCAATATAAAGATCATCCTTGTGTCTATAAATAGGAATCCTATAATGTTGCACTAATGATAGTAGTGCTAAAATAGATCCCTGCTATTGCCACTGGCTTAAAGATGTATTTACATCAAATGTAAGTCAGACATGAAGGAGTGAGAAGAAGTGAGCGTATCACTGCAACTGTGCAAAAAACATCTTGTTGAATCTGTTTAATTCACATGATTTTCCCCCATGTCTGTTGTGTGATGCCATGCTTGACAAGCCCAGTTCCTTGCTGCCACATGGCATGCCATACGGTATCGAGTTGGTGAAGTGTCCAGCCTGAGTTCCTGCCGCCCTTTCTGGCTCTTTTAATAAGGGAGTCATCTACAGGCAGCATGGAGGGCTCACAGCTTTCTCTGACAGCCATGTGTCCGTGTCTGAACAGAGCTACGTACAGGGCAGAGGGACAAGGTAAACAGTCTGGACTAAAATATTCTCTGTGTATGATAAAATATGTGTCCTTAAAGTCATTATTCTTTCATTAGAAGTTCCCAAATGGCAGCTGGCTGCTGCTCATCACACGCACAGCAGCAGGCTCCAGGTGTTTTGAAGTTGTGGAAAAGTGCTGTGGACTGAGATGCTGCTCATGGTTGCTGGTATTTCTCCCATAGAGTCTATGTCTGCTGGTATTCCTCTCAAGTGGAATCAGTAATTTCAGGCTGGCTGGGTTGTGCCCGATTGGAGTGGGCTGTTGATGAAGAGCTGACCTGTTGACTGGGGACAGAAACAAACGCCTGCTCTAATACTAGATATGATATAAACACATACATTTGTACATTGTGAATTATTGTCAATCTTTTTAGGACTTTTGTGACTAACAATGGCATTTGCATACAAGGACAATATTAATTAATCGCAGTGATGAATATTGAGTCATGGGTGGTTTTATTTTTAAGGGAGGGAACTTATAATGGGGGGGTAGTGAGTGAAAAAAGCAGCAGGGTTTTGTAATTTTTCTTTTTTTGAAGTGACTGTAGTCTGAAATATTTGGCGGTGCAGGAGAAGGTCTTTTAAAATCTTCTCATAATGAAGAACTGTCCACTTAGTAGCTGGATGCATGTCTTTGTTTGCTATAATATCTAATGTGAAATCTGGTATAAAAATCATTGCTCTGTTGGCATATTATACTTTAAAATTGTAAACCATGTAAATGTTTTTATGTACCTTTTTTTTTAAAGTTTTTTGATCAAACGAGTTGCGCCAATTCTAAAGTGTGGTATTATTTTGAGATATTAATGACGAGGCGTTTTCAGTTTTCATCTAAGTCAATAGGGTCTATTTTCAATTTTTAATAAAGCTGGGCAGGGCCTTGCTTTAAAAAAAAAAGTGAATCATTAAGTTCATCAGCCCTCCTCACTGCTGATGCTTTTCATACAGTCCCTAAGCCAATTTAAACTGGATGTGGGCATCATATCAGCACTGTATCAGTTGGATGTACTGCCATTTACAATGTCAATACTTTATGAATAAATTCATTTCTAGGGAACTGAATAAACATATGATATGAATAAACTCATTTTCCAGAATAGTACACTAGAGTTCATTTTCCTGGTATAAAAATAGATGTGCATATGAGGCAAACTCAGGATGAGTGATGTCAAAGCATGAAGAGAGACAGTGAGTGTATGTGTATATATGTGTGTGTGTGTGTGTGTGTTGAGGGGGAGCAGTACAGCATTCATACCAGTTTCTATGACATAACATTGGGTTTCTGAGTGTGTTTTTGTAGATTCCTTCTTAAGGTTGCGAGAAGCTTGAGTTGTCAAGACAACCATGGACTCTGCAATGGTTACTGCAGATACATCCACCCTTTTCTCTCTTTCTTAGACAGTGTTGCTTTAGGATATATCAAAAGTATCTATCAGTGGTCAACCTACAATGACATGAAATTGTGGTTTTACAACATACATTTGATTCACAGTTGGCTAAGAGCCTTCTAACATGAGTCTCTGTGGGCAGATATTGTTGGTCACTGTGATATGATTATTTGGTCATTTGTCAGTGCCTATTTATGTAAATACATATAAAATAATATTTCCAAAAGCCTTTAAATGTGATATCTGATCACTCAGTCACTCATCATGGGAGTGGTTGGAGGGGAGAACCCATGGTGTGGTATTGGAAATGTTTGTTTAACGACTATATTAATATATTATATACTAATAATATGGCAAATAATGTTGATTATAATTATTTTCATTTGTTATGTTTTGAGCTCTGTATATTGTTATTTTATGTTTTAAAGTATGAAATGTGAAAAAAGTATTACTGTAGTTTGCTTTCATTATTAACAACATGTTGAAACAAACATAACTTTGCATTACAAGAATCAATGTACAGTATCTATATAATTCTGAGCTGCAGCTAATCATGTCCATGTGCTGCCCTCTGTTGTGTGGATCTGGTATTGAACCTATACCAGGACTGGGCAGGCTTTCACTGAGGTCACTGAGGTCATTTCAATGATGGTCAGGTTCCTGGCTTGAATATCCAAATCAGGCACCTACGAAAGAAAAAAACATGGATCCATGCTGATTACTTGTAACTTGTACTCTATAATGACTATGTTCAGTGTAACCGATAAAGAGAGTTTTCTAGGCTCATTTTTTCCCCCTGTCTCACCTGTTGAACCAACCAACAAATCTCTTGGAAACTATGATTAAATCTTTGCTTCTTGGCTTTTTTTTTTTTACACAATTTGGTATCATTCAGATTCATTTGGTTCATGTGTTTGAACACATGACAACTCTACTGAGTTCCTTCAGTGGCTGTGTTACTCCTCCACAAATCACCCCCACCCAATCCTTTAGTTGCCTAAACTATGTTCTGGAGATGTGCGTAAGCAGTGGCTTGCTATTTTCAGCTGAATGAAAAGAGTCTTGGCACTTGGACTCAGGATGAAATCTGTTTTGTTCCGCTGAATTTGGCTTTCACCACATGCACAGTATCTACATGTAACAGAGTTAAGGAATTCAGTTTAATTATGTCCTACAGTAAAACCACAACCATTTGACTGAGCAGGGTGACTTTTGAATAATCTGTTTGCTGTCATATGAGAGGAATATGTTATCCTTAGTAACATAAATACAAAATGTCGCATTCTGACAACTGTCTTATTATTTGGCTGATGGAGTAAATTTGTTTGTAAGATGCTTGCAGAAAGTGGTAATGGTGGTAATCTTTGATGTAACATGTTGATTAAATGGTACTCCCTCGCATAAAGCAGCCACTGCCTCAACTATGAATCACATTGCACTTGTTTTGTATAAGGAAAACATTCAGACCCTGAATAAACAAAACACCAGAGTGCCCTTTCTGATGTGAAATGACACACAATTATAGGTTAAAGAAAATAGACTACATCACAGCCCATTTTCTACAGGCTTTTGTAGATAACCATTTCCTGGACTGAATGTAGGACCTTGGCCCTGAAATAAAAAGGACACTGTTTTCTTTACCTTGTTAAGAACCAGGACAACATTTGTTGGTTTTCAAAGCTTCATCCCCTTGCTAACCTGTCTTTCATTTTCATCTTTAGACATTTAATCTGAGGACTCAAGGTCACTTGAACTCTTAGTAGCACTCAACAATTGCTCAATTGTAACTGAATCTGGGATTCAATGGCAATCTCTCACAGATTTTACTACAGTGTAGACTACTATAGGCTACCTGCTGATCAAAATGGTGAAACTGAGTAGATGTAGGCAAATATTCACACATTTCTCACAAATGAATGCACCCAAACAGAGAGGTGAGGTCAGTATCACCTGCCTGGCGGATTTGCTGTCCTTTTGCTCTTTTCATTAACTGCTGAATTCACTGGCTTTCAATAGGCTCTTTCAGCGTGTCATGCTACACCACCATTGAGCTACAGCCACGTTGCCACCCATCTTTCTTAATGGGGAGTGGAGACTGTGGAGCTGCCTTGTTGCCATGGCAGCAAGCGCTTTCACATTCTCCCCACATAGTGTGCAGCGTGCATGTTGTTCCTTCCCAACTCCAGCGAACCACAACAGAGACAGGTCTTGCTCTCAGACAGGACCAAGCCAGGGTTATTTGCCTCCCGCTCTGATACCAGATGCCCTCTATCCAACCACCCACACTCCACTTTCCATCCTCTTTATTACTAATGCATAGTATTTCCCATTGGCTGCTCACCTACACTACCTAAACTTTGCTCCAACACTTTTTTTTTATTTTTATAGTTCTTCAAGCTTTGTTATTCCTTTTCACATGGTTAGACTACAGGTAGTTTGGTTAGTTATGTTTCTGAGGGGACTAGTGGAACTACAACCAACATGGGGAGGGCTCCCAAAAATGAAATTAAAATTTTGTTTTTATCTGTAATTTTGAATAAATTTTTGCTTTGTTAGCATTATGAGTGAATAATTGTTGGCTGAATAAACATAGTTTGACAGACTATTTCAAGTTTCTAAAATCCGATTAAAACCTCTCAGGTGTCTATGAAGGTATTTTTGTGTCTTTTTAATGCAAGAAATATATTTGAGGGAATATTTATCGCACTGCAATCAAAATTCAAGTTTATTTTTAATTACAAACTTGATTTTTGATTGCAGTGCAATAAATATTCTCTCAAAACATTTTTTTCTGCTTACATCAAAATACACAAAAATACCTTCATAGGTGTCCCCCATCTAACAGGTGCACCATGGTATAGTCCACTCCTTACAAATGTAGTTGGTCTTCAAACGCGGTAACTTCGCTGATGCTAGCGCTGAGGAGGACTTCAGGTTAGCTTTGAAACGAATTCTGTCATTTAATAAAGGAAAGTCAGGCAACCAAAAGAGAAAAGAAAGACAGAGGGAGAAAGCAATCACAGGGAAAATATCAATACAGCTTGCTGGCAGTGTTTCACAATGGTGACATGGCTAGCAAGCTAATATTAAGTTAGCTTGCTGAGAAATTATGCCGCATTGCCTTCAGTTTCAGAAGCAGCCTCAGAAAGTGGATCAGATTTGGTGGATTGGTTTTCTTTTATAACTAACAACTAACCATTATTTTCATAAATTAATTGATTAATCGTTCGGTGCATGAAATGAAGATTTTTGTGCTATGCCGCTGATTATTCCTAATGCAGTGGTGAAAAGTACATTTACTCAAGTAAGTTACCGTATTATACTCTAATACATTTAAATAACAGCTATAGTTACATGTCACTTTTATTTTACTTACCAAACATGATCAACTTATAAAATGCATTGTTATAGATTAAAGACCTTACATAACATTACCCACACATCTGTCTGCAGTTAGTATGTAATGACTAATTTTACCTTTGATACTTGTAATGATACTACTATATTACTAGAATTAGTATGGTGTGGTATTGTTGCTTAAAACAATATGAGTACTTCTACCACTGTTTTAACCTATAAGTATAACTGACCCAAACTGCAGTATTTTAGCAAAGTATTGAACAAGTTTTTGGAAAACACTATGAATGAGTTCATTAATGTAGACAATAGCACACCATGGGAAACATCTTGGTATTTCCCATATGTGACTGTTTGCATCATACATGCTTCCCTGGCCTCCTGTGTGTGTCTTAATACCAGTGTTACATGTCTGGACATGTCTGCTGCAGCAGAGGAGGCTCACTTAGCTCCAGCTAGTGTATGGTGAGGATGCAGAGCAGAATGGAGGTAATGGTATTTTGGATAATTATTTGCTGGACACTGAACTGTCTCAAGGTAATATGAGTCGCCTCTTCAGATTTGTGAGGAGGTTGTGGTTGAAAATGTTCCCCTAGAACTTAAAATAGAACTTGTGTTTTGCTTTGTGGAAAAGGTCAAGCAGTGTTACAACCTGCAGCAACCGGAGTTCACTTGATTTGTCATTGTGTTTTCCACTGAGGGCTGCTGTTTAGGAGTGTGTGAGTAAGAGAGAGAGCACTGAGAGGCAGGATGTAGAGACATCTGGGAGTTTAAAAATTGAAGAATGTAAGTATAATACAGTGTTGATTTGTTGAGATGGTGAGGTAGAGTACTACTACCATTACTAATATTACCCACTTTATACTACTACTACTCTTATCCAGAGCATCATCAGCTTTCAGAGTTTATATTTGTAAGATGACAGAGATCTTTTTATGGTTTGGGGCACTCCCACTCATCATGCATACGCCACACTGAGGAATGTAACACTGGTAGCATAGCCTTTAGTTGTGTGCGCTCAGACTTAAAGAGCACATGCAACAAGGCCAGCAAAACCATCTGTCAGGTAGGTTAAACCACTATAGTTAGCTTCCAATATAGTATCTGAAAAGCTGTGAACAAAGATTTAATATTCCTGATCTGTCTTTCCGGTAATGGACAACACAATTCTTCTCTTAAGTATGAGGTACATTTGTGCTTTTACTTTGAAACAAACAGAGGTCCAGGGAAATAGTATTGTCAGAAACATACTGTAGGCCTATAGCTTATATGTTACTGTCTATGTACTTACAGGGGACTTCAGCAGCTTTAAGTGGTGGAAGTTTATGTGGATTGACACTGTTGTTACACAGGGTGCTTTTCACCATTGTAATGGTGTACAGTAATGATGAGGTTGCTCAGTAAAACACCTGAACTGAAAGCAAGGAGTGTCCATTTAACAGCTGGGACAGGTGTAGATGATGATCAGTTGTATGTCCTGTCACTGTATTACTGTCATGAACAGTTAATGACAGTCACACCACAGTCATTGGAGAGCTTTATTGAGAGTTATTCCACAAAATCAAAACTTAAATTTATTTTCAACAAACTTTCAAACTAAGCGTGTCTCTTTTAATGGTGAACTAACTTCTTATTTCCTAACTTCACATCTTGTTCACATGTACCTGCAGTACATGTAGATATCAGTATATGCTGTTCTGGTACACCATTAGTATAAATAAGTACACTGTATATTGGGAAGAATTACGCTGTATGTTGCGGGCCCTAATCTTCAGCATTATCCCTTTGCAGAAATGCAGGTGAAGTCTTTGATCGAGCAACAAACAGCAAGACAGATTTGACAGTTGTGTCTTCATGCTGCCTCACTGTTGATCCGCTCTGTACAGTCAGTGAGCATTTTGCTGCATGCAACTCCAGCTGAATTTGTGAATTCTCACAGGAAAGCTTATTTAAAGAGGTGGTATTATGCTCATTTTCAGGTTCAAAATCTTAATTAGGGGTTGTACCAGAACAGGATTACATGGTTTAATTTTCAAAAAACACCATAATTTCAGAGTGATGCATCTTACTTGTACAAAATCTTTGTTGGGAGTTGCACATGCGCAGTTCCCAGGTAGGACTACTAGCCAATCAGAAGCAGAAAAGGGCGGGTCGTAAGAAACAAGGTAGTGTGACCCAAATCAAAGCTATTTCAGACTGCGACTGTAACCTAGCAGATGGTGTAAGTTACTCACAAGTCCACAACCACACAACATCATTGTTCCACATCTTACCATAAACCACTACAAAAATCACCATATTTCAACTAAATTCTACATAAAAATTGGCCGAACAATTTGAACGTTTGCTCAGTAGCTTCCACATCAGGTGTAACATTAGCATTATAGTTATAACATCTGTGAAGTTACATTGCCGTGTTTATTTTAAATATAATTCACAACCAATAAAGCATACTTACAGGTTGTGAATGTGAATTTCCAGGCCCAAACAGAGTCGGAGTTGCATCGTCTTTTAGGACTAAACGTTGAACTGTTGCCGGTGTTATGACGATCTATGCTGCCTTGCTGAAAAATGCTACCATAGCGCCAATCGATAGACTCGACTCTACTCGGCCCTGCTCCATTTTCCATTGCAGATAGTGCCCAGAGATAGTACGTACACAGCTTTCTCTTTTTTAAGTTCCAACATTTCAACATTCCTCAGAATGTAAAGACAGATAAGCGGTATGAAAACCTTCCAGCTGTGTTTTCCTCTGCCATTGTTGCTGCAGCGGTCTGTGTGACGGCGGGAGCAGAGGGCTCTGTGAGCGGGCGGCTGGCCGGCCTCACACGCTCCTCCCGCGGGTTGGCACAGGCTTCCCCCACAGCCACTTGCGGAGCTCCTCAACTCCGAAAATATTCAAGCACATTTTTGTTCCGCCGTCACTTCTCGTAAAACTGTCAATATTCGAAATCTACACAGCTGATTTCTCACCTCAAAACTTCTCAGAAGTGGATTTAGTGATGAAATTCCATACGAAAACTGTAAAATATAAAACTTTCTGTTACTGGCCTCCGGTGCACGCAATGATGATGCAGTGAATAGTGAATTTTCTCTCTGACCAATCAGCAGTCTGTTGTGTTTTCACATTACGTTTTAGTATCCCTCAGCTCGCTTGGAACCTCGACGGAGGTGAGGTGATACGTAAAGAAGTACCTGGAAGCAGGTACAACATTTCTACAATGGACAACCAAACAAAGGCGAGTCGAGCCAAGTCGAGCTGGAACTGTGCAGTGGAAAAGGGGCTTAACTAAAATCAAAGGGCCTCAGCTCAGACCAGCTTGGTTTGAGGGAATGCCTACCCGCATGGCAAGCTTTATGACGCGATTTTCTTGTGACGTCACAGGGAAGGAAGGGAAACGGCTGGACTACAACGAGCTGTTTTCAAGCGGTTCAGAGCAGTCCTTTCTGTGGGAGATGGGAACTCCCTTTGGGCTGGACTTTGGGCTTTTTCACATTGCAAACACAAAAAAGAGATATAACTCAATAAAGGAGAGGGAAAAGGCCAAAAAGCACAATACCACCTCTTTAAACTAACCTGCTGACCTTGATTCTGACCTTGATTGTACAGTGAGCCACAATCTCTTGTAGGTAGAAAGACATACAGAAGGGATGCAGCTAACAATTATTTTCATTATGTTAATCTGTCGATTATTTTCTCGATTAATTGATTAGTTGTGTCCCAAAGCCCAAGGTGACGTCCTCAAATGTCTTCTTTTGTCCACAACCCAAATATATTCTATATATATATAGTTTACTGCCATAGAGGAAGAAAGAAACCAGAAAATACTTACATTTCAGAAGCTTAAATCAGAGAATTTTGACTTTTTTTTTCTTTAAAAAAGCAATTTATCGATTATCGAAATAGTTGGCGATCAGTTGACGACTGGACTAGCCTAATCGATTATTCGACTAATCGTTGCAGCTCTAACATACAGTACAGTAAGGTTAAAAAAATTTAATTTTTGACTATTGTGATGTTGTCTATCAAATCGGTGTGAAATCAGACCTTGTCTGGCTTAAGGCAGCATATAAAAGACTTTGCAGATTTGTCCTTGGATGTCCTTTTCTCACTCATCACTGTACATTGTATGATGCACTTAAAAGGCCATCTCTACATTTTTAGAAGACGCACTCAGTGGTTTTAACATGTTTTCATTTGAATGTTGCCAATAGTAACAGTATCGTGTTCCCTTTACTTCAGATTTATAAGTTCGGTACTCTGCTCTGCCCTATTTCTCTGTCCCTTGTGATTAGAAAACAATTTATGTTTAAAGCCCCAGTAGATTGGAATAATTTACCTGTTGATATTAGATCTGTGTCATCATTGGACTGCTCCTTAATGAAGCTGTCACATTGTGTATATACTGTAATTGATGTTTATAACTGATTGTACTTTTATTTGGTGGATCCAGTCACACTGCTTTTCAAGTATGGGCCATCTTGTGGTTGTAATGTTCTCTATGTTTCAGTAATTGTTATTGTTTTTATTACCCATAGCTATCCACATTAAACCTCTTGTTGCATTATCTGTGTTTTCCCCAGTCTGCAATCTAGGTGGAGGGACACCCTGCTTGTCCTGCCTGTAGAGGAGCAGATAGCTGGCTGGCTTGGTGGTGAAGCGCCTGTCTGTAGCCTGGCTCTCTCTGCTGTGTGCTGTAGAGGATAAGAAGGAGGCCCTGGGGTGAGGAGAGCCCTATTGCCAAGTAGCTGGGTGGCAGGGTGTTTATCAGCGCTGCCTGCCTGCACGAAAGGAAATATCTCTGGGGAAGAAATGGGGGAGGCCTGGGGAGCCCTGGGAGGGTGGCAGGTTACTCTGAGTCACTTTGCAGCTGAATAGAGGCTATAATTGTAGGGCAGCTCGCAGGGCAGATTAGGAGGAGATTTGTCTCTACAGGGGAAAATGCACATGAAAATGAACAAGAATGAAACAGTGCATTAAAACAGCTTTGTGCTAACACACTGAACAAATTAATCCCCTGTCGGTTTGTGTTTGTGCATATGTGTTAGTGTCTCTGCATGTATATGGCAATGTGAATATCCCACAATTCACAGTCATGCAGTATGTCTGTCTGAGCAAAGCCTTTCTGAATCTCCAGCTCTTTCTCCCTCCCTCCCCCTCCGTCTGTTGCTCCCTCCCCCTCCTTCACTCTCTGTGTGAGCGTAGTCTGGGCGCTAAGCCAAGTAGAGTGTGTTTTTTTTGAATGAATACCTGATGCGGCTGATGAGGCTGGCTGGAGGAGGAGCTGTGTCAGTGGAGTACTGAGAGAGAGAAAGAAAGAGGAGGGAGGTAGAGAGGGAAAGGGAAAGAGGCAGAGAGAGAGCGAGAGAGAGAGAAAAGCAGCCAGGCAGAGAGAGAGCTGGCGGTCTGGTGGCCTTGCATAACACACGTTGGAGCAGCCTTGAATGCAGGACTTGGTGTTAGCTTCAGCAGTGGGGAACTTCTTTTACCGTCAACCCGTTGCAGGGGCAGCGTAGCCTCCGAACCGGAGAGTCCAGAAAGGAAGTCAGAGCTGGAGCTGCTACAGCAGAGGCTTCAGGAGAGGATAGCGGCACAAAGGAGAGATTCAGGAAGACGAGTCCTAGGAAACACGTCTCCCAACACAAATACGCACAGACATACACACACACACACTGAGAGGCAGGAAGAATCCTTGGACATGCTCTGCAAGCAGTGGCTGTGGAGAGACTGGTGAGCTATTCTTAGTACTCTAACCGGAGGAGGGGGGGTTGTCTCTTTTCTTCTTGATTTGTGGCACAGTAGTATTTTATGCCCTGCTACTACACTCATGTGCTCTTACTGTCATTCGAAAGCCCCCGGAGGCTACAGCCACAGCATTTGTCCAGAGTCACAGTTGTAGGATTCATCAGCATTGACCCTGTTTGGGTGTAGAGGTGCTCGCTGGGGGGACGCCTGCATACACATCTCTGCTTGTATACTGTGTGATTGGTGTGTGTTGAGCAGTGATGCAGAACTCTGGAGTCATTGTGAAGACAAACAGCCGGAACCCACTGCCTGTTCTTACTGTCTGCTTTAGACTGCCACACGGTAGGTCCGCCTCTTAAAGGCATAGGCACTCTGGATCTACAGAGAAGGGGCAGTAAAATGGCTTTTTTGGGTATTAGAAAAAAGCATTACGCTGTATTGATCTGCTCTGTGGTTAAAGCCGCTATGTTTGTAAGGGGCTTGAGGGGAGGTCCTATTTATATGCAGCGAATCACACATACACGCACGTACATATTGTCTTCCACAGTACCTCCCTCTCTGTTTCATGCCAGAGCTCAGATTGATAATGATGTTTTTGTTTTCTATATATAGCCATTTGCTGTACGCGACATTCACTGTGTATCTATGACTGGTCTTGCAGGTGGAACATGATGTATAGCAGTATTGACAACAGGTTTAACACCTTAGGATCATTGCATTAACTTTTTGCATGAATCTTTTACAAAGAAGCAACATCTTGGAACACTGTCACTAAATAATTTTGTTGCCTTTCTATTTCCTCCCTGCATCATCCTGCTGCAGAGAAATAAGATATGGCTATGAAGCAGTGGATCAATGCGAGGAGTAAATAGTGGGTCTGGGAGCATGAGAGAAGACTCAGGGAGAAGAAGTGGAGGCGGGGGCACTGGAGGAGAGCTGGCGACTGCTGTGTAAGAGAGGAGATGCAACGTTGCTGGGGGGCCTCTCACCTGGAGACAACAGAGAGGACGTTGAATGAAAACATCTCCTCTCCTGCGAGCACAGTGATGGCAGAAACGCCGCCACACACAGCTATTTCTCTTATTTGTGCAGCTTTTTACGTGGGAGTATGAAAGAGGATCACATGCAAGGCTGGCTCTATCACTCTGAGCTGAAAAGCATCAGTGTGATGAGTGGAACAGAGAGTGGCCTGTCCCCCCCCCCCCCCCCCCCCCCCGCCTCTGTTGTCATCCCTCCATACATGTCTCAGAGGTGACTGGGCCAGGGGACTGACTCAGGGCTCCCGTGCTGTCTGGCTCGGTGTCACAGTCATGTCTTGAAAGCTCGCCTTTGTTCTCCATAGTATCACAAAGGCCGTATGTTTGTTGGTGTCAGTGTTCTAATAATAGGCTGACGCTGGAAAATCTAGAGTGGCTTTTGGCTGCTGAGCTGTGTGTGTGTGTGTGTGTGTGTGTGTGTGTGTGTGTGTGTGTGTGTGTGTGTGTGTGTGTGTGTGTGTGTGTGTGTGTGTGTGTGGGACCATGTGCACAGAATGCTGTGTACACAGACACCTTTTAAGAGCATCCTGTTGTATATTGGGTCTGTTGACAGTAATGATGTGTTTTTGTGATATTTGGAAATCACAGCATGCTGGCTTTGTCTTCCCGTGCTGCTGTGATCATTGGAATTTCTTGTGCTTTAGATGTGATGTCATTACAGTGTTGACACGGTGTTGTTTAGGTGGGGTTGTTGCCACTGAGCGATGGTGCACAGTGTAGCTCAGGCTGTAGCGACGGCTGTGTTGCTGAGCGGGGATCTCTCAGCGAGGTGGGGGCTATGGCGCTCTGATGCTGCAGGCGCTGCTCAATGTGGGTCAGGAGAGGCAGCACTCTGTCTTCTCCCCATTCCCCATTCTCTCTCCCTATTTCTCATCCCTAATCTTCTTTCTCGTCTCACTCCTCCCCTCGTACGCCCTTTCCTCCTTCTACACAGTTCTGTCATCTTACATTGCTGTTTCTCCCTCTGCTCCCCCTCATTCTCCTCGTTCTGTTTGTGTTCCTCTCCAGCTCTGCTGCTCGCCTTCTTTGTTACATCTGGTGGATCTACCAGGCTGCATGGTTATTTGAATTGCACGGAGGTTTCCGCTGCTTTCGGATGCAGTGACCTTGTCAGTGCCAGCATTAGAGGTGGATGCATCTAAATGGAAACTGACCAAGGTCGCCTTCTGTCCCCCCTGGCTTTATGTAACGTGTGTTGCTGCCTGCTATAGTGAACCTCCTCTGTAATATGAAAATACAATTCAGCACTGTCAAATAGCCCAGCTCTTCTGAATGGAATGTAGGGGGAGAAAAACAAATGGATGGATGTGTGAGTGTGTGTCACACACTCCATCTCTGTGGTGCCTCTGGCTAATGAACAACTCAGAGTCCTGTGCATTGACCCACAGATAAGCCTGCAGGAAAGAACAGTCAATCTGAAACTGGAAAAAAAGATCTCATGCGAAACAAAAGGCTGCATGTTGATATTGTTGAATTAATGGATGCATACTACAGTGTCCTCTTGTGTGAGCATGCATATGTATAAGAATCTACAGTATATGGGACTGGATATTGGGGTAGTCCTGCGGTCAAATATTGATACTGGCTAGCTGCTGCTGTGGCTTGTTGACTTACCTCTCATTAACCCACATTATAAGTACTAGTTCCAGTAACCTCCCCATTTCTAGCTGAGAATAAAGAACTTGTTTCGTGTACTCATGTAAAGAGTGCATTAATTGTTTGTTGTCCACTTTGTATTCCCTTCAACTTTGAAACACCACTCAAACCGGGTACAGTGGAAAGCCATTGTTAAAATATTTTGAAGCACTACAGTGATGGCAACAAAGGCCCATTCACCCTTCTTGCAAAATGTTCCATAATCAAATTTCAGTCCATATTGTTTTCACTTCATTTTTTTCTGATGTGCCCACTGACCCAGAGTTCCTGTCTGGAGGTGGATGTTATATTTACAGTAGCCCCACTGACTCAACACAAGCCAAGGCAGAGTGTTAAAACAAAGACAAAAGCATAAGCTCTGCTGAGGCTGTTACTCTGTGCTGTTATCCTTTCACTCTGCTCTGCTTTCTTACCCTAGAGCCTGGAGCAAGATAACAGCCAACAGCTACGCATATACACTTACCCTGTACACATGAGTGTGCACACACCCAGACACACAAACACTGGAGTTCAGGAAACTCTTACCTGGTGTTGAAAACATGAAAGAGCCTTTCCCACATTATGTAAATGGTGACAAAACATTGAACTGTACTTTCCTGGTGTGTCATACATCATTTATCACGGAAAGCCTGGTTGAGTTTTGACAGATTAGTCCGTGTAGATACTCTATGGGAATCTTAAGAGGTTGAGCATCATGGTCACAGAATCGCCTACAAGTTTGTGTTCAAGTGCGTTAGACAAATGTATATCAGATGCAGTAGTTATATCAGGAACCACCTTGTGGCAAAACAAAGAACGACACCTTGACACATGAAAATAGGGACATTTTTAAGAGTGAAGTATTTTGATGCTTGCTGTTTTGCATTTGAAGCCCTGTAGGAATTTGGTTCATCAACACAGGCTGTGCTTACTGAGCTAGCTCTGCAGCGCAATTAAGACTAATGAGAACGTCAAGTCAAGTTTATTTATATAGCCAACAGTCAGAAGTGCTCCTACAGAGCTTTAAAATCATATGATATGGACTTTTGAATTTTATTTTATCTTACCTGAGTGTCTGATTTGAGCTTCTCTCTGCCATCAGATTCCTGGCGACACCGTGGAAGAGGTGGATCAGTCAGAGATGATTCCTCATGAAGTCTGTGGAGCTCATTTTGTGAGCTGGAGTGACTCCATCTTCTCTGGTCTGAGACCTGGAGCTGTCTACCAGTGAACGCAAAGAGAGCCAGAGCCACGCGGCACACAACCATCGAGTGGAGGAGAGAGCGAAAGAGAGACCCAAAAGAACTTAGAAGTACTACCCGGGAATATTAAAACCAGTCTGTCACAATGAAATCCAACCAGGAGCGGAGTAATGGATGCCTGCCTCCTAAGAAGCGTGAGATCCTGGCTCTAGAGCAGAGGCCAGTGGCAGTCACCACAGCAACACCTCCAGCTGCAGTGGTTACTGACAGTCCCCACACGGAGAACCTAGCATGGCTGGCAAGCGTAGCCAGTGAACGCTGCAAATCCAGGGACGCTGACAGCCCGAGATGTCCCATCATTTCCTCCACTTCCTCTTCTCCTTCCACCTCTATCCCCTCCTCGGCCACTCCTCTGTCTGCGGTGCCCTTGGCCTCTCTGCCTGCAGTTTACCCCACAGCCCTCCCCCAGCAGGCCGGGACTATCCAGTTTGCTCAGCTGGGACCCAACGTTCAGTTCATCAGCTCTGGGCCGTATGCTGGCTACATCTCCTCCCACATCATCTCCACTAATGCTGGCTCTGCACCTAACAGCTCTGCCATAGGACAGCGTCCCCACCTGGATGGTTACACCACTGCCCTCATCTCCCCCAACACCAAAGGTGAGCAGCAGCAGTTTCAAATAGGCCTCTCTCCCTCAGAACTGGCTCCTGTGTCACTTCCAAGCTCTCCCCACGTCACCAGCCAGTACATCCATCTGGACAGCAGAACACCTCTGACTGTCAGCGGAAACACGGTCACTTCACAGACGGCCCACCTCCAGCTCCATCCTCACACCGCCGTCCTGCCTCAAACGCTTACCCTCACTCCCTCCCAGCTGGTGGTTCAGTATGCAGATGGTTCACTGGGAAAGAAACCAGAGGGGCATGCTAAGGGCATGTTGAATGGGGAATTTGAGATGGTCAAACAGACTAAAACTCCCAGTCACCCAGCAAACCATCAGCAGATCCACAGCTATGAGGCCAGACATATCCTCCTGCCTGCAGACTATGGCCAAAACCCTGCAGGACTCCAGACGTCCTTGGTGCTTGTGGCCCAGCCCAACCATGGAGCGGAACGTGAAGCTGGCTCAAATAAGATCTCGTTAGTCCAGACTGAGAAAGGAGGCATCTGTTTGGGGAAACCAGTGTCCAGATCCTCCTCTTTCACCTCCCTCTCGTCCTCAGAGGTGGTGAAGTCTGTTGCTCCTCACACAGTCATCCAGACCACTCTTGCCTCCGAGGAGCTGCCAGCCAGTCTGTATTCCTCCACACAGCCACCCATCATTGGCTATATCACCAGTGCAAATCAGCACGCTGTCAGCTACCACGCAGCACTGCCTCAGCACTTGGTCATCCCGAGTGGCCAGTCCCTCCTCATCCCAGTCAGTGGCACTAGTAACAGCACAGAAATTGAGGTTAGTCGTTCTGTCAACGCCATGACTGCCACCACTACCCCTCAAATATCCACCGCCATGCCGCATGCCTATCTGGCCACAGCCCTGTCAAAGTGTGAGGCGCTTGGGTCAGATGGAAATCAGCCACCCCCTGCCGTCGCACAGGCACCAGCGCTGCCGGTCCTGCCCTCAATCCCGGGTCCTACAGTGGTGTCAGCTCCCTCCCCAACTCCTGCTAGTGTCCCCACTCCTGCACCTGTTTCTATTCAAGCCTCCCCCACTGTCTCCTCTTCCTCTTCCCCTGTGGCGCTTCCTCCGTTCTTCATGCGAGGCTCCATCATCCAGCTGGCTGATGGGGAGCTGAAGCGTGTGGAGGACCTCAAGACTGAGGACTTCATCCAGAGTGCGGAAATTAGCAGTGAGCTGAAGATTGACTCCAGCACTGTTGAGCGTATTGACAGTGGGCAAAGTCCTAATGCTGTGGTCATACAGTTTTCTGTGGGAGAGCTCAAAGCCCAGGTAAGTTATTCCTCATTCATCATTCTTGTATGATTAATAACTAGTTTCATTTTTAAAGCCACTACGTATAGAATTTTGAACCTTTGGCGCCCCCCAGTGATGGTATCAAAGAGCCACTGTGGCAGATAGCAATGCGCACATAAATAAATAGCCACCAGAATTATTTGTTCTATCTAAAGGCAATGACATTTATGAGAAAATGCATCCAGGAATCCACTAGTTATAAGCACTGTCGATCTCCCCTTGTGCTCACTATGGTCATCAATTAAGCCCTCAGCTACAAAGCTTTGAAATCCATCTCTGATGCAGAACTGAGAGAAATGAAAACACTCTTTTTCATTCATATAATAATTTTCCAACCTACCATTTTTCTCCAGCAGTTCCAACACAGCTCCCTCTCGTGTATGAGATGCCAAAATAACATTAAATTATGCAGAACTTAGCTTTGAAAGATCAAAAGCCATTACTTTTACTGATAAATGAACCATGTTTATAAAGGGCTACAGATCTCGACTGATACTGGATTCTTTAGGCATCGACATTTTAATTTGACTACATAACATAAACAAACATTTTTGATCCATTTAATCTGTTCTGAACAAATTTGTACTGAGCGGGACAATTTACTGACAAGGTTATTTTTCATGGAAAATATATTTGTCAGTGCTCTCTGATGGACAAATGGGGAAATAATTTAACAAAAATATGTGGCATTTCTGTGCTGCAATATCTTGTAATTTATTTACATATACAGCTGTTCTGATTGTAGTTATCAGCTGTGTTGATTTACTGCTCTTGCTCTAAAATACACTTTACAAAAGGCCTTTTCACAACATTTTGACTTGTCAACACAGTAGGAGCACAGGTGAAAATAGTTACATTAACAGTGACTTCACTCCATTAAGTATCGGTGTAAGTCATGACAGTGAGCCAGCATGCACAAAACCAGGACACTGAAACTGAAGCAACTAATTGGATCAGTAATTTTATCTTTTACATCTGGGATTTCCTACTGTGATACATCAAAATGTCTTCTGTGAAAAAGGCCAAAGGCTTGTTATTTACAAATAAAAACATATGGCAACAAAATAATATAAAACCTAGTTTGTACTGGTTAAAAGCTAACTGTGTCTATGGTGCATGTGCTCATCTCCAGGTGTGTGTGGAGGTGCTGGTGGAGTATCCCTTCTTTGTATTTGGCCAGGGCTGGTCGTCCTGCTGCCCAGACCGGACCACCCAGCTGTTTGAGCTGTCCTGTGCTAAGCTGTGTGTGGGTGATGTATGCGTGTCGCTGACCCTCCGCGGCTTGAGGAACGGCTCAGTGACAGACAGCCAGGCTTGTGGGACCAAGCTGAAGACCGGTCACCCCTCTGACATCCACAGTGTGGATGCCACTGTAAGAAACAGTATGAGTCCAAACGCTGCAGGCAGTAACAGCGGCCTCCTCATGAAGGCTTCCAGTGCAGACAGGCTAGAGAGGGAGCAGGTAACTGGCCCAGGACCAGGGCTAGAGTTACCACCGGGATTGGGACTAGTTACAGGACAAGGGGAGGGGATCTATGGCGCTGGACCAGTGCTGACAGTCTCGGGGACTGGAGAAGTAAGACAGGAAGCAGTGAAAACAGACATTCCTGCTCTTACCAAAATACAATGTGGTGATCCAGAGAGACCCACAGGCCGCAAGAGACGCTGGTCAGCTCCAGAGCGAGACCAGACTGAGAGGGCTGAGGAGGAGCCTCCTTTGACTCTGCCCAAACCCTCCTTCATCCCTCAGGAGGTTAAAATCTGCATAGAGGGGCACTCCAGTGCTGGGAGTGAAAGGTGCTTGAACAAAAGAGTAGACTGTTGAGAGAACTTAAAGGAATTTTGATTACATGTGGTTTACTTTGTGTTTGTCCCCTCTCTTTTCTCCATCCAGACTACTGTAATATAATCTGAGTTTACACACTATTCACGTTTCCTTTTCTTTCACACAAGTCTGATATCAACGATGAAGTATAGTAGAGCACCTTCATAAGTGGTATCACACACGAGATCAGTGCAATCAATGCTGAAAGCAACAATGAATGCAGCGTGAATGTCGCCTGAGAGACATTCGACTTACGTCTCACATATGATAAGCTGGATCTCCTTTGTCACGTGGCTTAAACCTGTTGGATGAAGACCAGTCAACCATTCCTCTTATCACATGAACAAGCACAGTCCCAGATGTCAGCGTGCAGAAAATGGATAAGCATGTTTAGCCTCTCATCTTGTCTGCTTCACCGTTTATTTGGTTTGTAGTGACGTTTATGAGTGGTTGGAGTCAAAGAGAAACCTTTGTAGTTTCAATGACAAGGCTCAATCGTCATGGATGGGATCTATGCTGCCTTGCGTATCTATATTTTCTGACTCTTTTTTTCGTATCATTACAGATGTGTGTTTGCTACTGCAGGTGGCCTTGTGCCACTTGTCTCTATGTGTATGTGCCTGAGTTTGCTTGTGTTTTTCTGTGTGGCTGTCAGACGGAGCACATGATCTGTGTGGGTGTAGCTGAGAGCTCAGTTGTCAATACAACCTGAATGTAAATCACTGAATTTGTCCTCGAAACTAACTAATGAAGTCATCCATATGGTGCATGCTACACCAGTGGAGTATGCTGAGAATTTGATACCATTGCTTTTGCAGTATGTGGGTGACAGCATCGAACATGGGTGCATCCCTCTGATATAGTTCCCCAGTCAAATTCACCGTTATACTTTTTTTTCCCAAAGTATTCTTTTGTCTTCCTTCCTTTCCTAATGTCTGTCTTTAACCCTGGCTGCTATGAGCAGCTATTAAACTGAGGGGGAAAGTACGGTATTTCTATCACATTTCTATCAATCCAAAAATTAATGAGCTTTTAGCCAATTTATGTATGGACTTACTTCTCATTCTACAATATAAATCATAGTTGGGGCAGCGCAGCAAACTAAACAAAACACTAACCTTTTAGATTTGATATGGCAAACTTTCACGTCCAGCAGACACAGAGAAACATTAACATCCATTTGGTGTCATGTTTCAGGCGGTCTGTTGAATGCAAGTCCAGTTCATCCCACTTTTAGCTCTGTTTTTGGACTTGACCAACACCTGAGAGGAACATCTGGCCTTTAAATTGCTAAATTCTCCATCATGTTCTCCAGCCTAATTGCTAACATTGTCTGTTTGCAGTTTGGTGCCGGGCAGGTAGTTTATAGTGGGTTTACCAAAGCTTTTTCACTGAAACAACTGCCTGCTGCGCCTGAAATTGAACGGTGAGTGAAAGTTGCTGGCCATAAAACCAAAACAGTGAGCTGAAGGATGCTAACATGCTCGGCAGAGCTGGGTAATAATTTCACATTACACATCTGACCCATTGTTGATATAAAAATATTGATTAAAGCAACTTAAAATGCAAACATACCATATGAAAAAAAGTGATGTAATATTTATTTACTGATGGAAATTTGTACCAGCCCCTATGCTATTTGCTTTCTTGACAGAAGACTATGGCCTTAGATATATGTACCTAGTTCAAAACAGCACATGGCTTTTAGGGTTTTGCCATTAAAACCTGTTTTCCTCAATTATGGTATGCCTTTCATAAGTCCATACCTATTACATCAGCGTACTGCTCTTTTGATTAAAACAGCTTTCTTTCTCTTAGATCAGAGTACATTTCTTTCTTAGAAAAGAGCCAAAATAAATATCCTACAGTTCATACTCAGGAACAGTGTGTATCTGTATGTGTGTGTAAACAGACAGTGTGTGTGGGGTGTATGTGGATGTGTGCGTTCTGAGCAGCAGCACTTTGATGAAGCATCAAGCGACAGTGGTGGTGGTGTCCCCCGTTCCTCAGCTGTTTGATATAATGAGAATAATCAACTGACTGTTTTTCACCACATCACGTCCTACAGGTTTATCATTGAGAGAAAAACCTTATAGACCGGGGCAGGGAATGTAAACACACATCGGGCAAACTATCTCAGCTTTATTTTTGATGACAGAGAGAGCTAATATACAGAGAAAGAAAGAGAGATTTGTAGAGTTAACTAGCCAGCTGGTGTTCATCATGTACAGTAAATTGTATCCTTGAGAGTGTACAGTGTGTGTGTATAGATATTCTTACCCTTATGTAACCTATGTACTGTATGTGCCACAGCGCCTCTTTCTTCAATCATTCCATTAACTCACCAATATCAAATGGTCGTTTTTGTCAGTTCAGGTATTGCTCTAATGTTCATGAATGTGCTACAGTTCTTTGGGAACGTCTACATAATCTGGCCGCCTCAGAAATCAATTTGACTTGCACGCTTACTACACTACAGTGTGTGTGAATTTGAACTGCGGTTTATCATAATAGCCATTAACCTTTTATAATTCTTGAAAGGTGTTTATTGTAAACCCAGACTGTTCTCTTCTGTTTGTGTTTGACTGCTCAGGCTAAACACTGCCCAGTGACTGTTCTTCTCCAAAACAATGTGGTATTGTATTTTTCACTGTTAAAAAGTAGAGGTACTGTTTCATCAGTTTGTCTTTGTAGCCATTTTCTTTCTATGGGAGCCTGGCCTGTGTTTGTATTTCTTCTTTAAGAAATTGTTATTTTTCAAATACAGACCTGAAATTACGTTATGACACAGGCAAATCTATGACATGTAAGATTAATGCTTAAAATAATTATTTTATTTTATTGTATTTTTGAGAAATACGCATATTTGCTTTTTTTGCTGAGAGTTAGGTGAGATGATTGATACCACTCAGAAACACGAGAGTGGTATGAATCTTGTCATCTAAGTTTTGCCAAAAGCGCATTTCCCAAAATGTCGAAATATTTCTGTAAAGACCCTGCTCACCCACACTTTGGCTAATTAGACCTCAGTTCAGGTTGAAGCTGGGAAGAGCTGTGCTGCCCCAACAGGGGCATCAAGGAGGAGTTGTTAATCAATCAGCCTGTACACACCCTTACAGTTCTGAGAAGAGGCCTAATCAAGCGAAATAAGTACACTGTGAGGTTGGACCACAGGTGTGTAGGAACAGAGCCTTTCAAAATAATGTTCAGTATGATGTAAAAGCGCTGCCTTGTGGTGATCTATGGAATTGCACTTTGTCATATGGGGGTTGGGGGGTGTTTCAGTCTAAATAATACACAGAAGTAATGTACAGCATGTCTGAGAGAAATTGTACACTAACAGTACAGCATCTCAGTGATTTGTAAATAGCCAAAGTCTTCCATTATAATTTTGGTATGACCTTGTTGCCAGTGGAGAGGATACACACTGATCCCCGTGTACAGAACTTTAAAGTGAAGTTTAATTTCTAAATACATCATCACATGTATTTGACATATTCCTTCACCTAAGATATTTTCTTTTGCACCAGCTCAAAAAACCAGGAAATTATGGGAGCTATGGGGGACTTTAAAAAATATTTTGTAACTTGGGTCTGTGGGTCTGTTTTATGGATAAATCTCAGCTAAGACACAGTATGTCCTACGTACAGTATGTAGTAAGTATCAATAATGTTTCCTTATTTTGGTGGTGTTGAGGTTTGCTAGTCAGAAACTGTTAAATCTTTACTTCAAATGTTTTATTTCACATTTGATCAAATATATTCAAAGAAATAAAAGAGTCTAAAGAAAAACGCAGCATGTCTGTTTTTGGGTGACAAAGACAAAGTGTGTGTTTGGCAGTATGTGGTTTGTTAGCTGTGTGACTGTGATAAATGTTTCCACAGATATGCCTGATAATATCTTCACCTCTGCTGTGCTGCTTTGATATTTGCCACAAGAAACTTTTATATTCTGAATACCAGCCATGACAAGACCAGGGACTATTTGGAGAATTTCTTGCTGTAAAATAACCCTTGCTGTTTTGCATTTATATACTTTTATATAGTATATACATCATGAATAGCCATTTCCTTTAGGGAATATCCGTTTACATAGTCACTTGGAGAGTCATGCATTTAAACCAAATTGAAGATTTTTTATTTCTGAATGTTGTCTGTGTTGTTTTTAATGGGTTATATTAGTATAGTATTAGTATAGTATTGCCTTAAGATGTATCTTTCCTTATTTGCTTTTATATCGTGATCACTTTCCTCTGAAACATACAATATAACTTCTCTGGACATTGTATCTCCTTTGATAAAACCCCCAGAGCAATTAAAAATAGTAAAAAATGGCTCTGAATGGCCACTCCTTTTTTATTGGTTAACATTTCAGTGTTCAGCTCAGCATAATCGAAACAGAGAGTTTCCTGTACAAGCAATATAATTTTGACATATTGCTGAACTGCTTCAGCAAAAGGGTCGTGGCCTGAATGTGTTTAGTATGCCTCAGATTATGTTGAGAACAAGCACATGGGCCTTCAATTGATGTGAAGAATGGATCACATGTAAATTATTTGCTTTGTGTTTCAAAGTGCTGCTTATGAAGAATGATATAATTTGCAGTTTAATAACTCGTAAATGACAAATGATGCAATTATGGAAATATCGAAGACTAATGTAATATCTGCAACAGTCTGAACTACATTTTCATGTCCCAAGAAAGCTCAATGTTGCTATGTGTTGCACAATTTTGACCTTGGACCTGCTCTAGATTTGAATACTTGGGGATCTGATATACAGATAATACTTTTAAAAATGTACATTCTTGTTGTATTTTGGAACAGATGCATGTATTGCCTCCTGTATGGTCACTGCATATCAGTGCAATTCAGTTCATTGTAATCATTTACATTGGCAGGTGTTATAAAGAGCAGTAAATTAACAATATCTCAACAGGTTACACAACAAATTTCTGCCAAAAGAAAACTTGCTGCTAGCATGTTGCTCCATGGAAACTCATTCACAAATGGTTGTGCACTTTTTAACAGTCACATTAATATAACCACAGTACATAAAAAACTCAAATGCTTTGAAATTAGAATCAGTAGTAAATTGTATCAGTTTGAAGCTGTTAACTCCACTCATTGCTCAGTGACATTCAAAAATGTCTCCATCCTATCATTACCACCAGAGGTCCCTGTCCTGCTGCACGTCTCTCTCAGGTCATGCAGTCTTATTTCTACATTGCAACACCAGGGGGAGCAGAAGTGCTTCCTCTCAGGTGGAGACATCAGCCTCGAAAACTAGGTTAAAACTATGCTCTGCATATGCGAAACACTTTGGGGTTGGAAATAAGAGTTTTTAAAAGGTAATGTAACCAGGACAGTGTAAATGTGTTATATGATTACAAAACATAGGAAAATGCACAAAAGTTTGACTTCTGGGATGATAGGTGAAATAATTAACCTGGTCTGGGCACAAAGCTACTATACAGTGGGTACGGAAAGTATTCAGACCCCTTTAAATTTTTCACTGTTTCATTGCAGCCATTTTCCAAAAATCAAAAAAGTTCATTTTATTTCTCAGTAATGTACACTCAGCACCCCATCTTGACAGAAAAACAGAAATGTAGAAATTTTTGCAAATTTATTAAAAAAGAAAAACTGAAATATCACATGGTCATAAGTATTCAGACCCTTTGCTCAGTATTTAGTAGAAGCACCCTTTTGATCTAATACAGCCATGAGTCGTTTTGGGAAAGATGCAACAAGTTTTTCACATCTGGATTTGGGTATCCTCTGCCATTCCTCCTTGCAGATCCTCTCCAGTTCTGTCAGGTTGGATGGTAAACGTTGGTGGACAGCCATTTTCAGGTCTCTCCAGAGATGCTCCGTTGGGTTTAAGTCAGGGCTCTGGCTGGGCCATTCAACAGCCACGGAGTTGTTGTGAAGCCACTCCTTCGTTATTTTAGCGGTGTGCTTAGGGTCATTGTCTCGTTGGAAGGTAAACCTTCGGCCCAGTCTGAGGTCCAGAGCACTCTGGAAAAGGTTTTCGTCCAGGATATCCCTGTACTTGGCCGCATTCATCTTTCCCTCGATTGCAACCAGTCGTCCTGTCCCTGCAGCTGAAAAACACCCCCACAGCATGATGCTGCCACCACCATGCTTCACTGTTGAGACTGTATTGGACAGGTGATGAGCAGTGCCTGGTTTTCTCCACACATACCGCTTAGAATTAAGGCCAAAAAGTTCTAACTTGGTCTCATCAGACCAGAGGATCTTATTTATCACCATCTTGGAGTACTTCATGGGGTTTTTAGGAAACTCCATGCGGGCTTTCATGTGTCTTGCACTGAGGAGAGGCTTCCGTCGGGCCACTCTGCCATAAAGCCCCGACTGGTGGATTGCTGCAGTGATGGTTGACTTACTACAACTTTCTCCCATCTCCCGACTGCATCTCAGCTCAGTTTGGCCGGACGGCCAGCTCTAGGAAGGGTTCTGGTCGTCCCAAACGTCTTCCATTTGAGGATTATGGAGGCCACTGTGCTCTTAGGAACCTTAAGTGCAGCAGAAATTTTTTTGTAACCTTGGCCAGATCTGTGCCTTGCCACAATTCAACACTGTGAGCTGTAAGGTCTTATATAGACAGGTGTGTGGCTTTCCTAATCAAGTCCAATCAGTATAATCAAACACAGCTGGACTCAAATGAAGGTGTAGAACCATCTCAAGGATGATCAGAAGAAATAGACAGCACCTGAGTTAAATATGAGTGTCACGGCAAAGGGTCTGAATACTTATGACCATGTGATATTTCAGTTTTTCTTTTTTAATAAATTTACAAAAATTTCTACATTTCTGTTTTTTTCTGTCAAGATGGGGTGCTGAGTGTACATTACTGAGAAATAAAATGAACTTTTTTGATTTTTGGAAAATGGCTGCAATGAAACAAATTTAAAGGGGTCTGAATACTTTCCGTACCCACTGTAAGTAAGGAACAGATGCATTGATAATTTCCATCTGTAACTTCATCTTCGACAGGACAATTTAAAGTTCAGCAACCTAATATACAGACAAGGATGAGAATGAATAACCAAACAACACTTTATTGTAATTAAAACTTCACGCTTGATACAAAAACCAAACACTACTCAAACAGGACACTTTAAAAGTTTGTTTCTAACCCAAGGAGCTGTTGATGCCCTGACCGCTTTGTTTCGCCTGCCTGTGCATGATACATTAATATCAGATGACAACATTAAACACACAGTTGAATTTTTTTTATTGAACTGTTTACCTTTGCAGATAGTTTGGAGTAGCTAGTTTGAAGTCCTCTAAACTGGAATGTTCAGAAAAGAATCCAAAGTGAACAGGGGAACCCTGAACTATAATAATAATAATAATAATAATAATCTTTATTTGTAGAGCACTTTTCAAAAACAAGTTACAAAGTGCTTTAACAAGTGTAAAGACAATAATACCCAAGAGACAATAATACAAAAACAATACAAACTAGCGGCGCTTCAGCTGTGGAGATGTGGCCTGTTTCCTCAGAGATAAGATTCTTAAAAGTCATTTTATCAGGACAATAATAAGTTAGTTATTTGGCTTTACTGTAAATCTGCTGAAACAATTGCTTTTGTTGTTCAGCAAAACTAATATCTAATATACCAATGAATCATTTATATACATAAACACATTAAGCTCTAATAAAATAATGCCAGTGTAAACAAGCTTCAGTATCACGCAACACCCACATATTGCACATATATTCATAAATATACACATTAACTTTGTGCCTTTGTGTTTATGCATGTGGCTGCATCTGTATGTGTGTGTGTGATGAATCTGTATACAGCCAAGCTCGAAGAAATAATTGGATAAATTAAATCAGGTGGGGAAAGAATGTCATAACTAAATGAAAGCATGTCACGAGAGGCACATAATGAACACGTATATGTACAGCACCTACAAACAAACAAACACACACACACACACACACACACACACACACACACACACACACACACACACACACACACACACACATCTTCTCACACTCACAAAAGCACTTGTGCATAGATCTCAAGTCTCTTTGTGCCTCATTTACACAGACACACAAATATGTTCAGAAATATTTAAAGCATTGTCTTCAAACAAAGTCCATTCTGTCTTCAGATCTGGTGCTTCATCACAATGGATAAATGATGGACATGTGTGTGTGATTGAGCCTGTTAAGTGTGTTTTGGTCCCACTATGTCTGGTTTGAACCTCGTTCTTTGGTCCCAGTCTGTGTGGCGTTGCAGTCCTCTGTCTCTTCTTTTAGTCAGTTTCATTACCTTAGAGGCAGATGACCTCCAGCCACGGAATGTAGGGTCCAACTAATACAGATCACAGATCTGATTTAAGTTACTCAGAAAGTGCACCTCCCAAACCAAAGTCCTCGAATCAGGAACAGCCACGCACAGTGTTAGGCGTCCCCGGTTTGATCAGACGTCAGCTGTTCCTGGTCGGAGACATCATCGTCAGCTGGTGGCCGCGCCCGGTCAAAGAAACCACACTGAGGGAATCACATTAACCCATTACTGTAATATTGCATAATTAAACTACCACAAGGAATGCTGAGGATGGTGGATGATGTGTTTATGTGTATATGTACCTTCCACATGGCTAATGTTAGCATGGCCAGCACCAGCAGCCCCAGCAGTATGGCTAAGATGATGACCCAGAGTGGAACAGCAAACGACACATCAGGAGTCCCCCATACCACCAGGGTCCCCAACTGCAGGACACAGATAGATACAGTTTGTAAGTGCTGAACCTTTTTCTCCTTTAGCGCCTGACACAACCTCACACACTTCTGTTACTGCCTGCATTTTACCGAGGTGGTGTGCTGAAGCAGGGTGGCGGGTTGGATGCGGTATGGCATGGCTGTAACCATGAAGGACACAGTAGAGTTGAGAATGTAGGGGTCGTTACGCCGCTGTAAGACAAATATAACACTATTAAAAGGGGCCCCTTTGACTAATCACATATTTTAATTATGATGGTTTGTAAGTTAATACATTTAGCGGAGTTTAGTTTGAACCTTGGATGGACGAGAAGTCCCTAAAATGCTCAGAAAAATGATAATATATGATTAATAATCTACAATTCCATGACAACTGGGCAAACTCCATCTGCAGATCAAAAGCTCCAGAACTGGTATTAAAGGCACATTACTGTGAAATTGTTTTCTCAACTTTCAAAAGTCAGGAATGATCCAGGAAAAACAATGACAACCCCTGATAAACTAAGACTGGAATAAATAATAAAGGAAGGAATTAAAGCGTAAAATGAACAACATTTCAAGATGGCAACTCAAGACACCGACCTGCAAGAAAGTATGCGCCCAGAGTCTTGAGCGGACCTTGACCACCGCGCTCTGCCCACGGTCCAACCGGCCTACCACACACATGATCCTCAGACAGGAGATATTAGTGCAGTTCTGCCGAGAAACAGGACACGTGGAGAAGTGCGGAGAAACATTAGACACCTGTGAATCCCTAATGCTCATTTGGTTTGGTTTGTTTTTGTGGTGAACGTACGAATGTATTTGAGGCTTACCAAAGTTTTACCGCTATAACTCTCAACGGCAGTGATGGCTCGTTTGTGGCGGTGAGGAGGAACACTGGTGTTCCTCAAGAAACCCAATAACTCTGGTGTGTCCTGGAGAGAGGAAATCTAAGACAAGGAAAGAGAGATTACAACATTTTGAAATTCCACTGGAAATTATGAATCTGAAATGAATGCTTGATGAACCCTTTTGAAAAAAAAATAAAGTGGACATAAAGTGAACATGTAGATTAGAATTGTCTTGTGTCTTGTGCCAGCTATAATTGAGCTATAATGTGTCTATCAGACTACAAAACAGACCTTCAAACAGAAAAACCACATTTTTTGCAAATAGGAGTTGATGAAGCAGAAAACAGAAGGTAAAGGTTAAGTTTCTCCACAGCTCACAGTCCTCTGTTTCATCTCTAAACATTCATTCCACAGCATGTGTTTGGGTCTTTTGAGGACAGTTATTATTCAGAACATACTGATTATCACATATTGGTGGTTTAGTGTGGTCTGTATTGCACATGATGCAGCCTGGACAGTCAACGAGAAGGAGATGGTGGACCTGAAAACAGACCTGAAGAATACTTATAAAATGAGATTTTAAAGATCTTTTAACAGCCGTAATAAAATAACACAAAATCACCAGCTGTGGCAACAAGTGTGACATTTAGCGATCTGATCAAAAAGTGTTTTGTTGAAAGGATTTCAAGAGATTTTACTTCCTTATGGCAGCTCATACTGTCAAGCTGACAGGCCAACGATCAAAGATTGGGAGTCTAAGGGCGCTAAGACAGCTGGATGAACCCTTTATTAAATGACAGGTTGAGGTGTGTAAATGTATTACAGTAAAATAAATGTTTTACTGAATGTAACCTTATACAGGGCAGGGGGGTGGCACAGAGGCCTCCAGTTTGGCCAGTTTCTTTAACAATGGAAAAGGGGGTGTTGGCGGGTGGGAAGCTGGTGGATCGTGTCCTTGTTTCTGCAATAGTGACTTTGAGTGCTCAGTCAGCTGTGTTGAAGCTATTGATTCTCGTTTATTTAATATATTTTTTCATTGATTAATCATTTAGCTATGAAACGTTAAAAAAATATTTTTAGCAAAACAGTTACCAGAGCCCAAACTGGCATCTTAAAATTCCTTTGTCTGACCAAAAATAAAGAGCCCAATAGTATTTAGTTTACAGAGATCTGATGTAAACACTAACACCAGTGAGACAATATGAGACAAATTTCTTAAAAAACTGAGCAATTTTCAAAATACTAAAATAGTACATTTTGCAACCACTGGCTGATTGATGAATCAATACTATCGATGGGGAACCTATTCAGTGAAGGAATCTGGAGAAGATAGCGTGATGCTCCATACACTTTCAGGTAAAAGAAGTGTCTGCTGACCCGATGTGTGTCAGTCAGTCTATAGTCTACACACAGAGATTACCAGACCCTGGTAGACATTGAGAAATGAGAAATGATCATATCCGAAAGAAAATGGGAGAAGAAGAAAAAAAATCTGACCTTTAACCACACAAGTGCTGTGTATCTGAGTCATTTTACTTTCCTATATGATTATAGCTCCTAGCATTTCACGTTCTGACATAATTATGCACTTTTTGAAATAACTGCATGTTTTCTTTTTGAATTATTCTACAGATGAAATCATAGATATTGGAAACTATTCCAGCTCTAATTTCTCTTAATAAGCATAAGACTCCATCCCGCTCATTTTGAGCCAACTGGCAAAGAACATGAAAAGCAGCCAGAACAACGGGTACAATTATGTTTTAAATAAGCGGGTATAAATGATGGAGAAATGGCCCTACGAATAAGCCGCTAGCAGTAGGTCTGCTGGTTTGAGTATGCGAGAAAGGTAAATAAGTGGTTAGGAATAATATGAAGCATTTTCATTCCCACTGCAGGGGAGAAGTCCATAATTATATCTTTGGGTCTTGAAATGAGTTTATGAACATGTGTCTGCATGCATAAGCGTGTATATGTTCATAAATTGTCGCATTACCTGAAGGCTAAGTGGATTGAGGCTGGTGTTCGTCCTGCAGCTAATTGGTCCGTCAGTTTGAATCTCCATGGCATACAGCAGGTTCTCGTCCCGGAAACGGGAAGGCCAGCCGACCTGGAGCTCAGCCTCCCGAATACTGCTGGGACCAAAGTTATGGAGCTGGAGAGTGAAAGAGGGAACAGAAACTTGTCAGTATTGTGCTCTCTTCTGTCTTATTAGTATGTCTCAAGTGCACAAGGCTATAATTAGGTTATCATAACTGTGGGATGATGACACAGGCCACCTGTGTTTTAGTGAAAATTATGCTAACAGCCCTCAGTCACTGGGGACTGAAATACAAGACAAGTAAAACCTACAGCAACACCTGGCTCATCATTCCACATGAAAATCATGACAAATGAATTATGAGTTTAAATGAACCATCAATTATATAAATCCTGTTTTTTTCCCCCCAACCTATATTCTCTCTCTCTCTCTCTTTCTCTCACACACACACAAACACACACACACACACACACACACACACACACACACACACACACACACACACACACACACACACACACACACACTGTCATTAACACTGAAGCAAGTCATCCAAACAGGACATGATCCTGGTGCTGCAGGGCAGGAATTCTGCAAGAGCAAAGTACTCCGTCCTCTCTAACTAGAAGCAGCTGCCAACTGGGAAAAGTACCGCAAATGAAAATCATTATCAGCTGCAGGACAGGCCAGACACGGCTGCACTCCGGTTCAATGAGGCAGCTGTCCCTTTAAAACAAAAAGCAATCACATGTACATACCCCTATTGTAAACTGACACCAGTCTGTCAGCCATCCTCCCTCCTTCTATCTATTTGTCCATACCTCCCTATGACCTTGTTTTTCCTCTCAGTAATCATTACTCATTACACTGTGTCCAGTCTCAAGAAAAATCCTCCCTGCCTTCCTTCCTCATTGCCTTGCTCTCTATTCCCTTCTCTCTTTTTCCCACCTTGACAGTAGTAATTAGTCCTGAGCTGGAGCCCTTTGATCAGCCAGAGCCCAATTTTTATAGAGCTACTGTTTTTTACTGTGTGTGTTTACTTCACCTTACAGAGCCCTTCTCTCACTGTAGCCTATTTTACAACTTCCCACACTTATTCTTCTGCTCTTTTCATCTTAACAGTCTGCGCAGAGACACGCTTTGTGACCAGCAACAACAAAAACAAAACAATCATGTCTGAGCCCACCTTCCTCTTCGTATGAGATGTAGCCGTCCCGGCTGTGTATCAATGTAGGCAGTGCATTTACCTCATAGATGTGTGTTACTTGTGGTCCCACGTCGTCCTCCTTGACAGGCTTCTCTTTGGGTTCCCAGCGTGGGAACGGCAGCACCACCTGAGAGGGATGAGACACCCTGAAGAGAGGAGAAACAGCTCAGTGACACTGATGCATGTGCGCATTGATAGGTTTGGATTTTTTGTAAGTCCATCTAAATATAATTCTCACTGACCATATGAATGACCATCACTAACTATTACCATAGTGCTAAAACTTAAGTGTAATATCTATCAACCGCTTATCCTGAGTACAGGGTCGCAGCTTCAGTGTAACATATAATTATGTATACATATAATAAAAGGGAAATCAAACACAAAAAACATTTGAACATTTGGAGCTTTTAAACATTCATAATCACTCATAATAGAGAATTGTATAGCAAATGTGACCTCTATGTATAACTGTGATTTAGAATTCAAAATATTAAATTTAAAATGATAGATGGACACAGTCGAGGCAGGACAGTTTCATAGCACAAACACAGGAAGTCGCGTGTACTCATCTCTCTCATCCCAGGTCTTCCTCTGTTTGTATGTACAACTGACCACACCCAAACAACGCCAAGCAGGGCTCCAAGCTTTGAAGTGTGTGTGTGTATCAGTGGGAATGTGGGTACCCATGAACATGTCAAAGGCTCACAAGTATCCCATGTGCCCATGATTAGTTCAAATTTATTTCTAGAAATGTGTTTTCATGCTGTTTGCCATCTGTATATAAACAAGCTCTGCAAATTTAAACATAACCAAAGGGGCAGTAATATCCTGCAAACACCAAAAAGTTTAGGCTGAAATCAGACCAACTGCATCATTGCGAAGCAGACACGGCAACAAACAATTCTTGTCACCGTTCTCTCGGAGAGGATGCCACTCTCTCACACGCAAAGATGCTTGACTCACCCGCGTAAATCCAGTTGAGCTTGAGCAACGATGGACAAATTCAAACTGACTAGGTTGCTGTTGGAGTTGTCTTTGTTGGAGCTGTGGAGAGATTTACAGCGAGTTTAAATAAAATCTAAGGCATGAAATAAAACACATCACACTGACTATGCTCTGCTTTCTGTATCTATTTGCAAACATTTCAAAGGAGGCTGTGGGACAGTACGAGGCTCAGAAAAGCTCATAATAAAGCTGTATTTTTATGTTCTTTCTCTGGCAGCGGGCTTGGCCAGCATTTAGCCGTCTGGGTCTAGTGATGTGATGTATTGAAATCAACACAATGAAGCAAACAGTGAACATGTTGTGTAGAGCTTGTCTCTTCTCTGGAGTTTCCTCTGGGCCATCTGTCTTCTTCTGTCTCTGCGGTTAGTTTCATCAAACCACAGACAGCAACAGGATCAGGACAGACACAGAACTTATTTACATGGCTCAGAAGGAAAACAAACAGCTCTTTGTGTGTGTGTGGGTGTGTGTATGTATGTATGTGTGGGCAATGTGTGAGAGTTGGTGGGTGTGTCACCTGTGAATCTGTAGCTCAAAGCTGATCTTTGGTCCGGCATCTTCCAGCCTTTGGACAGAAAACCTCAAACCAACAGACAGCTGGGCACGAGTAAGGACAAAACGCAAGAAAGAGAGCAAATGTGTAAAAACATGTGACAGGAAAAACAAGTGGAAAGGAAGACAGAAATTAGACGCATCTGTACATCAAAGGCCATATCATGTTTAAAGTGTTCAGTATTAGACAGTAAAATCTCTGTTAAGTATGTCCTCTACTGTACAGGACCAGGTCTGTGCGTGTATGTGTGCGTTTGTGTGGGTTGACAACAGCAGAAATCTAAAATTTGAGACAATCCAGACTGCACTCACAGACACACACTTAAAAGCTACAGTTAGGGTTCTTGTCTCTCCCGAGTTTAAATTCCCTGTCTTTTAGGCTAACTCAAAACACGTGGAAGATCTAGCTCATCATCAACTGTTCGACAACAGTATGTGCGTGCGTGGGTGTCACCGTATGACAGCGTGACCACGCATGTGAAGATGTGTATGTGTGCTCTACTGAACAACAGGTCAAACACATGGTCCACAGAGGGGAATGACAGCATGCAGACTTGCACTACTTCACGACGCAGGCCTCCGCTGGTGGTGGTGGTGCGGGGGTAGGTGACTACAAAGTCAGACCGTCTTTACGGGACACATTAGAGAGAGGCAGGAAAGATCTAAAGAGACAGACATCAAATGAGTGAGTTGTTCAGAGAGAAGGCGTCACTGTCAGCTACGAGGAGGAGGACAACAGCCCAACAGATATCTGAAGGAGGTCAACTGCGTCTCTTAAAATCTGTCTTTTTAGCATCACACCCTAGATTGAAAGGTGGCTGTTAAAGGTTTGTAGTTTCGTCCTTAAAGAGACCAGAAGCTGTGGTCCGCTTGAATTTATGTTGGTCACAATGGATTGTAAATTTTCACTGCGGAGAAAAAGCATCAAAACATCCACAGTACTTTCTCAAAGCACTCTTACAATGTTGCCAAAATCCTCCGCCGTCCAGTGTGTTCCAAATAATTATCATTTTGCCACAATATAGCTAAATGCTGCTTCTGTGTTATGTTATTGCCCTTGTTGAAGCTGCACGGCTTTGCCACAGGCAGTGCATTTAGCCACATTTTGGCAAAACAATGATTCTTTGGAACAATGCTGAGAAAAGTTGTTTATGCTGAAGCAGTGGTTTGAGAAGTTTCTAAAGGCACTGCAAGGCATTTTTGTCAGTCAAAGTTGTCACTATTGGTATCCCATGGAACAAAAGAGAATTCAACTGAGCAGTGCTTCTGTGCTTAAAGAGGCCTGAAACTACAAACAGTCTCTAACAGGGCTTGAAGCCTACAGAGATTGTTTGATAGTCAAAACATTTTATGTCAAGAACACTTAAATGTAGGGCTGTGGGATATGGCTGAAAATAATGTCTGGTATTGGAAATAAAAAATTTTTCCGATGTCTAAATATAACTGGTCATTTGAACGTAAATGCAACTGGGATTGAAACGTGTCCATTTAAATGCATTTTTGGTTTGGAATCAGTGTGCAATAGCCTTGCATTTGCATGTGATGCACATATAACTGCGCTCCTCATAAAGCAAAAATGCAAAAGCCACACTTTTTCAATTACAATAGCCTGGACTCACTAATTTTGTGAAACAGTAACACAATATGATCATATCCACAAAACAGGATTCCACTGAAAGCTGAATTATTGCCAAGCCCTACCTTAATGTTATCATCCATTACTGACTGCTGCCAAATCTTTGTCAAATTATGCTTTGTGGCATTCACCAAAGGTCACTGAACTAAAATGAAGTTAAACGAGAAAGAGAAGTGGAAGAAATGCAGGCATACAGATGGCCACAAATACTGGAGCCAAAACCAGCTTTCCTTCAGGCATGTACCTCCTACCCTTCTCAGTGAGGCACTACAGCTCTGTCATGTGGCACCAGGAATGAACTCCAGTGATGAGAACTATTTAGTTGCACAATATGACTGGAGTCTGTGTGGGGTACATTGAGGTATGTTCTGCATATGCTCATGGATTCCTGAACATCCAATGGGGCAAGGGGAGAGTTAAATATGGGAAACATCTGGACAGCTGGAGCACACACACACACACACACACACACACACACACACACCCACACCTTGTTTTGCTCTCCTCTCCCAGCAGTGAAACGTGACCACATAATTGATTTATCAGTATGCCTTGTGTCACCTCCAGAGCTAAAATGCACCTCTGTGCCGGCCTTGACACCTTTATAAAAACCCTACATTCACAGTAATACACACACTTCATCACACACACAGACGCACACACACACACACACACACGCACGCACACACACATGCACACACACACACACACACAAACTCAAAAGCACATGTGACATGCTTTGTGACACACAAATGTACACCGGCATGGTAGAATTTCATGTAGGAAGGGACCACTCTTTACTTTACAAAGCCTAGGCTTCCTGCATGTGTCGCCATCCATGAGCTAAATGGATTATCATTACAAACACACTTGCACTTACACTTATGTATACACACACACACACACACACCCACATTAAGTGTGAAGCATAGTCAAGGGAGTGTGTGGAATAAGGGTCAAGGTGTTGATCAGTAATCATTGGAAACCATCAATCAGTGTGAATTAAACCTTAGGAGTAACAGCCGGAGCTTCTTAACATGGACGTTTAAGTTTTAGTGAAAAGTGTGTGTGTGTGTTTTTGCGTGTAACAATTCACCTCTGTCCCAGCCACCATTGGATTCCCGAGGTCACACACCACCATTCTGGACTCATTGACCATCTTGTACTCGCAGTTTAGCTGAGACAGAGACTAGAGAGGAGAGGAGAAGTACAGTGAGTGAGATGATAAGGTAAAAGCAGATGAAAGTGACAAACAGGGAGCATTGAAAGTCAAGAGGGGAAAGCAAAGAACAACGGAGGGAAGTACAACACCATCAAAGGGGGGTAGGAGTGAGAAAGAGAAGAAGGGAGGGAAGAAGGAAGGCAGGAGAAAAGGCGTGATGAATGCTCTGACAGTAACAACCTCATCAATCAAACAGCCCCATTACACACTCATTAGCGCGCACACACGTGAAAACATGCACACACGCAGATATAAACACACACACACGCACACAGCAGTTGACCCTAACCATTTCCGTGGTCACTAATGCAGCTTGTAAATCATAATAGGGACTTCTGGGCTGTTGCCAGTAAAGCCTAGCCCACTGATAGCTTTGCCTTAATCACTCCAAACAAACACCCACCACAAAGACAAAACAGGATGTAATATCGTACAGCCTCAAATAGCTACTTCCTCCTTTTGTATGGTCACTTGGCACAAGCTTCAATCATGATGAGACAACTGCCTCAATCTTATATATGTCTATTTTCAGAATCCATCCTACTGGCCTTTAACATCAAACATGCATGACTGATTTCAGACAAATGTGTGTGCAGTGTGGGTGTTTGTTTTTTTTTACCTCCACCCTGCGCTTCACTCCAATATAGTCAGCCTCTGGTGGTATCAGTGTGTGGAGCTCTGTCTCATAGGCTCCCTCTCCTTGGTTCACCGCAGTGATGGTTAACATGACCAGATTGTCATCCCCAATCACCAGCTCTGAGCGATCCCTATGTGCATATTTCAAAACGAGTTTTGTAGAGGACACAGAAAATACAGCACTTTGCTGCAGTTACATACAAGAACTCTTGTCCTGTGTCTTTTTTTGATTTTCTTGCTTCACCTGCAATCTGTTTGCTGCATGGAATGTAATACCCCCAACCCCAAAAATAACCCCAACAATGTGTGTGTCAGTCAGTAGAAGGTGACAGAATGTTTGTATAATGCTGCCATGGAGATATGGTACAGCTGGAAACACTATAGAGGCTAATTCACACACAAACACACACACACACACACACACACACACACACACACACACACACACACACACACACCACATGGTAAATGGAACTATAATGTGAGCAACTTCAGTGTAAACTTTGCTTATTGTGTGAGGAATAACAGACTACTTTCTTTGGTTTAGCTGTGTGTGCATGTGTGTGTCTGTGTTTGGCCGTGTGAAGTGTTGAGTGTTTACAGGTTGAGGTCAGAGGGCGTGGCCGTGTCAGTCTTACATGCTGGCGGAGAGCTGGAGGTCGGGGATACAAATATTGTCGTCACCGCAGTCCAGGAGAATGTAGGCCTGGAAGGAAGAGGGGCACAGAGAGGAGGATTGTTATGAGGAAATTGTTAAGGTACACTGGACATCATCATGAATCAAAAAATTTAAGTAAATGTAACTGGGAAACACCAGGATGCAGGGGCTGTATGGGGCCTACATACATACAGACACATAACAATAACATGCAGACTAGAGTTGGGCTATACAACTCTTGGGCAGCAGAATAAGTTCTGGGTTGGGTTTGGGCCATTTGTTGCGCCCTGCTTCGGTCGAGGTTGGGTTTGGTTATTTTCAAAATGTAATTTTGTAATAAATATTGTTCTCAATCTCTCGCTCTAGGGTTAATCTAATTGTCTGTATCCGTTGGTGTCATGTGTTGCAAAAGACATGCAATGTCTAGCATTAGAAGAAAGTGCTGTTCTCTTTAGTGAGTTAACCTGAGCTCGTATGCTCAATGAGCACAGTTCAGTACTGGAATTAAAAATGTAGAAATGGCTCGCTCACGTCAAAAACGCTGTGGAATTAAAAAAAAAAACTATTTTTATTTATCAAATTCTGCAAGTGGAAGAGGAAGCAATGCATTTCAAATATTCTTCATCAGGCTTTCATCTTTGACATGTAAATCGTTTTACGTTTGTCAAGTGCTTAATTTTTGGTGTGCACAAAGCTCTTTCTCTCTTTATCTTTTACAAAGCCAACTTATGACTGACCAGCACCAGACTGAAATATACTACTTCACAGGGGACTCTTGGTTTTGGTTTTGTTTTGGTTTTGGATTATAACTGTTTGATCTGTAAAGCTTTATTTGGAAAGAATTTCTGAGTTTATCAGCCATGTTCATCTGATCTATCCTGTAAAAAAGTAAAGTTGGGATTGATCTTAACATCTGAGGCTATGATTTTTTTTCAAGCACTTTCATCAAAGAACGAATGATTATAATATAAAATCAGGTTGGATTTGGCTCTCACATTTGGTAGTGTTCTGTACAGCATATGACACTCTCTGAACCATCAATTGAGATAAGGAAAAATTCCTCAAAATAAGTCCTTTAAAGGAGGGGAAAATGGAAGAAACCTCAGGAAGAGCAACAGAGGAGTAATGTTACATGTATGATATTATGCTTATTATATTATAGAATATTATATTACACTCACATGCTCTTGAAGAAAGGTGCTGCTGTAATAGTTGAGAATGGGTGGGGGGTTTTGGCCATGAGAGGGTGGAGCCAAGCTGTAGTTCAGAGCCAGTGCGATCGGGGTCAGTTTGTCCCTGTATTCATCATCCTCCTGAGAGAGCAACAAAAAGAGTTGAGAAATGAAAACGGTGCTTTGAAGAAATAATAAACTGAACAGTTGGACAGCTGATTCTTCTGTAAGACACACAGCATTATGCAAAATTCATCCATTTGTATATGTGTGTGATTTGCTCACTCTGAGGAAAATGGTGTAGCTCAGACACGCACGTGGGCGGTTGAGACCCAATCTTAGGAGCCCCGTGCGCTGATGCTGCTGGGTGTCCAGGAACAAAACTCTTTTAACTCCACCTCTAGTGCCTTTCAGCCAATCCAGCTGCAGCTCTGCTCTCAGGTCTGGACAGAAGGTAATGTTGCAGAGGTGGAGATGGATGGAGAGAAAAGGAAATATGTGTTTTAATAATGAGTTAATAAGGCAATCCAGCCAATCAGACACTCCTTAACTGTTGAATCCACAAAGTCCAATCCCTTTATGTGTGTGTGCCTGCACATGTGTGCATGACTTTCCATTAGTTACGAAGAAAGGAGCCATTTGTAGGCGTTTTACTCTTCAGAGAATCATCAGAAAGTGGAAACAATGTACTCTGTCTACCTGACTACTACTATATTCTGATTACTTTTTTCCAGCTTCCTTCTTGCATTTGTTCTCCACTCTGAACTCTAGTGAGATGTACAACCGAGCTGGCTCTGACTACTGTCCCAACCTCAGTGCTTTTCCCTTTTGCCTCCATCCCTCATTCCACCACATTGTGCACAGCTGCTTACCTACAGAGCTGGGGATCCCCACTCCACTTACTGCTGCGCACACGTCCACATTAAGACTGGAGGGAGAGAAAAATTGAGAAGATAAATAGATAGACAAGAAGGAGTGAGGAGATTGTGATAACTTTTAGCATATTGTACATGATCAACGTTATTAAGACACCCTAGATGTCTATTCACCCACATCCACACTGACAAAGTGAACAAAATGCACAGGTAATATACTAACTCATGTTACCATAAGGTTCTTTTTCAATAAAAAGTCTGCCAATAAATCACACAGGATTTTACACCTAAGAACAGTAAGCCATCTAAACTTAGGGTGGCTGCTATAATTAAGTGTTGCAAAAGTGTGTGAATTGGTATTATTTATTTTTAGACTCTTTGTAGTATTATTTAAAAATGTATGCAGTGCATTTTGGATGTGATTTATTTTAATTTGTGGCGTCTTGTAAGGCAGTGCAGGCTGGTCATATTTGTATACATAATCCGCATGAGTTGTGTGGTTAATGCACAGAAAGTGCTGATCATAGCAGTGATTTATTTAGAATAAATCACGACAATGATATTATTCATTCATTCTTTGCAGATGTTTCAATCATACTGTTCCTTCCATATTTCCTGCCTTCATATTTGCATGACAAAATCATGAAAAACTATATAACAAACTAAATAAAGGCACTTATTCCTTCTTGTACTCCAGGGGGTGGAGGGAAATACCGCTGAGGACCCTGTGAGCCCCTTAATTAGACACACTGACATGGGAGACTGGAAAACACTTTTCCTCTATTTATGTGTGTTTAAATGTATGTGTAAGTATGTGTGTGTGTGGTGTCTTATCACCTCTTTAATCAAGAACAGGAAAGTGACTCCCTGCAATGTTAATCTCCACTAATCTGAGGAGGCTTACGGACGTAACACTCCTGATTCTACACTGAAGACTCAGCATTATGAGGCACGAGGTAAATTACTTCATGTGATTATTGTTTGTTTGGTTTTAGTTCACAAACCCTGACATCCAAAAAGCAGATGGTGTGGATGCTTGTGTTTTTGTTAATAATTAGAATCCCCATTAGATGATGCAATAATGATGAGCTAGTTTTCCTGTGTTCTAAATGTGTGCAATGCAGATGTGAGTTTGTGTGTGTGATAAAATACAGGTTTCTATTTTAAAAATTGCTCCCTTAAGTCAATATGACCTCTCCAGGTGGTTCCGTGCATGTTTAATTTGTGTTGCATGTACTGTAAGCGTGTGTGTGTTTCGTGTTTTTGGGCGGGTGTGCCCAAGTGTGACTCTAATAAGCAATGTGTGTCAAACGTAAGTGTATATAACGCGGAAATGCCCCCCACTTTACTGACAACAGCTCTGGCGCTTGGTTAGTCATTACTGTGTGTAATTTCCCCCAAAATGCATCTGTGCTCCACCACCCAACACACTGCTAGCTGACCCTCCCTGCAAACACGCATACATAAAATACCTTCCCCCACCACACCCCATCTGCTTAATGAGTAAGAACGTTCAATTTAAGACTGGTTATTAAGTAGTTGTACCTCTTTTTCCACCACGCCTTTACCCTCCCACCTAGCCCCATTTTGTGCCTCTCATTTATCACCATTACATTCAAGTCATAGAGCTAAGCATCAGATTTTCCGAAAAATGAATTACTTAAACCTGCAGTAACTGATATTTTGGCCACTTGGGGGATGAGAAACAAGCTGTGAACACGACATTGACATATTATCACCTCTGAAGTTGTTGTAGCGAACATGTTAGCAAGCAGTTGACTATTCACACATCCAACAGAGAGCAAAGCTTTTAATTATCCGTGTTTCTGTCCACCTCATAGGGAGAGTCCAATATTCAGTCTCCCTTCAGCTCTGTTTTTGGTCTCCACCAACAAACATTCTGCTCTTTGGCTGATAAATACACCACTATGTTCATCAGCTAGTTGCTACCTAATGCTAGGTAACAGAGAGTCAGTTTTTGAGATTCTTTGCAACTATAAGAGTGGTGAGAAGAAACCAAAACAGTAAATATGCAAGTTTTGTTGCCACTTTAACAACACTGCTATTCTGAGGGTATTTACAGAGTTCTCAAAAAAATATTTGAGCAATGCACAACAAAAATGATTTTTAACCCATTTCTCAAGTTGCGAATGCATTTTGTAATTCATGGAATGGAATGACAAATGCTCCATTTGTAAAACACAACAGAATATTAACATGTAACATAAAATATTGAAAGGAAACATAAAAACATACCAATTTAACTACATAAAATGTTTGTGTTCGCTTAAAATGCCCAAAAATACTTCATTCAGATGGTTAGAAGAGTCTTTGAGGATTCTGGAAAACCTTCAGAACAGTAGTGAGTGTTGTTAAACGATCATCTAGGTTTTTAAAAGATCACCGCGTTATTATTTTTTAGAAAATCAGATGCTTAACCTTGTTACTCAAATGTAAGGGTAATACATGAGATCCACAAACTGGGGTTACCGCCCATCATGAGACTTTCCAGCTCTCATCACAGGGAAATAGCAAAAATGTCCAAGCATCTTCACCCCGCTGACACACCAGAGCCTCAGACATCCCTTAAACTCAGTGAGCTGCTGTTTGACTCTGCATGTGTGTGTCCTATGTCCTATCTGATTCCATACCTCCAACCAAAACTTCGTGCCGGTTTATTGAAATAAGCTGAGTTTTGTTTTGACAGAATTCCACAGTTTAGTGCTTTCTGTCAATCCGGCCCAACCCTGTTCCCTTTACACTCACTGCCAACACTCACACTCCACTCCGCGCACAACAGACACCATGATGGCAACTCGCCGAGCACACTTCTTCTGTCCAAATAGTCCCACATCGGTTCCAGCTCCAATAAGTTAGGACCAACAATAGGCTGTGGTGAAACAGCAGGAGCCTTTAGACTCGTTCCCCTCGACTAACTCACCCCGAGGCTGTTCAAAGCCAGCCTGCTACCCACAGGAACAATAACATAATCAAAATAGAATTATGCAGTATCAAATTAATTGCAGATTCCCATAAATCTGACTTTCCAGGTTATATGAGCGTGCTTTTTCAGTGTGCTTCTAAATTATTGCATTAGACACACAGACAAACAGACCTTGAGTGATGGCAGACGTCTAGAGCACAGGGGTGAAATATTTGTCACATCTGTGAGTGTGTGCATGTGATTTGTGAATGTGTATACTTTATAGTGCATACCATTTTATGATACAGTATAAACAGTAAGATTTCTGGTACAGCTTTGGGGTTCAGTGCAGCAGTGGGCCTCATTAGTCTCAGGACTTTGATCCCTTTACCTTTATTTCACCTGCACACACACACACACACACACACATGCACGCACGCACACAAGCACACACGCACACACACACACACACACACACACACAGACAAAATCTGTCTCCAAATTCCAAACTACAAATGAATTATAACTATCTGGAGTGCTAACACTAGAACAGTTAATAAATTAAGCTTGATTTTGAGTGTGGCGCTGCTGGACGCTATTGTCCCACAATATCAAACGTCAATGGAGGAGCAGCACACAGCTGGAAAAAATTACATCAAATTGTGGAATGTGGTGAGGAGCTAGATGAGCATTTTAGAAAACCAAAAAAATCCAGTATAAATTTGTTGGGAAAACATTTTTGTGTTTAGTTGTCAGTGGTGCTAATGTCAGTCAGTTGATTAATGTTTTGTATCATGAAGTACATTTATTTTTTGTATGCTAAGTTTTTATTTTAATTGGCGTTAGTACCTTTTTATAACATGTCCTTTATTTAAACTTGCAAAACTCTGGTTGAGATTAAAATCTTATTTTCAGAGAGACCTGGCAAAGGGGGCAGCACTAAAATGTTGTTACAACAATAAATATCAAAAGCAATTAGTATCAACAGGCCTAGGCAAATGTCACACGCTACAAAAGAGTATACACAATATCCAGTAAACATGCATGAATAGGTATAGGTATAGGAATAGGTAATAGCTAAAATAAGGGAAAAACAATGAAGTGTTATTTTCCAGATCCTATAAAATCGACTTGAATTCATAAACAGTAATCAGCTCTGACAGTTTTCCAGGAGAAACTGACATCTGTGGAACATTGTGAGAACACAGGCCATATTGATTCGGATTTCTACACGTATACATGTAAACAGATAAGGGGGAACAAGCCCAAGGGCAGATTTATATATAAAAGTCAACCACTGAGAATGTCTGATATATACAGAACACTGAAAAGTGTTAATCTTCAGTGTGGGATTAGGAGAAGAGACTCTCTAAGCATGTTCTTCTTACCAGGTAACCATAATATCTGTTTCAGGCAGGTGACACCGTCGTTCATCAGGGTTCAGGATTCTGGGAGTCAAGATCATTGCAGCTTCCACAGACACCACAGCTCGAGACCTACACACAAACACACATACGGTATACAACACAATCTAAAGACATTAAAAAAAAATCTCCCACTCTCCCTAGTTCTTTCTCCATCTGTGTGTTTGTTTTTTTCTCCTCTCTGTGTAAATACTGTTGTCCGCTTGTGTGTTTGTCTGGCCTGTCCTCTTTCCAGGTCTCTATGGTGGTGGGGAGGAGGTGGTGTGGCTCCTCAGTGGGAGACACCTGAAGCTGCTCAGGTGTCCTCCTGGATCCTTCACTTACATTTTACAATAGACATTTTGTCATCATAACTGTATATACTATGATTTCTGGTGGGTGACGCGGTAGCCCAGTGGTCTCACAGCAAGAAGGTCCTGTGTTCGACCTTGGGGCGTCCCAGGCCTTTATGTTTAGAGTGTGCATGTTCTCCCCATGTCTGTGTAGGTTATCTCTGCTCCAGCTTCCTCCCGCCATCCAAAGACATACAGGTAGGTTGATTGGTCACTCTAAAATGTCTCTTGGGTGTCTCTCGCCCAATGTCAGCTGGGATTGGCTCTAGCCAAAAAGATAAGGGTTTTTTGGAGGAGTTTTTCTTCATTTAAATTGAGGGTCTGAGGTCAGAGGTAAACTGTGATTTGTGATATTGGGCTCTATAAATAAAACTTGACATGAAAGTCACACAGAAGTTCAGGAAAAGCACAAACGTGAGGTATGAGAAAAAGCATTTCAAAACAACACAACACTTTGTACAATCTTACCTGTACACCGACACCTCGCCTGCGCCAAACGCCCCCACGATCAGATCTGCAGACAGTGAAAGAGAGAGAGAGAGAGCGCGAGAGAGAGCGTGCAAGAGTGAGAGATGGGAAATAGAGAGCTTCAAAGAATGCCACAGATGGGACTGATTTCAAGGTCTCCAGCAATCTTCATCAAACACAGACGTCTCACGTTTAATATGCACACACATTTACACACACTGTGACATTGCATTGACTTTCTGATATCGCCATGCTTTTCCTTTGTTATCCCTTCACACATGACCTGGTTCAAACTAAATTCATGAACACAACATGTGTTAATGCGTGTGTTTGCGAGTTCATCGCGCATGTATGCGTGTGTGTGTTCATGTGTACAGCTAGACAGGGACCCGGCCCCACGCCGCATTCCACTGCCATTAGAAAGTTCACATCGCTCCAATCACATGTTGCTAAACAACATTTCCCAACAGCCTGCGTAGCAACAGCTCCTAATTGTAAGCAGCAACAGATCTCATCTATATGTGATTTTTATTTGTTTTCATGGATTTTGTGATGAACACACACTTTTAATTGGCTCTCAGAGTTTAAAATAGAGCCGGTATTTAATGGCTGCGGTTAGGGGACACATACCAATGAAAGCCGCACACACACTCACACGCACGCATAGACACAGACACAGACTGATTAAAACAATGTGAAACTGAAGAGAGGCACTTAATGGATACAAGCCACCACTGCCAGATGCAGCAAAACTAAGTTGTGTGTTCCTGAGAAAGACAGAATAGCCTAACCTCATGCTGCTCAGTGAGAGGCTGGGGCTGCGGCTAATGATTGTTCTCAATCGATCAATTAATCTATTATTTGTTTTACGATTAATTGTTTGGCCTATAGAGCGAAAACTAGAATACATTCAGTTACAATGCCATAAAAGTGAAAAACAAATACATTTGAGAAGTGGGATCAGGTGAGTGTTTGGCATTTTGACTTGATTAACAGTCATTAATCATTGTCAACAGTCATTAGTCATTGTCAGTACATTTTCTGTTGATCAAATAATTGTTTTAGCGCTATAAGCAACTATAACTGGAAAATGTTGTAACCTGCTGCAGGCAATACAGGACTAAGCTGGTGGAAATGTACTCTTGTAGACTTTTCTTGTCATTTGCTGTGTCTTTCGTCTCCTGCATATTTCAGAAGAAAGGGGACTAATTGAATCTGAGAGAGGCACATCTGTTTCTGCCTTTGGCTGCAGTCACTGAGTCCCCCTGAAACCACAACATTAAACATTTAAGCCCTGTCCCTCTTCCCCTGGGGTGTGCTATGTTGTTTTGTGAGTGTGTGGCTGTGTGTGTTTTGTGTGTGTGTTTGTTTGTGTGTGTGTGTGTGTGTGTTTTGTGTACTGTATCAAAAAGCCTGCAATGAGAAAAGACCTCAAGATGTGGGTTTTGTGGGACAGTTGGAGAGGTACGGAAAAGGGGGGGAAAGAATGATAGAAAGAAAAGGAGGAGGCAGGCAGAGGATAGTGCACTTGGCCTTTAAACCGCAATGTGTGAAAGCCATCAGATGGAAGGTGTGTTTTCTGCAGAGGGAGAGAGACTGAGAGGGACCGTTTGACTCCCAGTCTAAATTCCTCAGTCCATCCTGCTGTTGGAGTTGTTTAACCTGGAAATCCAACTCCACTACTGCAATAGGTGTGTGTTTTCAACACAGTGGTTATCTGTACTCCTTATCCTGACTCTTTTGTGTGCTGTCAAAACCACTGCATGCATGAGACATGAGGACACGGCACCCTTTGGGGTTAAGTGTGAGTGAGTGTGGGTGCATGCATGGCTGCACCCAGGGATAAATCAAATAACGGCCAACTTTCCTTTTCACGTCAATCTCATTTCCTTACACACAGGAAAGCTTGTCTGCCACTGTTGATTTGAGGTTAACGTGTGTGTGTGTGTGTAGAGACACACCGAACCAAACATGCACACATATGGGTTGGAACACCAGTGTGTATACACTCCACTCATTGATAGCAGGTATAGTCTTGGTAACTGAGCTGCTTTAGCTGATGGTGTCTGTCCTGGGCTGTGAAAACACAATCTCCATCCAGAGTTTAGACAGACTGTCAAGCTGTCACTGGCTGCCTGCCCTGACTGCCTGTTTGGCTGTAGGGGACCAGCCTCCATGATGAAATGCCAAAGGTCAATGGCACTCAGTGGAAAAGGAGGCAGTTTCAAGAGAGAAATGGAGGATTTCTTAATTCTTGGATGCATGTGTGGGATTTAAGTCTATTCAGTAACTTGCTGGCTATAATCCATAGTTTCAATATGACAGTTATACTACATTCCCGTACTGAAAAGTACATTTTTCACACTGCAGACTGGGGGAATTGGTTGTTCCAAATTGGGGAGGATATTCTCAGATTTGACTAATATAGCAGAGGTTTAAAGGTACATTTGGGGTATCAAACTACAATGCTGAGAACAGGAAACAAAAAGCAAAAAGGATGTACAAAACGGTGTAATTTTAACTATTTAAAGGTAAAACATCCAGAATTGGATGAAAATAAAGATGGTCACTAAATACACGAGCAGACATGGAGCCAATTAATAAATTTTTACACCTACTTACCAACCTAATGACCCTTCAGCACCACACACATCCACATCACCAACCCTGACATGTATCTGTGTCTTTAACTCTCTCAGAAAGTCAGTGTGATTGACAGGTAAAACGTTGTCAGTTTTTGACCTTTGACACCTCGGCTGAATCTAAAATGCACCCTGAGGCAATCGGACCCGGCCTTTAGCCTGAGTCATACTCTCATCAATGAAACATCAAGTCAGTGCTGCTTCTGTGTCATGCTCATAACCAAAGTTGCCCATAATTTAATTAACCTTATTTCTGAGCAGTAGACCTAGACAAAGTCTGGGTGCCATTTTTGTTCCTGTACTGCCTTCTTTGTCATCTTTCATCCCACTTTTCATTTAGTTTCCTGCTGTAAGCTATCAAATAAAAACCCAAACACATATATAGACATAGACATAATCTTTCAGAAAAAAAGTCCATTAAAGCTAAAATTGGAGCGTAATCATTACCCTGCCTTCTCTCTGTGTTCCTGCAATAGACTAATGACATTTAACATTGATGGGAACATATGGTGGCTCTAGCAGGCCTCCCAGGCGCCTGTGCAGTCCTCTCATAATGCTGATCAAACATCTCTGGCTCCTTTGAACAGTGTGACTTTACTACCATGCTAACGATGCTCTGTGTGTGTGTGTTTCACTTCCGCCAGCAAGCTTTCTAATGACAGACGACACAAGCACTGCACCATTTGTGTGTGTGCATGTTTATGCAGTGTGTGTGTTGTCTGAAAGCTCTGCCACCCATGAGTTTCTACTCTTTCAACTCCTTCCTACAACAGCCTAAGTTTCAACCTGTAACCCCTGTGTGTATATTTACAGTATAATGTTTTTAATTCGGGATCTCTGATTTGCTTCTGCGCAGGATTTAGCTTTGACCTGGAGCCTGGCACACGCTCAACACACACTTTCTAGCTGCCAGTGAAACTGATCACAAGCCACATATGTGAACTTGTGTGCACTTGTATGTGTATTTTCCTTGATATCCTGTTTGTTGAATGAAGAAATATGTTATTATAGCAGAATGAAAAGGAAAAAGAGGGAAAGGGAGGGGGGGCAAAGAAAAGAAAAGGTAAAACTAAACAAATTCTCCTTTTCATCCTAATCCATGGAAGCACAAAGCCAGAGTAATGCTGAGCGTACAGCAGCTCTAAATCAGGGAGAAAATTAGGTAGTAAAACAGTGGTTTTATAGACCTGCTTTGTTTCAAAAAGATTTTTTTCTAAACTAAAAAAAATCCTCTCCTTTTCAGTTCTTATGAGTGTAGGCGGGTTTCTATTATGTTTTGGAAAAATCAGAAGGTGGAGGTGTCTGTTAAAGTAAGTAGGTGGCACATAAGTAGGGAGCTACTGGCTTGTAATTTGATTGAGTGCTGCTTTGTCTACTCACAGTTTGAGGGGTATGGGCTGAGGCTTGAATTTCTGGCAGACTGAACATGCGGATAATGTATTATTATACTCAATCTTGTGTTTTCTCTCCTTTTAAGTACTGTAAATCCCTAAAGAATGGATGCGGCAGCAGTTCATTGGCATTTATCCCCATACCCCCTTCTTCTGACTGATGACTTTACCAGAGAAGAGGAGGAAAGCAATACAGGAGAACATGGGGATGGTAGTAGTGTGCATAGGGGAACCATGAAATGTGGAGGTCAAGAATGAAGAGGAGGGAGGCTGTAATGAGAGGAGCTGGAAGGAAAGTGGAAAAGTGAAGGAATGCAAGTCGGAGAAGGAATTTTGATTACAACAAGGGGAGCTGAGTTGAGAAGGATTGACTTGTTGAGTGTGAGTATTTACCAGGATACTGATTGTTGTCCAGGTCTTGGCCTCCTCTCAGAGTGAATCCATATCCAAGCAAACTGTCACTGGGGGTCCTGGCTGCTCTCAGCTCTTGGCTCAGTGTCAGGCCTTGCGTGGATGCGTCTCTGTTACCATTAAAGATCAATACTCTCCCTCCACGCTCCTCGCCTCCGAACGGACAGCCCACCGCCACGTCTAAGGGATGACACACACACACACATACACACGCATGGTTTAGATATCAGTAGGGTTAAGGGCCCTCTGAGACAGAAGCAGAGGAAAACATACAGGTAGAAGGAAAGAGAGAAGGAAAAGATCTTGACCTTCTTTTACCTGCACTGGGGGACCATTTCAGTATTGTCATTTACCGCTTTTCTTTAATTTCCATTTATTTTGCTCATCTTTTAATCTTGTCTCTCCTCTATCTTTCTTTTTCTGTCTTGGTGCTGTTTATATCATTGCTGTAATTCTTGGTTACTCAGTATTGTGCTCTGCGTAGGAAACATTTGGGTCAATATGACCCTATAATAAGTGACAAAATGCTATAGAGCAGGCTAGTCTGTTGGGGTCTTAAAGCAATAGTTTGACACTTTGGAAAATACACTAATTCGCCTAAGACTTTCATCTTTGATAAAGCTTATAGATAGAGCTGGCTCAGGTGAGCCCTAAAACATTCCTTGGTTATGCTGCCGGGACACTTCCCATAATGCACTGAGCTCCCTCTCCATCTGTATGCATTCTTATCCCATTAATCCATCCATCCATCCATCATCAACCGCTTATCCTGCGTACAGGGTCGCGGGGGGCTGGAGCCAATCCCAGCTGACATTGGGCGATAGGCGGGGTACACCCTGGACAGGTCGCCAGTCCATCGCAGGGCCTTATCCCATTAATGTATGTCACTAACTCGACTAACATGCTCATATCTGTGCACTGTTTGTATACACACTGCAAAAACTGATCTCTCTATAACAAGAAAAAAAAGCATTAAAATGGGGGAAATATTACTCAAAATGAGCAAAATTATCTGCCAACAGAACAAGAATATTTCACTTGCTACTTAAGGCCAAAAAAACTTGAAACAAGTGAAATTCTCTAACATAAAAGCCGCCTGGTAAGAAGATATATCTTGTCAGACAAAAAAGAAGTATATTTTGCCTTCAATTAAGATAATTAATCTTATTAAGATTTTAGTTTTTGCAGTGCAGATTAAGCAAATGAGATAGAACATATCAGCTAATTACTGAGCTTTAGAGGTTTTTTTAACTTTGGACAGAGTCAAGCTAGCTGCTTCCCCCTGCTTCCAGTCTTTAAGCTAAGCTAGGAAATTCAGCTAATCAGCTTCACACGGACTGTGTGGGTGTGGTTTGATTGGATTTAATTGACAATGGTCCAGCAAAACAAGAGAACATCCCCACAGTTCCCATCAGATGAAATGTTTCCCAGATTGGTGCACTGAACCACTCATTATCCATTTTTTCCAACTAAACCCTGCTACTAAAAACATAACGACAGAAATCTCTCAACTGAACTAATCAAAGCTTTTCTAACTAACCCCAAAAAAGATAATTGAGAAAGTAGGTTTCAAAGGCCTTTAAGAATTCTTTCAGACATGTAGGCGTGTAGTTGCAACGGAGGCCCCACACGCAAATGAAAACAGAGAGATAATAATTAACATACTGCAAGCACCTGTCCTGGTACTTACTCTTTAACCTCTTAATGTCCACACATTGCACTGTCCTGCATAAAAGCATCCCTCACTACTGTAAATGTCCAAACACCTCGAGACATCCTGTTTGTCTCCGGACCCCTTCTCTCTCAGCCTAAACAACTAGATCCACATGAAGCAGATTGTGGGGTAGAGAGGATAAATGCAACCATGTGTGTATGCAAGTGTATATATGAGCCTGTGTGTGCTCATGTGTGTCTGCAAGTGTGTATGTCTATGTGTGGGTATGTGTACATAACTGAAAAGCTGTGTAAAAAAAAATTGTACTTAAAAAAGTCCTCAAATAATGTGAAAGTCACTCATGGGAATTACTCCATCATCCCACACAATGCAGACATCCACAGCAAAATGTGGAACACCCACTGTGATCTCTTAGACAGTGACATTGTTACTCACAGACAGAAACAGGCTGAGACTCTGTGAGCGATGGTGATAGAAAGCCTCTGTTGGCTGACAAAAATTAAAAACAAAGAGAGCTGCATAGGAATTTCAATTAGCTAAATTGCAATGTTTCCTCTCAACAAAGCCATGAAGAGGAGAGGTATGGTTCTGCTTTTAAGAAGAATTTTGCAACTGAAGTCATGAGGTCCCTGCTACGGGAGGAGGAAGAGGCTCTGTGTCATCACTTGCTGAAAGGGGATCTGTCAATGATTATGCACACATAATCATATGAGTGCACAGGTATACTTGAACACAGAAGTTTGACATTAGCAAAAAGGAACTGCTGAAAACTCTGATCACATTGTCTCCATGGTGACTCCATAATGCAATGCCGAATTGTCCTCATAAGATTATCTCTCAACAAGTCTTTTCAATGCGTGTCACTGCAGCTGGCAGAGAGGCACCTCAGAGACCGTCACATCCTGACAGAGAGCCTTATGTGATTTATGTTTTTGGCCACAGAAAGCTTCAGTATTGATCCAGTGGATATTGATCTGATTGTTAAAGGGTTTAAAGCGGTGGGACACACATTAATGCACTCTGGCCATGAATAAATAAGGCACTAATCAGTGGGACAGATGGGTGTTAATTCATTCACTTCTAAGCTCGCAGTCAACAGGCCTTGGCGTCATGGAGCATTTGGACTGCAGGCTGAATGGTTTGTGTGTGTGTGTGCATGTGAGTGTGTCTTTGTCTAATCAACGTGAAGATAAAACAAACACATCGAAGAGGAATGAACTCTGGGCTGCAGGACAGAAACTCCCAGATGATTTTATCTCAGTGCACATCTGGTGAGTTAAAAATAGCTCCAACACACACACACACACACACACACACACGGCCTTAACCCTTATCATCACAGGCGGAAATAAGTTCACACAGACAATCTTTCATCGCTGCTCTTCCTGATTGGCTGAAGCGCTTTAAGTTTTTTCAAGCAGCAGCATATGATAGGATTTCCTCAGTCAGAGACTAAACAAACCAAGAGGCACGGGAAACACAGAAAAAGATCTGTCAGTCATCAGGTTTACCTGGAATCACCTGTCTCATATGGGCAGACGAGTACAAGGGAAAGAGGTCCATGCACTGGCCCACAAAATATATATAATATATATATATCAGGATTTGGAAAATTTTCTCGTCTACATATCTTTCTCCTTCTCTATTTCTGTTTGTTGTCTCTCTCATCTTGCATATTTTTGTTTCTCAAATGAATTTCATCTGGCTTAATTTCCTTTTTCCATTTCTTCTCCCCTTCTTTCTGTCTTTCATCCTCTCAGCATACCATTGTATCCATCCATGTTGATGTCTCCCAGGGGTGCTATAGCTGTGCCGAAGCGCCCGAAGGTATGTGTGCCGGTGAGGGCAACAAGTTTGGAGAAAGTGAGCGGGGCCATCTGTAGGTACAGGTATACCCTCCCCACCTCTCTGGGTTTGCTCTCCATCTCTCTTTCCATATAGAGGGGCGCTCCAATCAGCACATCGTCGGTCCTGGGGACATAAGCCGTGGTTTTAAGGCTTAGACAAAGAAAGAGATGGAGTGAGTGTATGTGTCTCGAGTGACATGGACATTTTCTACTTACCCATCTCCGTTCAGGTCAGTGACAGCCACCGAGTAGCCAAAATAAGAGGCCATCTGAGAGACAAGGAAGGAACAGGAGTATTTTTTACCATAAACCCAATCCAACCCAACCCATCCAAAAATGGAAGAAAATCCATATCAGCTGGTGCCCACGATGTAGTAGTTTATATGCAGCCCTGCAATATGTGTGTATCGATGCTCCTACCTGTTCCCCTGTGAAGTTCTGGATGAAGGTCAGATTGGTGGAGTTGATCATTGCCACCTAAAACAAACAGATGGACTGTCAGATACAATATGGCATGACTAATAAAGCACCAGACTTTGTCCTCATAGCACTCCAGGAGCAAACATGTCTGACAATGCAGGAAAAAAGTCAGAAACCGCATTAAAAAAAGCCTTTATTCTACTGAAACTTATTTCTTTTCCCCTGCCCTCCCCCACCACCATCCTCTTTGTGCCTTTACCATTTTCCCCCTCATCTTTCTCTCCTTCCCCCCATCCTAACCCCGGTCGTGGGGAGAGACGGAGGGGGGAGCCTGAGAATTCCTTCATAAGAGCTAAAATAACAACCACATGGAGACAGCCGGGGGGCTTCACGTACACACACAGGCACACACGCAAACACACATGCAGGAGGATACATGTTGACCCAATCAGAGATGTCTCAAAGACATAGTAAAGGGACAGAACACATATAGATGACCATGTGTAAACACAAATATTGAATCTGAGCACTATGAGTTGTCAGATTGGTCACAGAAGAAACCTGATCAGCATTGACACATACTCCAGTACCAGGCTTCTAACATAGCCTTCCTGCATCCCTCAAAGCACTTCTCCCATTATGAGCTACAAGCACCCTCCTTTATGACACTCACTGTGCACTGTCAGTACAGGAAAGAGCATTCTCGCACCAGCTACAATGTCCAGACGTAAAACACACTGTTGCAATGTGTATGTGCGCAGTGTCCTGCAGTTACACTGCAGGTTAGAGTTAGGGGTCGGGTGTGTGTGGAGAAGGGTTAGTGGGGTTAGGTGGGGTCACCACCCTCCACATGCAGCGGAAGCTGTGTGTCATTAGGGAGGATTGAAACAGTCAGCCCTGGGGACATGTTCCCATAAGAGAACACTAGACACACCTACAGTATATGTTGTGGTTTTGTAGATACATATATTTCTGTGTAGAGTAAAAGCTGTAATCTTATATGAAAAACTAAAATCCAACGAACCTCAAAGACTTTTTTGTGTGTGAGTTGATTGTGTGCTTGCACATACATGTTTTAGATACAGCATGCAGATGGGTGACAAAGTAAAGGAAAAACCAATGTAAAGCTCCACCATAAGCCAACAAAACAGCTTCATAGGTCCTTGGCACAGATTCTACAAGTCTCTAGAAAAGATACTTGAGGGATGAAAGCCATGTTTCCAAAATATATTTCCTAATGTGGTATTTTGGTGATGATGGTGCTGTTGAACGTGTCAGTCCAAAATCTCCCATAGGTGTTCAACTGGCTTGAGATCTGGTGACTGCGAACGCCATAGTATATGATTCACATCATTTTCATACTACTAAAACTATTCAGTGGCCATTTGTGCCCTACAATAAGACATCTGCATTTGTTATGCTTTGATTCAGGTATAAACTTTAATTTGTCACATGTCTGTAACAATGAGGTTGCTGCTGAATGACTTTTATCTTTAAATCAAGCACCAAAATCTATCCTGCGTGTCTTTGGTTAAATTTGCTCGTTGGTTCATACTCACATATCCAAAGTTCTGTGCTCCTCTTGGGACTCCGGCTATAAGCTCTGGTAAACATGAAAACAAAGAACAACTTAAATTAGCGCATGCTTATGTGTGAGAAAGACATTGGTTCGTTGCAAAGGCCTGAACCCTAAAATCCTCTTCCCAGCCCACCCTGTTAGAAGTTAGAAGTGTTGCTGAGAACACACTGAGTGATTGGGTGCATAGGCTCTGCTTGTGTATTGATTGATGAGTGCGGTGCCGTGGACTTATAGGGACGATCTGAAGGACCAACCCAGAGAGAGTAAGAGAGAGAGTCCCTCCTTCCTGCCCTCCGGCTCTAACCAAAAGGCTCAACCATGAGCCTACAAACCAGGACTTCCCAGCTCCATCTTCACTAAGAACTCCCAGTTACAACCAGTTCTCTAATCTAAAGAGGGTTTGGGGAACAAGACCACAACAAGCTTCGTACCACAACACAACACATCAAGAGGCATGTGTAACCTCTTAAGGTTCACTTTAAGACTCGCCGACATGTTCCGGAGGGGGTTTCAGAGCCTTTGCGGGGTTTCTATGGGGGTATGTAAACACAAGGTTGTCCCATAAAGATCCCACTAAATGGTGATTAGCATAGGGGCTCTGATAGACAGAAAATGATGAATGGGAAGCTGAAGTGGCATTGGGGGAGGAGAGTCTCCTGCTTGTGACAGAGCAGAAGAGCGTGAGAGTGTGTGGTGACACAGTGTTTGAAAGAACTAACCAGTGGTTTAGACAATGAAGTAGCATGACTGTGGTTGGACACATTTTGTTTTCTTTAATAAAAGCTTTTTGTTGAAATTGCTTGTGTGTTTCATTTGTGGTGCTGACAAACTGATGGCATGGGAAAGGACATCAGAAGCACCTGAAGCTTGCAAAGAGAGAATCGAAATGCTCCACTGCTGGCTAAAAAACATAAAATGATCCGTACATTTTTGGTAATCACAACAATGACACTGCTTGTCTCTCTTTCCGTGGAATATTTCAAGTCCAGATGAGATTCTGGACCCACGCTAGATCTGAAGAGGTCTGTAGGGTCTGCCACCAATCAATCTAATCAGTTAAAATAGAAGAAATCCCTTTATCAGTAGTTCCTGAAGTCCTGTCCCCTCAGGGTCGTGACCCAGACACACAGAGACAGTACTCATTACTGCCTCTGAGTTCAGACAAAGTCAGTGTCACCCAGCTCTCCATTCCCTATCGCTCAGTCTAAAACACCCCTCGCTGGGGTCCTGGCATCCAGCCGGAGAGCATAAAGAGAGAGTGTTTCAGACGGTGTTGCAGGGTGCCTGCTGGTGTTGTTATTGAGGAATTCCTCTGGTGCTGCATGTGGTTACTTGCAATGAATTGTTGGCTTTCTCACCTTGTTCGGAGTCTCCCGTAAACTCCCCCACTGCCACCGAGTAACCTAGGGAGAAATCGGTTGCACATGATGACATATGGGTGAAATTAGCTCTGTACGCAATGCTCTGTGTAAACTGAATGTTGTATGTGATGTATGTAATGTAATGTATGATTATTATCAGCAAGGCTGTGCGAATGTGTGTGTTCGGTTTGTAAATGCATGTTACCAAGGTAGCTGTCGTCATGTGTGTCTTCAGCAGCTCTGGTGTGTTTCTCTCCTGGAACCCGTCTCAGCACTGCCTTCAAAGAGTAGCCGTTCAGTATCTCAGCTATCCCTGCTGTCATCACCTGACCTACACACACACACAGACATACACACGCACAGATAAATAGATAAAGAAAACAAACACTCAGGGTGTGAGAGTCACATATGTTCATGGACAGCGGTTTCAGCTTGGACCCCATGAAGGGAGCACAGCTGCTCTCTGCTACAGAAACCTGCTGGAGCTGGACCACCTGCTCCAAATGAAAAATGCACAGATCTAGCGACATGGCGAAGCCTTCCGTGGGGAAAGCTAAAACACATCGTTGGAAGAGGAATAGCTGGAAAAATACCCTAAAGTTCCTTCAAAACCCTCTGAAAATGCTTGTCCATTCTCCAGCAAAGACTCTGAAGTATACGTGTGCACACACAAATGACCCATCCACAACCCTTCATCTGCTGTTGAACAAGAGGTCAAACAAACAAATGATTTTATCTATGGCAATCCACAACCTTCCATAAATCCTCCTTAATGTGTGAGTGTGTGTGTGTGTGCTGACAGGGAGGGAAATGTGCCCTCTTAACCCTCCCTCCAACTCCTTTTCCACCCACTTATCCCTCAGACTGCGCTATGAGTTTATCTCCCAGAATAACACATCACCATATCAGCTCATTATTAAACCTCCATCTGATTAATGAGACACCGTGTTACAAACTGTTAACACAGATGCATAAGTCACTGCTGCCAATTTGAAGTGTCTTTACACCCAGAGATAACAAGATTGTATATAAAAGAGGTTTTTTGTATGATGACTCAGGCTGAAGGCTGAAGATAATCGTTGTATATTAGAGGCCATAAAATCCAGGCTGAGTGCTTTTATAAACATTCGGAGGAAGTGTTTTAACTGGAGGCAGCCAGCCTTGCCACGCTGAGGGCACAGAGAGGGAGCAGTCCATTAGTCTGTGATGCCTGTCTACTGCGGTCTTGTATGCTGGAGCATTCATTATTGAACCATATGTAATAACAGCAGCAACGCCAAACAATAACCCCAAATCATAAAAAATTGTGTAGCAGTTTTGAAATATCCACCACAGAGTCACTTCCCTCTTTTGTCTTTTTTCTTATTCCTAAAAACAGATACTCACTTGCTGCATATTTCTGTTCTAAACAAATGAAGTGCAGTGGAGTGACAGATTAGCAGTTACAAAGAAAGGAGAAATTAGTTTGCGCAAATGATCTCCTTGCTCCTCACAAACAGCTGCAGAACTCCTTTTGGATATTAGGAGAATACACACTCTTACACACCTGGAGTTGGGGGAGTAGCTGAACTCTGACACACTCTAGCTGTGTCTACACCTTTTAAGACACTTCATCCCTCTGCTTAGACTAGCAAGTTAGTTGACCTCAGTGTTGCTTTTATCAAGGAGAAAATCCATCTTTCTTCTTCTTTCTCTGTGTCTAACTTACTCCTTCACTTCTCATATTTCTCTCTCCCCCAGCATGTTTCTATCGTCTCCTTAACAGTCCTCTATCACTCCCGCGATCCTCCCAGCTCTCAGCCTTTAAATTCTCCCCACCTTTCCTCTGTCCCTCTCAACCCTAGCCTGCCTCTGAGCCTCTTCCTCTCTCCTTAAAGCTTTCCCAAGCCCCTCTGCACTTTATCACGGGCAGAGGGGCAGTTCCGCCACACTCCATTACGATCAGCTCATTACAGAGCCCAAACACCCACTTCCTGTTACAGACAGAGAGTGGCATGAAGTAGCCTAAAGGAGTGAGGGAGAGAAAAGGTTATGGAAAGCAGCAAAGAAAGAGACACATTTCCTTCCACCTATTCCTACTTATGGCTCTTGTAATGAAATTGAAATTTTGGCAAGAGTGTCTGTGTGCATGTGTGTTCGTGTGTAAATGTGGGCTTTTCTGACTGTTAAACCCATCTCCATTATCTTCCCTCATTTGAACACCTTCCCATCTATGAAATCATTGCAAAAGAGAGACCAGATACATGTTTACACAATGTTGTTGCAGTTACCTTGCCAGTAAAAGCTTCCAGGTCCTCCTACCACCAGCATTCCTTCCTGGAATAGATACAATAAGTTAGGTTTAGTCCTGTGATATAGATTTGTCAGTGAATGTGTGTGTGTTTGTGTGAGACTAGAGGTGTATATATAATGTTTGCAGTCGTGTGTGTGTGTGTGTGTGTGTGGGTATGTGTGTGTGTCCACACATATGACTCGTGCTGTCATGCATGTTGACATCCTGTGGAGAGTGACAGCTTCCTGTACAGGAGGGTAGAGTTGAACATGGGCCATGAGACAGAGGCCTAAGTTCTCATTGACTATACAGTGACAGATTGTGTATGTGTTTTGTCTATTGTGTTCAGAGGTGATGGGTCACATCAGCAGTGGAGGCTCCTCTAGGGACAAGCGTGCTCTCAACTTCCTAGTGTCCATTAATCTCTGAAGGGAATTTCATGTTTGAAGAAACCTCTTCGCTGGCACTTTGAGAGGGGAAATGATGTGTCCAGGGGGAATTCTTGATGATAGGGTACGAGTGTTGCTGCAATCGGTACCTTGGTGAAATCCACACTGAAGCCAGCCTGGCAGAACCCCTGTCCCTCCGGGTCTGGATCATCTGAAAACAACACAAACAGTAAAACTGTTTTTCAAAGACCTGTGCCAGCATCTTAATTGTTAAAAAAAACAATTTTCTGGAACAAAGCACTCAACTAACATTGCAGACAGCAACAGCTGACATAATGACGTAGAACCACTGAGGTGTGTTTCTGTCAAACTCTGCATGAACAAAACAACAAAAGAAAAACGTATGTTCACCTAAAAAATTGTTCTCCATTTTAGAGGCACCCTGAGGTGAAGCTTAATGATGCGTAACTAGACACGTGCACATATAAATAATGTGTGAGTTATGGTAGCGGACTGAGAGGTCATAGATTCATGTTAAAATGAAGCTGCTGGAGAAAAATCAGACTTGGACACATGTTGAAGAAATTCTTCCTCTGCCTGAAAAACATTATTCCCCCCTTGACAACAATTGAGTTTACAATGTGATTATTCTAGTCTTGATTAGTCAGAACTGGCATAACCAACAAAATGAGATCTTTAACAACTGTCATCCAATAAAAGGGAGCGTAAAGAGTGAGTGTAAACAGAGAGGGATTTTTTTGTAGAGTGGATGATGGAGTGGATGATAAGCCCTGTGTTTGATCTGCTGTTTATGATGTGCCACCTGATAGCCTCCGTTTTCCCCTTATCATACTTATCATGCTGATGCCTCATATCACTGCACAGGGTAAAAGGGGTCGCAGGAAGAAAGTAGGAGAGAAAGAAAAAAACTGGAGATGAGAGAAAGGGGGTGGAGGGGAGGATAATCCCATGAATCCCATTTACAGAACTGATGACAGAAAGAAGTGGACCAGAGAGAGAGACAGATACTGTCACAGAGACAGATTATCAGGTTACTGTGGCAACCTTTAAAAACACCAGGCAAAGTAATCCACCGGGAAAGACAACAAATAAATCTGTCTGCTCGCTGTCAGTTCAACCAACTTACGAAAATATACATTTCCTCATCTGCAGATAGTTTTGGTTTTGTTTGGCCAAGTTTGGAGATAACTACATCTGAGGTTTCTGCTGCCAAGCAAATACAATAGAAGTGAATGTAATTTTGTTTAGGAAAAACATTTAAAATTTTCTTTTTTTTAACACCTTTTTTGTTTTGTTTCAATTAAATATAACATAGTCACAGAGAAATCTGTGCAGGCGCGATTAATTCTTTAAAGGGGCTTTATGTAGTTTTTACATGAAATTAATATTTTTTATTGCCTATTTGTGAACGGGTTGTAACCTCACAAAACAATGAACCACATGCCTGCTTTTTTCGGTCGCTTGGAACAGCAGATTTTCCGCAAAATCCATTGGTTTACATGGGCTATAACGTTCATGTGCGCTCCCGAGCCTCTTGCCTACTGATTCTGAAATGTACACAGCGACAACATCGCAGCTAACAAAATGGAGTCTGCTAACACCCAAAAAACAACAGGCTCCCAGCACAACACAGACTCCAACACAAACTCCACATAGGGATAAAAAACAAACAAAAAAGGTTTTACCCGATACCCGTTAGGCCAAATGAGAATCAGATTGACATCGGGTGAAAACACGGTCAATGATGGAAAGTCGTTTGAATCATGGAGACCTCTCCTTTGTTTTGTATAAATAAACCGACCCAGAGTTGGCTTTCATCCCATTGGACAGGAAACTAACATTACTGCAAAGCATGTGCAATATATTGTGATTTTGTGCTTTAGTTGGCTTAAGTTAGATAATGTTAGGTTGCCGGCTAACACTGAGAAGTGGCTAGTTATCATTTGCATTATACTGTAACTGTATGGCTTTTCACATTACTTCAGCTAACACAATCTATATTACTATCCTGTGCACCACCAGTTTTATGTCAAAGTGTTAAGTGTCATGTCAAGTGATTTTAGCCTGGAAGAATTGATGTAATGATGAAAAAAGCAAATGTGGAAAGATTTATTTCTAAAACCAACAGTAATGCAAGGCAGAGGCAGTCAGCTAGATTAGCATGGATGTGGTATTGTTTGCTTTGTAACATTCAATTTAGATTTATTGTCGTTTTACTAGTACACAGGTACATAGCTTCCTCACCAGTCTCAGTCGCTACAACTTACGTGACCCATGTAATATACAATAATGCAACATAATGGTGCAGGACAACACCACAGTGGAAGACCCATTTACTACAATAACGTTACTTACAATCTCATTTATATTATTCAGTCTAGCTCACTAAACGTTTTTGCTATCATCCATTAAATTTAGATATACTGACATCGTCAAGCCTCTCAGTTGAAAGTTGAAAATAGTAATTGAGAATTCCTCAGGTATATGCAGTCACTGTACCGTTATCATGCAACAAGCCTGGATTAGTTCAACGTCAAACTGATTAAAATATTACTGTAACATTGCAGAGGGAGTTTACCTGAGTTTCCAGCATTTTGTGTGAAGCTGTTGCCCGGTGTGTTGGTGTCTGTTTTGGCTCGCTCATTAAATCGAGCATGAGCATGAGCACGAGCACATGCTTGGGAAGGTAGTGATTACAATCAGAAACCTAACTGCTAGAGGCCACTGAAAACTACATATGGCACCTTTAAATATACTACTGCAATGCCATAAACAAAATTACATTCACCTTAATTGTAGTGGCATCTCAGAGAAAGATATATCAAAACCCGGCTAGATACTACCAGAGGTGTGTCTGCGATTTGGGTGTGCTGACTCTTTGAACTTGAGTCAGTGCACTCTATGTATACTTTATGCCATATTATGACATATTACACAGATGGAAGATAGTATAAAGTGTATTAGAGAGAGAGAAAAGAAAAACAAAGGAAGGGAGGTTGGAAGGCAATAAAAGGGAGATGGAGACACTTGGAGACAGGCTGCAGGGTGACTCACTGGTCCTGCAGGGTGAGTACTCTGCGTAGGCGCTGAAGTTCTGGACAGCCACATAGCAGGTCCCCACGGGGTCCTTCTCGCCACTCAGCTTCACTGTCCGCCAGTGGTAAAGAGGAGCACATGCCTACACAACGAATATTTAAATTTAAAGAAATACTTACCTAAATGGCAACTTTAAAAAAGCAGGTAGCAAAACTGTAGTTTTTAAGCATATACAATGATACAGATGACACATGTCTGATACGAATTGGCATCATGTTCCTCACCACCACTTTTCCTTTGTGTGTCCTGACCGATGCTCCAAACCACTGGTGCGACTTAAACTCCAGAGGCTCTCTGGTGCCGTTTACCTTTATCATCCTGTTATCTGGAGAGAGACCAAGACAGAGACAGAGAAAAAGCGGAAGTGGAAAAGACATAAAAAGGAGAATGAAAAAGACATTTCATAATGGTGCCAGTGAAAACTGATATTGACTGTGGTAATGTAGATCCAGGCCTGTAGCTCTGTGTAAATGGAAAAATGTGTCCTTGATAAACAACAAAAAAACACCAACTTATACAGCCCTATAACAAACATCAAAACACCATTTGGCCCCCAGAAACAGACATTTGTCAGGATGCCGGAGGCTTTTTTTTTTTAAGTCAAAGCCTTTCCTATAAAATATAACAGCACTTAGGAGAGTTACTCTAACTGGGCCTACACTTACACACATACACACACAGACACAGAAACAAGTGTGTACATGCACATTATGAGCATTTCCCAGCTGACTTAGAATAAAGTGTCAGCTTTATGTCAGCTTTATGTCTTTGCTCTGTTACAGATATTTTCCAGTGTTATTAAAGACCAGCTGGGTCTCTTTACAGCCATGCAGACCCCTCCTCATTAAACACCTTCTTTTAGCACATGTGCACTCACTTAAATAGGCACACAGGCAGACAATTCATAAAGACAGGTGTACAGTGGCCTTTTTGCTTGTTTGTTATAGGATTCATTTGATTCTAAATCCAAATATGAATTATTTTCTTGTCTCAATCATCATTTGCATGATGTTGATCCTACCTAGTTCCAAATTGTGCGTTTGTATGCTTTTATATAAATGATGCTAACAACAAATGAATTATCCCTACTATATCGAGTATGAAAGGCATTCATTCTCATGAGCAGCAATATCATGGACCTAAAGGTTAAAGAAACAACCTTATGACTGGAAGGAAATTCTTTTTAACTGTAGGACAGGTTTGGAAATTAAGGTAGTGAATGAAGTATACTCTAATAGACACACCCAACCCTGTTTAGCTGCTTTGAGGCTACAGCAGAGGACTGGCTGTAGTGTGAAGCTCTCAGATTTGTGAATGTGTGGTACGGTTTCAATGTGACGAAAGACATGCAAATGCCTGTATCAAGTTTCTATAAAGAAAAAAAACATTGTGCTGCTCTAAATCATTTTATGATCCGTGCATGTATCATTTTCTGGCAGATTAAAAATCAATGGACCCAGTGTGACTATCACCATATCAGCCCCTGTCTCAATCCCTCTGCTACACTGGCATGGCTTGACGCATCTGCATAATGTCACTGAAGCCATGTACACACACACACACACACACACACACATACACACACTCAGGCATATGTGAAGCTGACGTATGGATATTAACCAGTACAGTACACACAGATGTTCACCACTCGTGCTGATATTTTGTACAGTGTGCATGAGTGTGTACGTGTCTCTTAGTCTAGCTTATACCTGCAATAAAGGCTCTGCTGTAACTCTAGAAATATCCACATTGGCCACTGTCTTCAATCACCTTGTGCATACCCACCCATTCTAGTGAATAGATACACATGCATGACTGCACACACATTTCTTCCTCTATGTTTATTCTTATATCCCCAAAACCTGAAATTTCCCCCAAAACACTTCACACTAAAAGTAACCCCTTTGTGAAAAGTAACCTATAATTAACTTTAGGGAGCGCAAAGAGAATGCTCCTCACTTTGAAGGTTTATCCTCATCTTCATGGAGTCTTCCTTTAGTTCAGACAGGACAATTAAGTCCTGCTTGCATCAACTGATTGGCTATCATCTGTTTCATTCATGCTTCTGCATTAGCAGTGTATTGGCAAGCAGCTGACTAGCAACATCCAATCATACTCATGCATGTGTACATGGTGATGGCATTTGTAAACTAAGAACTTTGTCTGTATGTATTGAGCTTTTGATACTAATCACTCTGGTACAATAATGTTCTTGTACGTTTCCAACTTTCTCTTAATTCTGTCTGATAAATAAGTTTCTCCCAACGGAATACTTAAAGCTCGGATTCTGTGAGAGCCCCAGAACCACCTCCACCACAAAATGAACTATAAATGGTCAGTTCCATCACAAAGATGATAGACGTCCTCACAAAAGAGACAGAAGAACAAAAAGAGAGAGGGATAGACTGATGGAGAGCAAGAGAGAGAGAGAGAGAGAGAGAGAAGGGGAGGGGAAACGAGACAGGGATAAATTTTCAAGATCTAATAAAAAGCAGACCTCATCCAATCCCCCTTTACTCCGAAGGGGAAGTAAATTCCCATGTGCACACAGTTTACCCCCCCAGCTTGCTTTCTCACTTGTTCTCTCTCTCTCTCTCTCTCTCTCTCTCTTCCTCTTGCACATACACTTACTGCTCAGAGACATTAGATGCACAAACAAAGGCTGATTGCACAGTTACCCTTGATGATAACATATTGAAAACCATAATCAGCGTGATGTAGGCTTGCACCAGCAAACCTGCGAGCCACATTTTTTTGGTAGATGAAGCTGATGGGACCCACATGTCTTATCTCTCTTTTTCATGCAACAACACACGTGCCAAACTTAGATACATGCACATAACAGACACACAGGTTATGAAACTCCAGTGGCTCCAAATGCAGTAACACCTGGGGCCACCTATGGCTTTAAAAGGATCCACTTGGACCTCAGTGAAATTAATGCTTGTTAAATTTCATTTCTGTTATTCAATAAAGTACTCCTCATAATACAGTGACATTGCTGAGCATGTGTCTCACAGTTGGTTCAATGTAACAGTGAAGTTATTCCTTTATATGTCCACCGGCACAAATCTATGTCTATGGAACATCATTATACCCAGTGGGGCCCCCAGGAGGTCTGCCATGAATTTATTTTGATCAATGATAGGAAAATAATTGAAAAAGCTTTCAGGTTACTCACTGGAATTGTCAAAAGGTATCTGTCTGCAGCTGTCTGGGAGTCCAGGCCATGGGCAGTAGTAGACGGCTCCAGCCTCCACAACACCGGGCTGGGAGGTGTTCGCCTTGGGTGCCCCCACCAACACACTGATTCTGGTGGGGAAAAAAAGAGAAACCATGCAAGACATGCAGGAGAGTGTACAATGCATTCTTCAAATGTGTGCAGTCAATGCACTCAATTTGGCTCATCCATACATCTCAATGTCTTTTCTGTTTCATAATTCTGTTTCACTCTGTGCAGCAGGAATCTGAAACACTCGTGCTTTATCTGAACTATTACAGTGTGTGCAGAGTATACAGCTACAGAGATAAAGAATTTTTTTATGTATTATTTTTCCACCTCATCATTCCTCACATCATTTGGATTCAGTTCTATTCCTAATGTATTTTAAAGTTCTCTTGACAGGTTAAACTACATATGTACATGTACATGTGGATAGCCTATTATAACTCTTGCGGCATCCTGATGGGACAACTTCAGCTCTGATGTTGCCACTCACGTGTTGCTGTCGGCGGTAGCTTGATAGAAGTCCACAGAATAACCGAAATAACTTCCACCGGGACCCCTGTAAACCGTAGGATGCTCTGCGTAAAGGTTAAAACTCCAAACTCCATTTAGCGCCGGCCACAGCACCGACAGTACCCCGAGAACAAACATCCCAGCAGAGGAAACACAGTCCCATACATACTCCATCTTCACTGAACAGTCAGCTGCGCACTATTCCCCCCAAAATGAGAGGGAACTGTGACAGAGATAGAAGAAAATATATATACAGAGAGCGTTTCCGTACAGGTGAAGCTGGGTTTGTCCCGGGTTAAGTTCGCCAACTTGCTGTCACCGGATCACTGCGCTCCCCTAAAACTGCCTCCTGGCACCCTGAAACCACCAGGTCTGTCCAGAATCTCAGCTTCAAGACTACACAGCCGCGCCCCCGCCCTCTGCACAAAACTTTACCCCCTACACACACACACACACACACACACACACACACACACACACACACACACACACACACACACACACACACACACGCATACACAAGGCACAAACCACATCTGAGCGAGCTACGGGGCTGGCGCGTCACCGCTCCTTATATGGCAGAGACATATTTTATGTGGCGAATTTGTTGGCTTCCCCCTGAAACAATAAATAATTTTAAAGCACCTTAAAACATTTTCTCAAATCAGTCCAGAAATATAGCCACATGCGCACGCAGAGACTTGGCGTGCGTGCACCCAAATGCAAAGCGTGGTAGTTCATAAATTAAACCACTTTCTTCTTTTTATTTGTCACTTTGTTCAACCATACAGTTGATGGGCTGCATTTCCTTCCGTTGAGAAATATCTCTTATAATTATGTCAGTAATTATTATGTCGACTTACAGCATAAAGCTCTTGAGCTGCGCACGCTCAGGCAGTCTGGCCCGCTCACAGTTTCACTCAACACCAGGCGATTTCCCCCCTAAACCTCCGAGGTAACATACTTCGCTCTTGCTGAAAATAATACCCTGCATTGAAAAACTGTTTTACAAAGCTGACAGGCCAGACCAGCCTGGTTTTTATACATTTAGCTCAGCACACTTCCGAACATTTATTTCATCTAAAACTCATTTCTCTGTGCGTGCGTGGTGTAGAGAGGAAGAGAGATGAATGTGGCTACGTTTTGCCAAACTCCCAAATGTGTTTTAATTAAACTAAGCTTTATGGGCACGTTAGTGATTAATTAAACTCCAAAGCCAGCCTCTCGGTGTAGTAAAGCTGCAGTGGAGCAGCGCTAAAGGCACTGGCGCGTGTTATCTGTCAGGAGAGTTGAAGTTGAAGTAAGTTAGTAAAGTTTATTTGTATAGCACCTTTCACAGATAAAAATCACAAAGTGCTTCACAATAAAATGTGATACAATACAACAATGTAAAATACAATAAGACAATTTAAATACAAATGGAAAACATAGAACAAACAGCCATAAAAACCCCACTAAAAGCCTGCTTGAATATCAGAATCTTCAGTTACTTTTTAAAAGAATTGTTAGAATTCACACAACGTAGAAAGGGAGGCAATGCATTGCACAGCTTAGGTGCCACTAGTTGGAATGATTGATCCTCTCTGGTTTTAAAATGAGTGTGGGGAACCACTAACAACCTCTGACCTGATGATCTCAGACTAGGGGTCGGGAATATGAAGCTGTATTAACTCAGAGATGTAGAGGAATTTGACCATGCAGGGCTCTAAAAGTGAGGACCATGATTAAATTAAATTAAATTGAATTCTGTACTGGACTGGTAACTAGTGAAGCTGTGCTAAAACAGGTGTGATGTGTGCTTTTTTGTTAATGTGAGTTAAAAGCCTTGCAGCAGAGTTCTGAACAGCCTGGAGACTGTAAAGCTCCTTCTTGCTCAAACAAGTAAAAAGACTGTTGCAGTAATCTAAACAAGAGGAAATGAAAGCATGAATGATCATCTCCAACTATAACTGACAAGAACCAGGTGAGAAGGTGTGGTAAAGAGTGTGTGTGAGAAGAACCCAAACCTTGACCTGCCAGATGGAGAAGTTTCTGGCCTCCATACACCCTCTACCTGCCTTGCTCTCCTCCTTCAACCCAGCCATCAATTCATCCATCCTTTCCAGTAATCTTGTCTCCTTTCTGTGTTTCATTACAGAGTGCAAGCTTGGTTCACCTTGTCACATTCCCCTGATCCATTTTGTGCAACAGTGAAGTGTGTGTGTGTGTGTGTGTGTGAGCGTGTGAGAGAGAGAGAGAGAGAGAGAGAGAGTCTGTTCTTTCTCATCTGTTTCTATGTAAATCTAAGATGAACAGGATAAAAAAAAAAACGCCAAACACAAGCACATAGAAGACAGATGTGTACCCTTACTTTCGTCTCACTGATGAAAAAGAAAGAGAAGATGATGATGGTGACGGAGTGAGGAGGCAGCAGGCAGACCTGGTTCTGTTCTTTTGCCCCATTTGGCTTTAGTGTGGCTGTGTTATAAGGCCAGGTAAGTAGCGTTTTAATGCAGCTCAATTTCATTGCTCGAATGTGTGTGTGTGCACATCGATAATCATTTTCTTCACTGTTTACAGCCAATAAATTTCTCACAGACATCCACTTTCCAGTAATACACACATTAACTCACATACTACTCAGGTTACATCAGTCTGCCAGTATGTTCTGATCACAGATTTTACTGCAGGTCATTCTGGATTGATTATTGCATATGCACAGTAGTGTTTTATATTCTATACACTGTGCCCACATTCCCCTTCTCCCTTTACAAAATAGTAATGACAGTTAAGCAGACAGCAGTCAGATTAGGCCCACATCCTTTCTCCATTAGACAAATCCATTAGACACACACCCAGCTTGTGTTCCAACACTCCTGCGCACAGATGCATACTGGAGCACAAACAAATGCATAAACACTGAGTTAATAAATCCAGGTCTTATCCTGAGCCAGGACTAAGTAGTTAAATGATAATGAAATGCTATTCCTATATGCAACTGTGTTTTAGGAGACCTTATAAAAAGTTGACGTTTCATTTATCTTCTTTTGGGAAATGTTGATGATGAGCAAAGATAAACACGCAGTCTTTTGTCTCCGTTTTGTTTACACCATCAGTGTCTTGGGGATTTTGTGAATTACTGAAAGTACAAGAAACATAGGTTGGTGTGCGATTTAGTGTTGAGGGGATCCAGACAGACCTTCTTGGACATCCTGAAACCTGAGGTTGTCCAAAGTTGGGGTCAGGACGTAATATTTAGGAGGGGGAAAAAAGACACAGGAGGATATGCAGGATTTTAAAGCTACCAAACCACACAGCATTTGAACAAAAAAAGGTGTTTATTCCAGAACTTTTGAGTGAGATAATAAATACACGAGCACTTGGCCAACATCCTTATGTGGTGCATGAAGCATGCACTCACACACACATACACACACAGACACAAAGTACCCTAACCAGCATCATCTTGGTGAAAACACTGAAGAAAACTGTTCAGATCTCCAGCTCTCCGTGTCTGGGTTGGTCCCTTTATGCTGTAAATGCTTAGCTGTGGGTGTGACAGTGTGTGGTTCTGTCTGTGTGTGTTGTGTTCTCATATGTGGAAGGCTTTGGTAGGTTTTCCCTCAAACAGTCCTATAGCTGAATTAACAGTAGTGTTTCACAGTCGACTGGCTGTACGTGTGGTTCAGAATGTGATTTTGTGACACACACTGAACCAAACCAGTTTACTGTCTAAACAGTGTCTAGAAGTCTACTGCCAAACTGTAGCAGAGGTGTCAGCACAGAGCAGTCATTCAGGTTTTTTTTTTTTTAATAATCACATCATCAACAAGCCATGGTGAACGTACAATAGCATGAACTGTAAAAGGTGAGTTTGCATTTTTGTGGAATGTTTGAGTGAGAATGACAATGGATCTCAGGCATGTAGGTTTAGTCCATGAAAGTGTTTGTCTCAGTCTCTTGTGTGCATTTGTGTTCTTCCCCTCATTCTCATTCGTCTCCGTTGTGTATGTGTCAGTTGTTGTAATCTGCAGACCTTTCAGGGTCAGTGTGCGGCAAGCCGGAGGCGGGGGTGTGTGTGTGTGTGTGTGTGTGGAGCAGAAGCGGTCCATCCACATACGCAGACACACACAGACCGCGTTGGTGCTAGTTCAGTGACGGGGAGTGGTCGGTGCTCCACAGCAGCTCGATGTAGGGCCACTTGGTCTGTAGGCAGCGCTTGACTGGAGTGTCGTCTGTCCGAACCATGGGGTCCTCAAAGCCTAGCACCAAAGCCGTTCCTTCCACATACTCCACCTGAGAACACACCCACACAGGTCAATACACAGTTAACTAAACACACAAATTTCAACACTTTCTGCCAACTTTGACAGGCTTCAACTCCATCAAACTCTTCCCCTGAAGGGGTCAAGGGTGAGCTGCAAGGGATGGATGCAAGGATAAAGCAGACATTCCCAAGCGCACGCACGCACACAAGCATGCACGCACGCACATCAGCTGCAGGGGACTGCTGTCAGCAGGTCTGTTAATCCCATCTAGAGCTATGGGTATGGAATTGCCATCACAACCTTATAGGCGCCTTGCTGCTATGTGTGTGTGTGTGTGTGTGTGTGTGTGTGTGTGTGTGTGTGTGAGTGTGTAGGCGTGTGCTTTTGTGTGGGCAACACATGTGGTGCCCTTCCTGCATTTTCAGGTAGGCAAAGTTGATGAATGAAGAAAGTGATATTCCCGAGTAACAGGTTTTTGTAAAGCCACCACATCCATTGACAATCATCCATCACACTAAGCCCGTCGAATAGGCCTGTGTTTGACCATCTATCACAGCTAGGCTGCTGACAGTGGCCTCCGTGTTGAAATGACTTGGAGAAATAAGAGGCTAAGCCAGGGTTTTTGGATGGATGGACAGGCTATTAGGCACGCAATAGCTACTGTTTATTCTGGAGTGGCCGACTGCCTCCAACCGTGTGTGTGTGTATGAATGATGAAAGGAAAGAAAGAAGTAATAGGCAGATAGACAGAGAACACATGAATGAACAGGAAATGCCACCATCAGTTGCTATAAAAAAGCTGAATATGAGTGCCATACCCGCTCGTTGTGGTTAGACTGTTTAAGTCCATTGTAGTGGTAGATGGGAAATGAGTCTGGGATTCCTGAATCCTGAAACACAGACGGGGAGTGAAAAACATGTAATGTTGTTAGAGAGTCTCTGGGCAAACTGTTCTCACAGGGATGGAGGTAAAGAGCTGCAGTGCCAGAACATTTTTGAACCCAAAAGTCAAACAGAGACATCTTTGCCTGCATCCAAAGCTTAATGGCAAATCCCACATGTTGCATTTAAATGTATGTGTGTTAGTGCACTGAAACAAAGCCTGACTGCAAATACCAGAAGACAGCCAACACTACAAAAACGTCCGAACAATGACACTGAGCCAAAACACTTCCCATGGCTTTGGCTTAAAAGGTGCAGAATTCTAATAGGGTGTGTTGTCTGAGAGCGTGTCCAGCTTCTCGTGTTTATATGCCTATATATGAAACCTTAACCCTAGCCCCAATCCCACGTGTGTCTGAGTGTGTGTGTGTCCAGTTGGCTAATGGTAGTATAATTTCTTTGCGGCTTGGGGCCATTCCTCTGGTGAGTCCCTAAAGCCCTGATCACTTTAACACAGTTCCCTCCTCTATCTCTCCCTCTCTTGTCTTCCTCTCATGCTCTGCCTCATAAAAGGTGTCTTACCGCTCTTTCTAAGCTTCTCGGCAAGTAACGTCATATGATGGTTAACACACACGCACACATTTCACATGAGACGCCACAGGAATGTTTTTGGCATAAAAAAAAAACTTTGATTTGCTAAAACAGCACTCCACATAAGCTTGGGAAATAGACACCAGTGTCACCCATATATGTGTCTAAGACTCTTAGTCCATGTGTTTTAACCATGATATGGATTGTATGGAAGACTACCTCCACACACACACACACACACACACACACACACACACACACACACACACACACACACACACACACACACACACACCTGATCAGGAAAAAACTCCAAGAGGAACGGGCCCAGAAGAATTACGCCCAAACTTTCTGGATCCAGCTTACTCTTCACCAGACTGACACTGAGAAGACACAGAGATAGGAAAGGAAAGCAAACAGTGAGCAGTGGAAAATAGATTCAGAGAGAGAAACCAGAAAGAAAGAACATTCAGGTCACAAAAACAGTCTGAGATGTTTAGTACATAAAAAGCGAGTCAAATTTACGATCACTTCATCACTCAGTGTAGACTCATGATGCATGTTTTGGTGAAAGCGCACATGTTTTCATGAATACCGTGGTGTAACTAAATATACCTCTTACCAGACATTCCTACGTGTTAGATCAGTGTTATTATTATTCCACCGTGATAAATCTGGTCAGATTGCCCTTTTAAGGCAATGAGGAGAGAAGCGAGGTTTATACCCAGACACAGGGGAGGCACTGATTGGGTCCTCATCTATTGATTTTTACAAGTAGCACGTGCAGCAGGATAACATGCAGAGTAGACCGTGACCCCGCTGAAATGTCGTCAAGAAACACTATGAATCCCTAAAATTGTCAGATGTGGTGCTCTACAGCAAACCTTATGATTCATTTGCAGGGAAGACTCCTCAGGGATTAATAAAATATAAAATTTTTAGGGCTGACCCCCAATAGTTGAAGATTCGATTGGCGGAGCCTGATTCGACTGTCCATCTCACAGTCGAAGCTTCGCAGCGAATCAAGGATCATACCATTTTGGCGACATGGGGGTGCTCAACGTCTCATTTTACATAGAACTACCAGTTGTCTCCCAATAAGTTAATATACAGCCTATTACAATATACATTTCAATGTTTAATGCTGTAAATAAACATGTAAAAAGAATAAAACTTTCAATAAATGTTTTTAAAAGTGCGTAAATAAATCCAAAACTGTAACCCTAACCCTGGGTCGTCAGTGCGCATGTGTAGGCATAGCGTGTGTGTGGTGGTGGAAGAGGAACACTTGCTGAAGAGAGTGAGCCCCAGCTCCACTGGTGTTGTGCCAAGTTGTCCGCACCTCGTGGGACTTTCGGATAATTTATCACCGTCGATGAACCACACAAAGAATATTTTATCGTTTTTAAATAGCTGGCTACTTGAAATCACGACGTGCATGCAGATGTCGGCAGCACGTTATGCGCGCAAAACTCACCCAAGACCGGTGAATGACAGGTGAGAGAGAGAGAGAAAAGGGTCTTTAAAAAGCCTCAGTTTTTTGGAAATTTACAGTGTCAGTTGAATAGAATGAATTAATAGAGACTGCAGCTCTGCAGCTTCTCAAGATTACAGCGGGGCTACCATGTGTAACACACAATTCGACTGTAGGCAGGACTTGACGATTCTGATTTGATTATATAAATCCTTAGTCGGGGACAGCCCTACAAATCAACTGGTTGTTGATGGGGATCATGGGATTTACAGTTGTCCTTTGTAGTGGGGTTTTGCTGTATCCACTAAATGACTGTATATGACTGGACATGAGATGGTGATTGCATGCAAATTCCTACACTGTGCATGCCACAATTATTGCTTGTGTCCAATCCATCCTCCTGGGCTATAATGCAGTCAGCTGTCTGTCTGGACTGGTATATCATTTGTAACTGTGCATTGTCTTCTTTAAGAATTACATACAGACAAATGATGGGAAGGGAATAACGCAACTTTTCCTTTCATTAATTTCAGTGTTGCATTTACTTGCGTGGGGCTTTTCAAACTGCTAGTATCACTTGATAATGTCACCATAAACCCGTGGCAATTTATAAGGCTATAAGAACATATCTTTGCATTCTCGGCCACACTGGAATAAAATAACATTTTGATAAATTTGTCTTTTTAATACTAATATGCGTCACACTTCTAAGAGGGAGATTGTTTAATAATTCATTAAATTGGTCTAAAAACCTGAAGGCATTATGTTTTTTAGTGGCAACTTTACACTCATAATTTAATTACATAAGATAAAAAAAACACGTAACTCTTGGGAGCTGTATCATGACTTTTGCTGAGAGCAGTCTGTATCCACAAAGTTGGTTTACCACAAATGGAAGCAGCTGATGGTCATAGGTCATATGATACGCAGAAATACTCAGGCAACTTGAAAACAGTTTGTACTCATCTTCCATAAATAATGTGTCCCCAAGCACAAAAAATGCTACTTTTTCACATGGTGGAATCCCTGCAATAACTCCCGTTGTGTGGCGAGGACTGAGACTTGCCTGTTTGCGTTGGGAATCTCCCCCCAGTTTGCTGTGTTGTGTTGTGATGTATTGCCCATCTGGGGGTCTGCAGAGCAGATCAGTGGTCCAGTTACTTGGCCAGGCCCATGGCTGCAGCGTTAGGGCTTACTGTTCCTCAGATGAGAACGTGCTTCTGTTTGAAGCGGCACTTTAAAGCGTTTCCTCCCTCTCTCAGTCTTTCTTCCTGCTTTTAATGATCTCCCTCTAAGCCTCTGTTTCTGACTTTTTTTTCTTTCTTTCTTTCTAAGCTTTTATAGTGGGCTCTCTCTGGCCTTACTTTATAGTAGTCTAGTAGTGAAACATGAGCACAGGGTTGCTGACCTGGCCTGGCTGTGACTGAGTCAGAACTTTAAAAGCTCTACAGGTGCCACACACACACACACACACACACACACACACACACACACACACACACACACACACACACACACACACACACACACACACACACACACACACACACACACACACACACACACACACACACACACAAGCACTTACTACTCGGGCTCTGAGACAAGGTCAAGGGCTTTCATCACGTCCTCCAGCAGAGACTCTGGGATGAAGCCATTATCTGCAGAGAGAGAGAGAACAAGAGACTTATAGAGAGACTGATGCACTGGCTGACCTACACACCTACACACATATGGCACAGGCACTATTTACATCACGGGCCCTGGGGAATTAACTCATCTGAGACAACTTAAAAAAAAAAACAAACAAACAAAAAAAAACCTACACACACACCTTGTCCTTTCTCTCTGACCTACATTCCATGGCTGTGATGACTGCTTTACCTGAGAGGAGAAGCTTTAAACACTAACACGTGTTTTCCCCCGAAACGGTATTTGAGTGTGTCCGGGCACTTACAATTTTTGTCTCATTTAAACATTGCCATGTGAGCCTGTGTGGCCTGAGATACATGCGTATACCCCTAGTGTGCTGTGAAGATGATTAACTGACAAGCGCTCGGCTTGTCCGCTCTCAAGCAACTCAATCTCGGCTTTTCAATGCCAAATGTTATTCTCTTAGAATGACAATTGACAGTTTGACAGAGAGCAGAGAGGGTGCACACACACACAGACTCTACATTGGGCCAGTGACAAATACCAACCATTAAAAAAAATATATATTCTGAGACAGTGGGTTGCTGAGTGCGTTTGAATACATCTGGCGCCCCTTTTCCACAACACAGGGAGCTGTGCTGACTCTACATGTGACACAGACAGATTTATGACCCCTTTACACAGCACTCAACTGTGCGGCATGTGCGTATACTCTGCGGTGTTTGAATATATGTGTGTGTAATGTAGAGTACATCCTTCTTGCATGTGTCTGTGGACACACCTACTGTAGCCCATGCATGTGTTTGTGTGTCTTTGCGAGAAAAGAGACCATATGGCTTGCAGAATATCCTGGCAGATGATGGCAGAATGGATTTGAGAATGTGCAAAGTGGTAGTTTGTGCAACAGCAAAAGACAGATGAGGAACAAAAAACAAACAAAAAAACAAGACAGACAGACAGTTAAGTTAACATATTTGTTGTCGAAGTTGCCGGAGCTGGCAAGACTGCTTTCAGATGGCAAGATTTATCTCACATCATCATTAACATCCCGCACTATAATCTTGAGGCTACACGAATGAGCTCTGTAGACTTCAGACTTTCAGTTAATCTGATATTACTGTCTGCCTTCTCTTTAACTTCCTATTGTCACCGTGTCACTCTGTGTCCTTCCCCTCGCCTTTTACCCCAGTCATCTGGAAGTGACAGGAGAGGAGTTTTGGGAAAGCGAGGATGACGGGGAAGGAGGTGGACAGTTGACTCAGCTGTAAGAGGAGCTGATCTCACCAACCTAAACAACAACAGTGGAGATGAGAGGAGAGAAACAGACCCTCGCTCTGCCTGCAGAATAAAGTAATGGAGACATGAAACAAGAAAAAAAAAAAGGCGAGGAGGGCAGTGGAGGTTATAAATGCATCTGCTCAACCAGGAAGAAGGGAAGGGAAGGGGAAGACAACAGGGCCAGGGTATTGTTTGCTTAGTGTGTGTAGAGATGTACATCTGTGTGCCAGGACTTTCGTATAGTTGGTGTACTAATGAGCAAATAAAGTACAATGGTCTATAAAAACAAATGTGCAGGGGGTGAAGCGCTGGAAACGTGAATCATTAGCATTGTAATAATAATACTAATGTGTACACTACATAGGATACAAACACTTTTTGTTCATTACCTTCAGGATCAAATGACTGGAAGACCCTCCTTGCCTGTTCTGATGGAGACTCTGGACCTACCAGGGACATCTCCTGCAAGGAATAGAAAGAGAAAGATAGGAAGAAATAAATGAGAGAAATAAGGTGGAGGAAGAGAAGAGAATAAGGTGAAAGATTGCGCATGACAGTATGACCTAAAAGTGGCTGCATAGATAGATTGTTGCAAAGATGGTGAACGGAGAGATAGAGCTGGGACGAGAGGAAGAATTATCACATTATGGGAAAATGTGGCTTCATTAGTGCTGAAACATTAGAACAGTGCAGTGTGAAGTACCGCCCATCTACATCTACTCACAACTAACAGGCTTTGATTGTTCTTGACAAGGTTTAGCAGCACTAATGTACAACACATTACAGTGAAAAAATGCCGTCAACACACAGTACCGCCCAATGCCGCAGCGTGTGATGCACTGCTAATGTACGTTGTACATGGATGTGTGAGTGACTATGTGTAATCTAAGGGGTCAGCGCAATCACCGGAATCCATTGGGTTATTAACTGATCTGCTGATAAAGTTAGATGGCTTGTTTTCACTCCAAACACACAATCAGGAAATCGAGTCTTACATGTACAGCCTGTGATTTATGACAAGCTCTACAGTGTTTGTTTGTTGGCGAAGTTAAGAAAGAGCAGTGTTGGCAGGGAGATCACAAATGAGGGGGTGTGTATATGTACAAGAAGGTGTATCTCCTTTCGACTGGCCTACAATGTACATGCTAATTAAATGAACACTTCTCTCTACTCTAAGGCCCTCAGCATGCTTCAAACAAAGTCCTTGTTGTATCGTCAACAGCAAATAAAACCCCTTGCCTCACATTTATACAATTTGGGAACTGGAGGGAGTCTGCATTTTAAATTTTTTGTAAATGATTAGAACTTAGAATCTGATAAGCAAAAGTAGCTCAAGGTTTGAACTTCTCTCACGCTCTCCTTTGTCACACAACTACTTCCATCAATTTTCGCAACAAACGCCATCTAGAAGAAACTGCCAGAAAAGTGTAAACTGTCATCACCATTTGAAAGATTCATTGCATTGCAGCCTTTTGCCCTGTCTTTGAATGAGGCCATTTGGAACAGGTATAAACATTTTGCCTTCAGATGTGGTTGGATGACATGTTGAACTACTGAATCCATAATACTGTAAACCAGGAGACCTGCGACAGAAGACATGGCATAGGAAAGTCACCTCACCTCAGCTCCTCTCTTTTCTTTTGGTTTAATGTATTATCTGATATTTTTAAACTTACAGTCAGATCTTATCCAGAGCTTACAGCAAGTTTATACAGCTACATAAGTACCAGAATCTGATAAGGAACACATTGCAAGCAAACAATTTTAACGCTATCACACTACCTTGCACATATCTTGCATGCAAAACAATTTAGAGAAGTTTAAGAAGGACAAAATTAGATACTTCTCAAAAAGACAGCTTTTCAGCCTTAGATGTCAGACACGCTTATGCAAAGTGGGTAGGCGAGAGTCAGAGTGTTCTCACTGTTCCTCCATGTGAGGGAGGGAGGGAAGGAGGGAGTGTATTTTAGACAACGAGGCGCTGGACAAACACACAATGTTTTTGGAGAGCAAATGAACCCTGCTCATCTCCTTTAGCTGGCCTTTATTAAAGCTTGAGCCTCAGATCCATGCAGGCTGCTAGGGTTTCACGGTCCACTTATTACTGTATTCATGGTTTATCGGGGTTGGGAGGGAGCGACATTGAGAAGAGATGACTCCCAGCTGCCTGCAAAGAAAAACAGGCACAGACTGAACACACACTCACACACTTCTGTCACACAGAGTATAGCTGGGTCCTGATGTGTTAACATTACAGGCTCCATAAACCTGAAGGGAGATTTGTCATTCGCTACATATGTCTGTGTTTCACTTACAGGGGTGGACATGGGTCATTTTGCTGTCCCAATGAGGAATAAAGTTCTTAAAAAGTTCCTGTCAACTGCATTCTGAAGATGAACTCACTTAATGTAGGATTAACAGCGATGTGTCTTGAAACATGGACCGTTTTGATAAACTTGAACTAAACTTATCCAGTATATCAAACAGTATACCTATACTAGATAAACATGTATCTCTTCCCAAAGTAATAAGAAGCTTAATCGATCTTAGGCTGCCATAAACAATCCTGCTGCTGTAAGTCCAGTGTGATGGACACAGTCTGTGTAAATCGCCTGGTAATACCACAGTTACAGGATGTCAAAACTTTACCAGATGACAAACACTCTTAAGTGGTCAACAACTGACAAAAACAAAACAAAACATACTATTACTGAGAACCTGTGTACGCTAATGTAAGGCTAATGAATGCACTGAAACGACAAAGACTCACGTGCATTAGATTATGTATCCACATACACAAAGACACACATAATGGCAGCAGAAATTACGTCATAGTGTGTGTGCGTGTGATGACAGGTCTGCCTGGCTGTCTTTGATCTGTGTTTTATTAGAGGCCTGAGGAAGATGCTGCTGAGTTGGAAAACATGTCATGGAGCTAACATACTCCACAGGGAAGGTGTGTTTGAGTGTGTGTTTTTGTGCCTCAGTGTTTCTTTCCTCTCAATCCCACTGTATGTGTGTGTTTAAGAGGGAAAATCTGTGCAATAAGTAGGCCTGTCCCCTGCCAAAATGTGTTTGCTTATCCTAGAAAACAAGCTGGTATTCTCTCAACGTGCGCAAATTTTCATACTCATGCAGGGATACAGTACAGTGACACACACTCACACTTTTGCGCTGGTGCCAGTTCCTCTGTGTGTGTGTGCGCCTTATGACATCGAAGAGCACATTCCAAGTCCCACAGTATGACCTTAACAGAGCAAGAACAAGCTACCCTACATAGGAACTAGCCAAGAACAACAACACACGCACCACCCCAAAGACTTAAATACACAAAATAATGCTGAACATTTGCTCTGAGCAAAAACAGAATGTTTATCGAGATCCAACATGTCTTGTTAAAGAGCCAGCAATTTCAAATGACCAAAAAGACTTAGGTGTAAGCAGTGCTTTTGTTTGTATATTTTTAGATAAGTCAGGACTATTGACATTTCCAGACCTGTCCCATAGCATATGATCAAATCTGACTGTGCTGCATGCACTCTACCGTATATCTGTGATCTTCTTTTTCTTATTCTCAGACCAGAATTTCTGCATCATACCTTCAAAGCACCAAGCTCAGCTGATATCCATGCAACGTTTTTACCATTTGTGCCATTTTGGCGTCAACTTACCACAGCCCAAACCTTCACCTCTAGCCATATGCACACCTTTTTTGCTCTCTCTTCACTAGACTTAGTGGCTCCTGGGTTGACAAAGCATCTCCTGTAGGCCTTTTTCCTCTGTCGCTCTTTTTCCCCAGTTTTCCCCTTTTTTACCTGCCCTTTCCTGTGTTAAGTAGGTACTTCAGTTTTGCAGTATTTCCTCCCCTCCCACCCTTGGCTTTTTCTTCCATTCTTCCTTTCCCCTTTCATCCTTTATCTCCTCATGCAGGTAGGTAATTCAGGAAAGACAGGTAGGCCATAGTACTTTACTAGAGTTACTCTTTCTTTCCCTCCGGTCCACCCAAAGAGCTATTGTGTGTGCTGAGAGGCTCTGAGTGGCCATAGAGTGCGTCTGAAGGGATCAGGTTTGAGACAACAAAGCAGAGGTCTCGGACAGCGTCTCCTGCCTTGTTCCTAGCAGGCAGCAACAGCCTCACTACATGACAGGCTTATCAGGAAACAAGAGGAGAAAGTCTGTGTGTGAGGACTTGTTATGTACTGTGTATGTTTGCTTGTATGCGTGTTTGTTTTGTTCACCGTAACTAGCCAAAGTCCCATGTGATTATGAGCTCAGACAACAATAGAAAACGTATCTCTTTTGCAATATAAGGAGGAGTGCGTGCAGTATCTACTGTATGTTTGTGTGTGTGTGTGGGTGTGTGACAGGACAAAGTAGTGATTTATGGAGCTGTCTTAGAAGAGAAAGACTGTGCCTCACCAGAAAAGAGAGGAGACGCCAGAGGATAGTTACATAGCGTAATGATGGGCCCGATAACAAAGAACAACACACAGGGGAAAAGGAAGAATAATGCAGCACACACACTGACACAGACAGCTTTTCATCCTTTTACAATGTCCCATGGTCTGACCTGACACAGATAATTAATGACTGTTAATGTATACTGCTTTGTTAATTTGTGGCCGGATCCCTCTGATCATATGAACGGAACAGAAAATAATCCTCTTCAACAGAAAACACAAAAGTCTACAAAATAAAAAAAATAAAAAAAAGTGGTTATGGAATATTTGGTTGTTTTATAAAAATGAAAAGTTGGTCTCATATAATGCATAACAGTGAAAATTGGTTAAAAATCAGTGTGATTATTTTCTGTGATTTTGTACATTTGCCTATATCATTATATATAATTATTGCATTATAAGGTGCTCATTTTTGTACTTAAGAAGACATACAGTTTATGTGATATAATATCCTAAACTCACAGTTCTCTTACTGGCTTTGGTAGCTGATTGAAGAAGGCTGTAGGATGCAGTCTAAAGCTGTGGGAAAATTTTGCTAATTAACCTTGAGTTTGGAATATTTTATTACACAAATATTTCTTATTCTATGTTAATCAATATATAGCCCAGCCCTGCTGGCAAAACTGTAAATTTACTGTGGCTATGCAAGTAAAGGCTCACTGAAGGAAACTGACCAATGTTAACAGTGCCTGCACACTCTAAGTTCCTGCTCCTTACCAGTCCTTGAAGGACATTCTGCATGTGTGCAGACAGAAGCTAGAGTCTTAAGGGACACAGAGCGCCACAGTGGCTGCTCTCTCTTCTAGTAAATCACTGACCCAGGACATGACTACTGTACACATACACACACAAAAACACACATGTAACTCCCTCGAGAAGCAGAGATACAGCCTGTGATCCTCATCACTCAGTGAGAGGAGAATAAAGAGCGATGAGAAATGTCACAGGAGAATCACCCCCCCCCTCTCTTTCCTGAGTGACCACAGCACCACTTTTTAAAGTACATCCTTCCTTTTTACTTCCTTTCTTCCTCTCTCCTTCCCATAAGGGACCACTAATCTGAAGAGGTTGACTGAGGTGCACTGGGGAATCTTTTTCTTGGGCAACCAACCTACTGTACCACTGGAGCAGATAGTTACTTCAAAGACAAGAGAAGGGGGGAAAAGGAAGGAAGAAAGAATCCTTTAAAAAAAAACAACATATTGGATGATATGTCTCATCCATCACCCATCCCTCTTTTCCTTCACTCTCTTGTCTGTCTTTCTTCCTTCCTTTCTCTGGCGTCTCAGAAACTCTTGTCCAAAAACAGATCCCATTACATGCCATTATACACACACAGCTTCTTTCTAACATGCACACACACATTAATACAACAGAGGACAGAGAGCGTAAGGGGTGTTGTGGGTAGGGATCAGAGATGGTGGAATGGTCTTTGTATAGGTAGATTAGATAAAAACACTAATGCTATTAAGCTGATGGTTTGAAAGCCCCAGTCACACACTGACAGCGACTCTGGGGAAAACACACCCGTCCCCAATGGCGGACAGAAGGAGCCGCTGACACATCAGAAGCAGGGATCAGGTTGTCTGCTTTTGTGGGGATGGCTCTTTATCGGAGCTAAAAGCTACATAACCAGGTAGCGTGTATTTTTGTATCACGAAGCCTGGGAAATCTCAGGGTGTTTTAAAATTAGCTCTAAACATAGATTCCCTTTCAAACAGGACAGGGTCACACTTACAGTAAAGTCTACCAGCAGAGCGCCCTTGGCCCCTTCAACTTGAGCTCAGAGTTGTAGAACCGACAGAGTGTAGCGTCAGCCATGTACGTCAGTACATGTGCACGCATGTGTGTGTTCAAGTGGGTTCCAAGTCTCCAGCAGTACAAACGAATCCAGATGGGAACTCTGGAATCACATTCCCTACAGGAAGCCATCCACCTGAAGCCTCCCCCCCCCCACACACACACTAATCAGGATTAGGTTCCCTGTGCCCTGGAATGTGTGTGCAAGAGTCAGACTGTGTGTCTGTGTATATGTGAACATGTCACTAGCGCCGGGGGAGTTGTAGCAATTGGTAAGTCATCAGTGAATGCATGACGACTTTGGGTCATCACTGAGCCAACATATGATCCACTCGCCTAGCAGACTGGAGCTTAATGCATGTAACTGAGCTTTTAATCAATGGTATATTAAGGGTGTGGCTTGATGATGATGATGATGATTGCCTGGGATTTTTCTGCCTCTCAGGTGGCATTTTTTTTTACAACAGCAAGGAGAATCGATTTGCTAACCCTAACCATACCTACCAGCTTTAGTACACAGGCTCAGATATGTATTACGTTACCTGTTCACTGATAGAGATGATAAACATGATTTTTGAGTGCAGACTGGGTGAGTGTGTACCCACGCATATGCACACATCGACACTAGCACAGTGATCTGATGATTCATGCTTCTACCCAAGAGCCTAAAACAACAGGGTTGACCAGGGGTGTGACAATAAATCGATACAGCAATATATCGTTGTACATTTTTCCATGATACTGTATCGATATTCCAGCCTGATACGTATAAAAAAAAAAAAAAAAAAGACTGCTTTGACGGTTAGCTCAACGCTAACATATAATGGGAATCTCCATCAGAGTACCCACAGGATTCTCAAAGTTAAATTTAAGACTTTTTAAGACTTTTTTAATACCACCTAGGATGAAATTTAATACCAACTTCACTGCCGTATAGTGATAAATCTGTATGAATTTTAAGCCTGAGAAAATTATTTACAAAGTTATATGAATTTAATAGAACATTTTATTATAATAATATAATAAAAATATAATAATTTATATTTAACACACTGCAGCTTTTTGGGGTGTGTTTGTACTTTGATATGTATCAAGGACGTCACTTTGTGTTGAAATGTGGTGGGGACATAGGGGTTCAAATTAGGGGTGTGACGATACACTTGGCTCACATGCACGATTTACAATATTGGGTTCACGAGAACAAGACAAGAAGATATTTTAACACTATTTTGATGAAATATCCAATGCTGAAATATATAAATGGGGGTCTGGTGGTCGCCTAGAAATTTTTGAGCACTAAACACTTAATTCCCTGCATTCTGGAGACATTTTATGCGCCAATTTAGGGTAGAATTGTCTTTATTTATATAAAGTGATTCAGATGACAATTCAAACAGAATATAATACATGTCCCCAGTACCCCCCCCATGAAATGAATCCAATATTACTATTACTTGCACTAAGAACTTTTAAGGGGTGAAATCAAAACTACTAACAAATCGTGCAGTATGAGTTGTTAAAATTAGTTACACCTTAGCCAGATAATATAATATAATATGCCAATAGCTTCAGTGATTATTCATCCTGTTCGGTTTTTGCATCTTAAGGCTGTTTGAAATATAGTGTTATATAGTATTGCCTTGAAAGCAACAGGGATAAGGAGTTGGGCTCCAGTTTGTTTTTCCCTTGTCCCTGTGATCAGCGCATCTGGGTGATGTAATTTTAATGTGCGTTAGCATGTCGGATGTTTCCATTCACATAACGTTACCCTACAACAGCGGAGCAACACCGACACACAGACACGCTCCTCATCTCATACACAACTGTCTCTTCGTTGTTGTTGTAACGTTCACTGTCCAGGAACCTGCAGGCGAGTCTTCCAGCTCCGCGGTTTCATTAGTGCTCGCCAAAGTGTGAGCAGCACTGTCCGCAGCCTCATCCGCCACTTGACCTTATCTCTGTCTTTCTGAATTTCAGAAAAGTGTTTATTTATGACGTTACGTCATTTATTTAATCAAGAACAAATTTAAGACCTTGGTAAACGAAATTTAATACTTTTAAGGCCTTATTTTTGGAATATGAAATTTAAGACTTTTAAAAATACTTTAAGACCCTGCAGACACCCTGCTCCATTAACGTGCTAATGGACATTAGCATCGCGATCGCGAAAATACTATACACATTTTGCTTCACATGCTGAACATCCTGACATACTGTGCAAATACTTAAAGTACATTTTTCCTGAGCTCTGTGTGACATAAAAATACAGAAATCTACAGCAATCTACAAAAATACAGCTATCAGTAGGAAGAGAAAGGGCTGCATGATGCTCTATCACTGAACAGTTATTAATATAATGTGAACAGATTAGACTTAGGTGGAACACAGCGATTTCTATTTGCAGTAAAAATTCAGTGAATTTGCATTTTATGTGCCTTTTATGAACAAATGTTTTGATAACTCTTAACAGTTGCTCTGTAGTTTTACTTACAGACCGAGCAGAATTGTGCGGTTTTCTAACAGTTTGGATTTGCAGCAAACAAATAGTCAATTTTTTCATGGGCATTAGTTAGACATCGTGATGTATCACTTTAGGACTGCAATATATCAATTATTACAGAATTGCTGTATCGTGATATTATTGTTATCGTGAGCCATGTATCATATTGTGAGGTACCCTGCGATTCCCACCCCTAGGGTTGACCTCAATTAGGGTGTGCATTCTATACCTTATGGCTTAGCCTTGCGTATATCACTGTATATCTGAGTTGCAGCTGTAGGAGCAAGGTATCTTGGACCTTTCTCACGAACATGGGAACCCTTTTAGGAAGTAGAGGAATTTTGTCTACACTTTGACCACATGAACCTGGTTCCAGATTTGTTTCCTGGACCATAATTCCTTTTACCTAAAAGCTACTTCAAGGGCGGATTCTGCTGCAGAGAATGGCACAAGCGAACACAAGCCTCCACTCATTCAGACACTGCACTCAAGCCCTGGTTATTTCTATAATATAAGTGGGGATGGGCGTTTTTGTTTAGTGTTATGTAAACAGCCAAATTCCCAACTACTAACAAACCAGACAATGGGTGAGTGAGCGAACCCTATGTATGTTAATTGTTGTCAGTGTGGTTAGGTATAAAGCAGAGAAATGACCCAGAAAAATATTAAGGAGACCAGATCCTCACTCCTTTCTTTGTTTTAGGTGTTTTGCCCTTTTGACATTTTCAATCTTTCCTTTTATCTCTTAACGTCTCCTTTCTTACATTTATCTAAATTTCAGTCAATCGACAGAGTGTGTTATTTCTCAAACCAAGCTGTTGCTCTACTTCTCCTACTTTTAACATTTCTTGAGATGCAATGTAAACTCATACATGAATACTCTGAAGGAAAAAAACACATTCTTATGAACTTGTGCCAGAACAGAAAAATGTGTGATCCATATTGTTGGAATTAACCTGACAGTGAAGGTAGACAGAAGTATACTGTAAATGGAGGCTCTCATTAGAGTCCAAATTCCACAGTTTACATCATGGTCATATACTGTATTATGCACTACACACTGTTTAGTTGATCACAGATGGTTGAGAAACTAGAATTGAGTGTTTTTGTGTGCGTGAGACTGAAAAAGCATGGGCATGAAGATGACTATGTGTGTGTGTATGCCTGCACTTGTTAAGTTCTTTTTTGGACCCCCCCCCCCCCCCCCCCCTTTATGCTGGACAGGTTTAGAGCCAAGAAACAGCACTGGCCATATATGACTATCTCCTGCGCTCATTTTTCCTTCCCTCCTTTTCTGCCCCCCCCCAAACACTGATATCTATCCTGCACTGTATTAAATCTGTTAAGCACGTTCCATATTTTGTTTTTTCTAACCTGCTGATCAAACTGGCTTATGTTACACACTGTGCGTCTGTGTGAGTGAAATATGTGTTTGGTCGTATGGATGAGTGATTTGAACTTGCCTTGGTGAAAAACACAGAGAGGTGAGTTTCACTGCCAAGGATCCAAATAGGGAACTTTGGAGACTTGAGGAATGCCCCGACCTGAAAAACACACACACACACACACACACACACACAGTGTAACAGTCATTTTCATCATGAGTCAGTAACTGTTCAAATATAATGTACTTTATGAAAAAGAGATTAAATGTCACAGTATATGAACAGCACTTCACTTCTCTAGATCCTCAACAAATAGTACTACGTAATGAAATGTATCTTATCAATGTTAATATTGAACACATTTTCACTAGGATCTTCTCTTATTAGTTGCCTGCTCTTGTAAAGTGCGGCATCATATCCAGCTTGAACTTGATTTTCATTCAACAAAACCAAATATATGAACAGTGTACATATGAGCAGACCTCACCTTATTCGATAGGAGTTGGTCTCTTAAATCACTCTTAATAGCACTCTAGTTACTTTGGCAACAATCTACTTGTTATTAACTTATTATAGCAGTTTCTTTGCCTATTTGCAGAGTTCATGTCTCCACTCCAGCTTTTTTGGGCTTGCTTATGTTGGCAATGATAAATAAATAGCCAAGATTCCTTTTTTTCCGAGATGGCTGAAATGTGTCACGTCACATGTATTTATAAATCTCTTTTGTGACCTCTTTTCGGTAAGTGTGTTTCAGTACAGCATAAGCATAGTGGGAGCGAGAGTTTACAGGTAGCCTGTTGGGACTGTTCCTTCCAAACATATGTTTTCACACGGGAGCGCTCACTGTGGTTTGTGTTCACATACTGGATACGTCCCACATCTCAGAGTCACAATTAATAGCAAGTGAGCATTTGAGTGTTTATCTGTATTTCTTGGCCTCTCTGTATACAGTGGGTTTCATCTCAATTCACAGTGAGTCTTTAAAATTAAAATACACAAATCATCTGCATATATGCCATGAACGACTATTGAAAAATGTGCTTGCTGTGGGAACTTGTATTATCTGTACCTTGCAGTAGCGTAGTGATTCCATAAGCGTGAGGAAGCCAACTGATGCCTGTTTATGAATACCATGCAATTCTACAAGAGAGAGAGAAAAAAAGAGTGACAAAATGAGAATTTGATAAATGTGCATTAATTTGTACCAGAGATGTGTGCGTTGCTGTGGGATGTAAGAATTATTGCCTCTGGTGGAAATGGTTTAAATCTGGGGCCACAAAACTGAGTTCTGTGAGTGTGTTATACGTACATGTGTCTGTTGTGTGAATATGGTGTGTTGTGTGTGTATGCAGTAACTTCATGGAAGTCTTACTCATGCCAGAGCACTCCCTGTCTCCATCCCAGACATTAGAGACAGCGTGGCCAGTTACAAGGAGGTTCACCAGACTCTGACTGAAAAGATGGATAAGAAAGGAGAGACAGAGTTTCAGAGAAAACACAAGATATTCTGTACCCTTTAACACACAAACAAAGGAGTTTGCAACAATGTACAGTTCTGTGAAAAGGATTTAGGCAGATGTGGAAAAATGCTGTAAAGTAAGAATGCTTTCAAAAATAGACTAGTTAATAGACAAAATGCTCTGTGGGGACCATACCAACACCTCCTGGACTCCTTGTTCTTCTTTATGCTGAAGACAGTTCTTAATGACTTTCAGTGTATGTTTGGGGTTGTTGTCATGCTGCAAAATACATTTGGGGCCAATGCCTCCCTGATGGTATTGCATTATGAATAAGTATCTGCCTGTACTCAGCATTGAGAATTCATAAATTATTTCTACTAACTCAGTTTGCAGAAATGCAGCCCCAACTTGCAAGAAACCTCCACCATGCCTCACTCTTGTCTGCAGACACTATTTCTTGTACCACTCTCCAGTAGTTCGGTGAACAAACTGCCTTCTGCTGCAGCCATCAATCTATCTGCTATTCATTCAGCAATGTTTTGTGCCACTTTGAACTGATGACACTGCTGGACATCTTCTGATTGCGAAGGGAAGTAAGCTTTATAAGACCTTCATCTGCAGCAGTAAGTTTAAGTTGCTGCAGTTACAATTATATCTATGGTCCTCAATGTTGTTTGTTTCTTTGTGCTTCTTCAAAACAGTTTGGACAGCACATTTGGAAACCCCTGCATGCCTTGATATTTCTGCCCGAGAGACCTTGCTGATGCAGTATAACTACCTTGTGTCTTGTTGCTGTGCTCAGTCTTGCCATATTGTATGACTTTTGAAAGTAAGGGCCCTATCACACCTGAAAGTTTGCACGAAGGTCTAAAAGAAAGTTCACGTTTTTCATTCGGTCAGTGTTGGTTTGGTTTCACACTGCAATTATGCGAGTGCACTTAAGAACTTTACATGACAGACTTGCGTCATGTTGTCTGCGTCATTCTCTACAGTTGACCATGATTGGTTTGTAAATGGATGTGCGTCTGATGTTGTTGAAATGAACTTTATATTGATAAAACTACAACAACAAAAAAAAGTGTTGACAAGAATGAATGAATGAACAGATCCAGTTTACAGGGGAACCAACGAACTTCCTGTCAATAGCCTGAAAGTCCGAAGCATCCGAAAAATGCTTTCACACTAGAAACAAACCGGACCATAGTTCAGTTTGATCCGACTTTTTGTCTGACCAAATTTCGTCCGGGTTTCACACTTGTAATTTTAAATTAGAGGTTTCACACCTGTAATTTTGGTTCGGATCAAACTGAAAAGTCAGCAAGTCCAGACGAGTTAGGTGTGAAAGGCCTCCTCACCTTGTTAGCGGAGTTTGCCTGTTCCTCACCCAGTTGTATACCTCCTACACAGCTCTTTCTGTTTCAGTTAAAGATTGCGTTTAAATTTACATATTAGGGATGAGGATCGTAAATTTTTATTTATACCCTTATTGAGACTGCTTAATGATCCGTTTCTTTATCGATACTTTACTATTATTTGGTAAGACCATCCCCAACGGGCATGAGGTAGGCAATCCAAGATGGTGCTGAGTATAGCTGCCTCGGTGTTCGGAGGGCATTGTTTTGTTTTGTTTTTGTGTGTTAATTCAGTTTTCGGCTGTGATTCCCGGTGCTCTTTCACCAGGGAGGAACTCATGATCATCAGGGGAACAACTCCAGAGGATTTAATACCCACTTTTCTTGCTTCATCATTGGAATTATTGGACATTTTGGTGAAGGGCTCTCTCGCTGTCGTTCGCGCTGTGAAGCGCCGCAGGAGAGGGAAAAGAGCCGGGTCACTTGTGTGTCTTCGCCAGCGGGGACTCCGCACACCGCTACCGGCAATATTTCTCTCCAACGTACGTTCACTGTGCAACAAACTGGACGAACTTCAGCTTCTGGTGGGGAAAAACAGAGACTTTTATTCATCTTCTGTTCTGTGCTTCACGGAGACGTAGCTGTCTGAACTGATACCGGACTCCGCGCTGCAGCTGGCTGGCTTCCAACTGCACAGAGCGGACCGTGACACACAACTCTCCGGCAAAACAAAAGGTGGAGGTATCTGTTTCAACAATCAACAATGGCTGGTGTACCGACGTGACAGTGATTCAGCAGCACTGTTCTCCTGATCTGGAATTTCTTATCATTAACTATAAACCGTTTTACTCTCCCCGCGAGTTTGCTTCATTCACTCTAGTTGGTGTTTACATCTCGCCGCACGCCAACGTACACGACGCACAGTGCATGCTGGCCGACGGGATATTGTGTGTGGAGCAGACAAACCCGGACTCCCTTGTTATTGTTCTTGGTGACTTTAACGGGAAATCTCAGCCAAGAACTCCCCAAATACAGACAGTTTATAAAGTGTCCAACCAGAGAGGGGAACACTTTGGATCACTGCTACACCACAGTTAGCAGTGCCTATCACGGCGTCACACGCGCTCCACTGGGACACTCTGATCACGAGATGTTCCATCTGATCCCTGCTTACAGGCAAAAACTAAAGCTCTGTAAACCTGTAGTGAGGACATCAAAGAAGTGGACTAGTGAAGCCGTTGAGGACCTACAGGCATGTTTGGACTGTACTGACTGAGATGTTTTCAAGAAGGCTACCAACAATCTGGATGAGTTTACAGAGGCTTTCACGTCCTACATCAGCTTCTGTGAGGACAGCTGCATTCCAACACGGACCAGGGTGAGTTATAACAATGACAAACCCTGGTTCACAGCTAAACTCAGACAGCTAGGGTTGAAAAAGGAGGAGGCATTTAGGAGTGCTGACAGGGTGTTAAAGTACAGGTTTAGCAGGGAGGTGCGAGAAGCTAAACGACGTTCTTTAGTCTCTCTGCGACGAAATGTACGCAGAGAGACTAAAGAACCAGTTCTCTGCAAACAACGCCACTTCTGTCTGGAGAGGGTTCAGACAGATCACAAACTTTAAACCCAAAGTCCCCGACTCCATAAACGATTTTCGCCTGGCAAATGAGCTGAACCAGTTCTACTGCTGCTTTGAGAGTCAATCGGACTCCATCCCCCGTGACTCCTCCGCTCAGCTTCAGCCTCAGTACACCACATGTTCCCCTCCCTCCTCAGAGCTGGCCAGCTCCACCCCCTCCCCTCCTCTCTCCATCACAGAGAGGGAAGTCAACGGTCTTTTCAGGAGGCAGAAACCTCGCAAAGCAGCTGGGCCGGTCTCTGTCTCCCCATCCACCCTGAAGCACTGTGCTGATCAGCTGTCTCCGGTGTTCACAGACATTTTTAACACCTCACTGGAGACATGCCATGTGCCAGCCTGCTTTCAGAACCGGGTCTCGATCCTCATCCCTATTACATATTCAATTGGTGATCATTAGCACATGTTAAGTATAATTGTTTAATCGTGCACCTGACAATATGCCAACAAATCCCTGACTTTGAGCAGGTGTACCTAGAAGAATTGATGCTGTTTTGAAGGTAAAGGTGGGCACACCAAATATTGATTTGATTCAGATTTTTCTTCCATTCACTCACTTTGTATTTTGTTGACTGATAAATATAATCTATTAACATGACCATTTTTGAAAGCACTCTTACTTTACAGCATATTTTCCACACCAACTTTTGCACAGCATTGTATAACCGTGGACAATTGATACAGGGGGTTGAATTACCTGCCATGGCCATGGACGGGGTCTATGAGAGGCTCCATTGTGTCCTGAATCTCATTTCTTATATTTTCTATGCCCTGCACAGAGAAGACCAGAAGAGACAAATCTGCATTTGATTTTTGTGTATTTGGACATTGACACAATACACATAAAAATGATAAAACACAATTATAAAAGTGCATAAATAAGACAAAAACTCTTCTTTTGTGTCTCCCAGTTTAAAAGAAGTCTTATTTAACTATCACTTCATTCAAATGGCAGAGACAAACAGTATATTTCTCTCCATCTCTCTATCAAACTATTTCTTTTCTTTACCTTGGTGAGGATGACAGAGTACAGGAAAAGCAAGACTCCACAGCACCCCCTCCAGGTGTGGTAAAGAGACAGCACCTCCTCTCTGAGACCAGACACTGACATTACAGTCCGCTTACTACAGGAAGGGAACAAACACCAGGTGGATTTATGAAACCCTCAAATGACAGATTTGTTGGGTTTTAGGATCAATGAAACTGATGTATTAATTGTATTCATCATGCCAAATTGGTAAAGATAAGATAGGGCAGAAATCAATAAAGATGCATCAGAGGACAAAGAAAGATCAGATCTTGAATATATGGAGCCACTACCCTGTCTTGCTCCACCTTGGAAAGCTTGCTAGTGGAGTTGTTTGTCTTACTTAGCATGCACTTCTTCACTGTGAGTCAGCACTGCTTTTTGCTGACTGTGTGGTCTCAGCTGCCAGTATGCTGTGTGATGAGGGTTCAATATTCCTCTGGCAAACGCGACCATGCATTCATTTAGTTTGTGACAGACAATATGTGTGTAAGAACGGTAGTAAGAGTTTTTTTTTATTTTTTATTAGGCAATCAGTGAAAGTGCTGAGTCGGCAACTTGTGAGCAGAGTGAAATAGCTAATTCAATGGGAAAGCCAATTCTTGTAGACTAGATGAATGAAATACTACCCCTTTCCTTCACTCCCCTCCACTGATACCATCTTCACAGGAAAATGTAGTTCTCTGTCCCAGTAGTAGACATTAGCAATTGTAAAGCAAGGATGTTTGAGGTCTTAATCCCGCCAGAAACTCACAGTATTGTTTAATGTCAAGGTGATCTGCATTGAGAAAGAGACAGTCGGGACTATAAAGATGCAAGGTGTTAGCTGCGGTGAGAATATTAAGTGTCACTTACTGGAGAACACTGTGAAATCGCTCAAAGCCAAGGTCCTCAGCAGCCAAAGCAGCTAGGCACAATAAAACACACATACACTGTAGTATCAGAGCATGACACAGAAAAACTGCTCAATGTCAAATAGTTAGTCATTTTTGTGATTAATGGTGAGGAGGCTTGGGTGAATGAGTGAGCGTTCATACGTTTGTGCACCGTTATTCTGAATGTGCAGTGCAAATGTGACAGCGGTAGGACTCACTGGTTTGCTGTTCCTGTGGCGGCTGGCTGCTTTCTGGCTCTGGCATGTCCTGTGTTTGCGACTGTGACTGTGTCTGCGTGTGAGTATGTGTGCTAGTATGTGGGCTCTGTCCCTTGGCCCAGGTCACCAGGCAGAACCCTGTGGAGGGGCTGGAGCAGGCAGATTCCAGGATTTCACTCAGCGTGGAAGACAGTGCTGTTTTCTGGTCCTCCTCTAACAGACACAAACATACATGTGCATGATTAAACAAGCATGATACAATTATATAAGACAATACCAAAAACAATGGTTTGGATTTTTCTTTGTACAATCTACCGGACATCTGTCTCCAGTTGGAACTTTCTCTGTTGAAGAGAATGTTCTTTAAGAGGAAAGCCTGCAAAGAAACACAAACTCAGTCTTAAGATTTGCAAGAAAATATTGGTGCAATATGCTACGTATCGTCTGTCCTCACACACTTAGATTTATATATATATATTTTAAATAATATCAACTGTTTTTTTGTCAATTGAGCATTTCTAACAATGCATACACCTATTACAATCCAAGTCCGTCTGCCAGGTTTTAAAACTGGCTATCACTGTAAAATCTCCAACTTAACTTATGGATGGTGTACATTCTGAAAAAGAGTATTTTGCTGACTAAACGGTCTCATTCTTCACAATCCACTTTTAAGATCTTCCACCCACTGAGCATGTAAGATGTCTGTGAGGGATTTTGAACTAGACCATACCTGGACAGGTGCAATGACAGCACATGGCCCTCCTTCAAACTGCTCCAGTGCTGTGTGCTCATTCTCACTAAAAACAAATCCTGTGAAAAAGACAAAAACCTCTTGTCAACAGAGCAACCCTTTTGGTTGAAATTGTTCAGAGCAGTAACTAATAAGTTAAAGTTCAAAGTGTTTTAGACACTTTGACCCTGATAACAAAAACCACAACAATGCGCATAGTCATATCAAAGCCCATAGAGTGAATTAAGGCTAAACTCTAGAGCAAGATTGATTATGTGCAGTAGGGCATTTTCCTACTTATCTGACCCTCAGCTAGAGAGAAGCACATAACAATGTAAATTACCTTTTGTACTTTTGAAACAGAATTAAAACCTGAATACACTTGCACATCAACATCAGTGAAATAGGATGTTATTCCTGTTCTGCAAAAACACTTTCATTCAGATCGTTAGACTGAGACAAAGCATCATACCTTGGGTCCATCTACGGAAGATGGAGGCAGACACTCCTCCACTGGACGGTCTCCCCCAAACCAAATCCACCACCTCCTTATTTAATTCTGCCATGCCAACTTTAAATGCTGGTGAATCCAAAGGCACTCCGTCTTCAATCCGACAGCCACGAAGGGACAACAGGGGGCCAACTTGCTAGCTCTTTCCGAGGTTGATAGTCCACTTCTCTCGGCAGGTCGAGCCTGTGGCATTGGCCACAAGCTACCTGTGTGGCACGACACAGTCTGAATCTAGTGGCTGGCAGCAAACTGGACGGTAGGAATGACATCAACGTAGCCACAACGCCTGCAAGGTAATGGGACAGAAACAAACGCTTAAGTTACTGTCAATAAGGCCTTTAGCCTTTGTCTACTGTAAGCACAGATAACTTAATTACAGATCGAAGGGGACAATGGCGCGAAATAGTTAACGTGAGTTTATAACGTTACGTCGTGTAACGCTAACTCGCTCGTAGTATTGACAAGCTTGAAGGCTACGTTGCGTTAATGTCAAACAGTTGCAACGGATAGTAAAAGTACTGACAGCAGGATAACGTTAGCTATTTTGTTACCTTGTGGTCAAATAAATGTGTCAATGGTAACGTTAGGTTTAGGAGCTTAGTTGGCTTGGTGATGTCAGCAGTTAGCATTAGCATTACTACTAGCAGCTAATCTTTCATTGCTTTGTCATTCAGTTACTTCTCACAATACAGCGATGTCGATACTTGTATGAATTTAAATAGTTTGTCATTATTTAGATAACGTTAACGGTCAATTACCTTAATATACAGTCGAGTATAGGGATTCCGTATTAATTATATCTTTTGATATCAATTTCACTATCACCAGCGCCTCTGTCATTCGTTTATTTACAACAGAATTGCAAAAACTGTGCGTACATTTGACGTAACTACCCATTGGTTCAAATCCAAAAAGTTCCAGATGCGTCAAAGGGTTTAGCTTAAACGCGTTACCTAAATGGTCTACAGACTTGTCCATCATAGGAAGTACCCGCCTACAAATAAACCCATTTAATTCATTTTAAACCCTCATTTAACAATCAACGCAGAAAGAGCATTTAAAATACGGAAGTTTGAGTTACTGAAATTTAAAAGCATACTTTTAACACGCAATAAACAACAACGTCGGACCATATAAATGTTCCCTTTTCTATTTAAAATTGTAAAAAGGTTATTTCACAAACGTTAATATTATGTCCTGTACCTCTCTCCGTAGCAGCCACCCAGTCATTGCCTAGAGCATGCGCACTGTGTTCTTTTAGCTCTACTCGTTGTCCACGCGTGTGTGTGGAGTCACTTTGGGTGAAGTGTGCTTTAAAAACATAAATTGTGGATATAAGACGTATTTTTTGGCACCATGGGGGGACAGGCAAAGGGCAAAAAGAAAAACAAGGCGAAGAAGAAAGATAACCGCCCAAACAGGGGTAATTCTCCTCAGTTGTGCTTATTATTTACAGTATGTAACGTCAACCTCTCAGAAAGCAAAGTTAATCGTAATGAACCTACTATGCTTTGATTTCAACTCTTGACTTTACGAGACCAAATGAGACAAACCTAACGTTGACTCTCCACTTATCTAATCACAGAAGATGCAGGATTTGTTGGATTGTCACCTCAGGAAAGGATGAAAGTAAGAATGCATGAAAAAGCCAAGAAGAAGACAGCTGAGAAGTACTCCGTGCAACAGCTACTAGAAAAGGTAACGAGATATCCCCAACAAAGATATCGCCCAGATCTGCCATGCCTTCGAAATGTATTTTTAATCCTGATCATCTACTGCATGTTTGTTATCTCATGGGATCATGTGTTGTACAGACAGAGGAGTGCCTGGATAGTTTTGACTTTGAGATGGCTGCCCTTTTCTGTCAACGAGCCCTGGATGTGGACTCCAACAACCTGCAAGCTCTAGACATGCTTGGACACATCTGCACTGAACTAGGAGACACACAGAAAGCTAAGGGAATATCCTTTATGCAGGTTTCTTCTTTGTTTGCATGTCAGTTATTCTGTCATTTCATGGAAACTGTTATATTCACATGCTGTTTGAGTGCAGTGGTGGTTGTAGCCTCCTTGACCAATTCTCTCCAAGTTTTCCTTCGTGCAGTGGAGCTGAGCCCAGATGAAGGCCACAGTAAGTACATGTACCTGGGACAAATCCACTCAGGCCAGGAGGCTGTGGATTACTACACTAAAGGAATACAAGTCCTGCTGTCTGCATTGGACAAACAAGCACAGACCAAAGTGAGTGAACCCCGATAGACACTCACATTCCCTTTATGGTTTAATTAGTTATATTTACTCTATGGAAACTGGGAAGAAATGCTATTGCAACAAAGGCTTAATGCTAGTGTAATGTTATTTATCTTCACAAGATGGTGCTGTTGGATAAACTATGGAATGGCTGTCTGTCTGTTGCATACATGTCACCTTGTCATGACAGAGATCCAGAGAGTATTATAATTTCAACTGAACAACTCTAAAAGGATTACCACACCGTAGCGGAAATACTTGCTGCGCAGTTATTACAGTGTTATGTCTGCCTTATGAACACCCCTGTTGTTTTACAGTCACTCATGACTCATTTTATTTATTTTTGTTATTAATCACATAAATTATAGGTTATTTGAAAACAGCTTGTTACATTGAAGTGACCAGCTCTTAACAACCTGTATTAAATGCTGAGAATGTAAACCAGAAGTCCTGTGGTAATTCTCTGAGCTTCTTCTTTCAAAGATTAAAAAAAAAGAAGAGATTTTTAATTTGAAGCACCATCATGTTAGTCACATACAACATAATACATAATATGCTCTTTTAAAAATAGAAACCCTCAGGCCTCCCCTTCCGTCACTCCCTATGAGTGCTGTTTAAGTTTTGTAATCTGCACAAACTAACTCTAACTCTGCTGTCCCTTCCAAATACAAAAATGATGGCCATTGATTGAGTGAAAGTATTTCTTTGTTTTTCCAGAAAATCAATATGAGTTTATTTGCGTTAAGTATGCCATAGGACAGGAGCTGGGTAGTCTGTGGTGTTTTTGCGTTCAAACAAACGTTTTATATAACAAGGAAAGGGCAAGAGCTATTCTGTATAATTTAAATCTTCATAGGCCTTTTTAACAGCATTTGTAGTTTGTCATAGTAAGGCAAGGCAAGCCAAGTTTATTTGTATAGCACATTTCAACAACAAGGCAATTCAAAGTGCTTTACATTAAACATAAAAGTAACACAGGGAAATTGAAAAACAAACACATTAAAATATAATTTTGAAAAGGGTGAAATAGAAAATAAAAACAGGATTAAAAAAACCCGGTAAAACAGGACAGTAAAAGTTACAGTGTAGTGTACAATGAGGGTTAAAAGAGTTAAATAGAAAATAAAAGCAGGCTGAGGGGTTGAGCAAATAACTGAGTTACAATTATTATTTTTTCTTTGAAAAGACGATGAACAGTGAAGTATCTACTCTCTCTAGCTAGTCTGTACTCAGGTCCATAGCAATATTTGGGTCCACTGAGTTTGGTTATGTCTGAGGCTACGCGCTGCAAACCCAACTTATCAGCTGGAAACCCCAAAAACCCTTTGATCCAGTTATACTCTGGACCCACCTGCGCGTTTACAGGTGGGCAGAGGGTCCTGTAAATCACTCAGGCACGAGATTTAAGACCACTTCCTTCACTCTGTTCGATCTTACTCTCTTTATCTTTTCTCTCAATTACCTACTAATTTCTGACCGTGTAAATAGTGTTCACTGAAAATCGGAAAACATAGAAAAAGAAAACAGGACGTTACAGTGCAGTGAAAGTTACTAATCTATGGCTTTAAATTTGATTTAATTAAAGGCAATGGTAAAAAGAAAAGTCTTCAGTCTTAATTTTAAAGAACTGACAGTTTCAGCAGACCTGCTTGTAGTTTGTTCCAGATATACGGAGCATAATAACTGAAAACTGCTTCTCCTTGTTTAAGGAAAAGCACAGGTATTACAAATAACATTAACAATGGCCCTATACTATTCAAGTGTCCCAGTAAACGTTGGCAATAATAAGCTAGCATGCAAATATCAGGACCTTGAAACCAAAGCAGCTAAATGAAATTGAGTCATCATTAACTATTATTTGCCTCAGTGATTTTCCTACTGTGACATGTCAACATGTCCTCTAAAAAAATATTTTTTTTTCCTTTATTGCAAAACTTAATTGTTAATAAAAAAATCTGCACACCATGTTCACTATCTGTTGATTTAACAGATACAGAACAGAACATTTGACACATTTCTGCCCTCTGCTCTTTAAGCAGGCTCAGGCTGGAGCTGCTGCCGCAAGAGACGAGGACTCGGAGCTCCTCACAGCGAAGGATGTTTGTGTAGCCTATTGCTCCATTGCTGAGATTTACCTAGCAGACCTCTGGTACTGGTGCACACACTCTTGAAACGTATAACCTCATTTCATGTTACTGCTTTGGTAATGAGTTGAGATTTGTGGGTGTGTGTGTGTGTGTGGGTGTGCATGCATGTAGCATGACAGAGGGAGCTGCAGACAAGTGCAAAGAGTTCATTGAGAGAGCATTACAGTATCACCATGACAACCCTGAGGCTCTACAGCTCATGGCCAGTTACCTGTTCAGTACAGAGAGAAACCAGGTCAGTACACACACACACACACACACACACACACACACACACACACACACACACACACACACACACACACTCAGGATGAGTTATCACCACATTAAAGCGAGAATCTGCTGAGTTAATTATTCTGAGCAAATTGAATTGTATGCCATTAATCAGCAGATGGACACGTACATTAACACGCACACACACAGACAGGTCATGCCGATAGGAATGTTAATTACTGGGCAGATCACTGAGGTCATATAGTCATCTGATAAAGAGAGTGAGAGAGAGAGCAGCTTATTAGACTCATTTAGGAAAAGAAGCCACGAGAACTTTGCAGTGTGAAGCATCTGACAATGAATTAGAAAAAAAAAGATATTTTCTCAGTTTTTACAAATTTTTAAAAAATGTTGCATATTCAAGAAATATTCACATTATAAGAGATATTCTACATTTATACCCTCATTTACATAGGGAAAATTCACAGTGTAATGTCATGAGAAACCAGTGCATTGTTTATGGAAAGGCACAGTAATAATCATTGCTGGGAGCACCACAAATAAAAAAGAAATTCACCCCTTTTGTATTGGCAATGTGTCAGCTGGGGGTATCTCACAACCTGAGCACATAAATGCAAAACTTTCTTTCAAAAATTCTTCATGCTCTTACATCACCAAACTGAGGAAAAGCAAGAGATTCTGTAGAGCTAAAGTGGATGTGTAATAATAGCTATAGGCTGTAGGGGTCAGGCTGGCTCCAGTTACACTTCACAGCATCCCACATTCAGCAACAGCCTATTTTAAAATACTCTCTAAAATAAAACACAATTGACCTCAGATTAATCAAAAGGTTATTGATATCTATAGAGCATTCAGGATCCAGTCAGTAAAAACTCATGATTTGAACTCACCAAATTCCTTCCCTTTACTCTATCTGTGTGTATATTTGTGTGTTTTGTTGTACGATCATACATGTGAATTTACACACACGTGTGTTTTTCTGTCTTCAGGAAGGCAGAGAATACCTGTTGAAGAGTGTCGGATTGTGGCTACCTACCCAGAAACAGAGTGCTGCTTCTTTCAGCACAGAGGAAGACATGCAGGTGAGTTGGAGCTGTGCTTTGGTATTTCTCTGACAGCAACCAGCCCTCATAAGATCCCAGTTTATTTATAAAGCACTTTCAACTAACGAGATTGTCACAGTGTGCTTTGCAGTGAGCGCAAACATAAGGACACCAGTAGAGATAAAAAGTAAGAGATAATGAAATGGGGGATAATAAAAAATAAAAGATGGAACAAATACTTCACAAACCTGTGTGCTTTTGTGTGTGTGTGGGGGGGGGGGGTTGTGTGTGAAGAGAGAGCAGAAATTAAAGCACAAAGCAACACCAGGAAAGTGTATAAAGCATAAGTAAGCAAAATTACTTCAAGGAATGTGACAAAGAATGGCTATAATTTCAAAGTTAGGATTGCTGCTAAATGACCCACACAAATAGTTGTTGAGTTTACTACATTCAAATCCCGAGCAAATGTGATATAAGGGGTCGGGGTGACAATTTGAGAAAAAAACCCTAGCGCTGTTATGACTCTTATCTTCAGGAGCAGGTTGATCTGAACTCAGCCTGCCGAAACTTTCACTGTGATTAACAGCCACACAGCTGCAGAATGTTTTGTAGCTTGAAATTGGATCGTTGTTATTATCAGACAAAAGGAAGAACCATGTTTGTGGATGCTTGTGTAAACACTAACTGTAGAGGTGGTGGCCTTGTCCTTTTTCTCCAGAATGAGATTCCTCCGTACGAGTCTCGCATTACCACAGCCAAACTGCTCGTCGAGTCCGAGGAATACGAGGTAAAATGTTGTGTGTTGTACTCGTGCACTCCGCTGTTGTTGGTCTGTGTATGTCTCGTGGTGTGAGGGCGTCCAGGCATATTTGTGTGTGTGTGTGTGTGTGTGTGTTTGTGTGCTTTCCTTTCTAGTGAATGGCACTGAAGGTGGGAAGGCCATGCCGGGTCTTTATCCCCTCCAGAGTTCAGTGTCAATAATTGAAGAGTGGTATTTGCAGAGAGAGACAGGGGTAAAGGGGTGCACAGGAGAGGAGGGATGTGAAGAAGGGAAAAAAAAAAAAAAGAAGAAGGAAGCTGTAGTCTGATGAATTGTTGCCGTATCTGTGATACAGCGCACTTCAAAATCACTCATCAATTTCCAGTATTAATGGCCTTGATTTTAGTGGCTCACTGCCTTCAGTTCAGTGCTAAAACCTCTAGCAGTCATTAACACTCTTTCACATTTTCTGTGATTACTGCCACACAAACAGCATTTCAGCTATTTTCTGTTGTGATCCAGTGATTAATTTCTAGCCACTCTTGTTGAGTGGTTTATGGTTATTTATCACTGACAGGAAATGAGAACAGTGGCCCCCCTCCCGCACACACACACACACACGCACACACGCACACACACACACACACACACACACACACACACGACTCAGCTGCAGTTATATCTTTGTGTGTGTGTGTGGGTTGTGGGGTTGGTAGCTGTCAGGTGTATCAGTAAAATGACAACGTCTCGGTCCACTGTTTCTGACATGTCATTTGTCTTCATCCTCATGTTTGTGTCATCAAGCTCGAAACACTCAAACTGCAAACATTCGGAGTGCTTTATAAACGTGAATATATTGCTGTGTGTGCACGCATGCATATACACGCCCATGCAAAACATTTGGTCATATTCGTTTTTAGCCACCAGTCACGTGAAAGTCTCTGAGGGAAATTGAGCTTAAGGGTGGAAGCTGTTTTCTCTCTGTCTCTCCCAGACTGGGACTTAGCTATACTTGATAGGAACATCCTCTCTTCTCTTTCCTTCCACTACTCCTCTGTCACACACATGTGCGCACAATCACACACACACACACACACACACACACACACACACACACACACACACACACACACACACACACACACACACACACACACACACACACACACACATTTTTGTGCTCACTGTCTCTCCCTGTGGACTAAAATCTGTTCACTACTCTAAACTCTGTGTAAAGTTGTGTGCTTCCAGGTTTGATCCAAACTGCAGAAAGGCTTTGAATATGTTATTAATATATTTGCCAACAAAATTTGTTAAAGCAAATTTTTTTTTTGTAGCTGCAGAGAGTATATGGCTATTATGGTTACTATATGGCTAATAGTTAAAGCATTTGTCTGTCGCTGTTGGAGATTAAGCTCTTTGTCTTGTGAATGCAGTTTGGGGTTGTACATTCGATCCATTATGTGGTTTGAGTTTAAATTGGAGTAAATTGGAGAAATGGAGGAAAATAAAATTGTCATAGTGTGATTACTTTGAACAATTTATCTGGGTGTATGATATTATCTCGCTAGTCACTGGGGAACAAAATCACTTTAGTACACGATGTTGACAGATTTAAGCGCAACAAAATGGCAGTTTCCCCCGAAGGCTGTCAATGCATCTCGTTGTTTGTGATCACTTTATTAGGTGACAGTGTAAACATTAGCCTCACACATTCAACATATGACCTTTGCAATCTTAATTAGCACCTTCTGTTTCCTCTCTACTTATTTTTACGCTAAATTTGTCTGAGAAAGTTGCTATTTTGTGATACTTGAGTTACCAATAATAACAGTGTCAATATCTTAATAAGCCGTGACATCCACTGACGGTAAAAGCGTTGCATTATGAAATTGTCTCATGCTCTTGTGGCATTGAAATAACTGTGGGCTAATTCATTCTTGAAAACATCAGTTTCATGACTACTGCTCTTCCCCTCAGTTTTCTGTTTCAACAAGACGTGGAGTGGATCTGTGCCACTTCATTTGGAATGGGGGGGGGGCCTTGCTTTTCAAGCCCCCCCCCCCTCCCTCTTTTTGATTGTTTTTGAGTTGAAACACTTGAATCCATGCCAAATTTGTTTGTTATTTTCATAGCTGTAATGGACATTGAGTGGGTGGGGTGCTTGAAAGCAGCATAAGTGAGATGACAAGTGAGAGGTATCATTGTCTAGCAGCTTGATGTCTTGTATTTCTGAGCCAGTTTCTGCAGTGCTGAAACAACTAGATAACACAATTGTTAATGGATAGAAGATTAACAGTTTTCATATTTGATTAATTGTTTTATCACTCAAAAATGTCCTAGCCTCTTAAATGGGAAAATGTGCTGCTTTTCTTTGTTTTATCTCATGGTAAATATTTGGAAAAAAAATGAGCATTTTCATGGCATTGCTTTGGACATTTTTCACTTTCTTCTGATATTGTATAGACTAAACTAGTGCGGCGAAATGATTGGTTGATTACAAACAAGTTTTTGTCAAGGAAATACACCAACCATCCTCTGGGTTCATCTTCTCCAATGTGAGGATTGTCTGCTTTTCCCTGCGTTATAAAATTGTAAACACAATATCTTTGGGCTTTGGACTGTTGGTTGGATCAATCAGGAAGTTTTTCAGTATGTTAAGTGTGCTTTGTAGTAACAAGGCCCTCAGAGAACTCTGCTTACTCGCTGTCACACACAAACACACAGACACACACATTACCATCATCATCACCCATCACCACCAGTAATTCACTTGCCACATAGCAGATAGACAGAAAGACAGACGCCCTCTCCTGACAGCCGTTAAGGTGTCTGTTCGGCATAGTTGTCACAGCAGCTGATGGTTAGTTACTCTCTGTGTCGTTGTCACTTTTGTTTGCTTTCATGTTATTCATTGAGCATTTCTGTTCTTAAATTTAGCTCACGATGGAGCGCAGCTTGTACTTTGCAATGTTGCTTGCAAGTACAGTTAGCTCTGACATCCCCAGGATTTATTTACTTAAGTGTAGACGCTCCTGTTTGTGCGTGTATGCGTGCGTGTGTTAGTATGGGTTGTATGGGTTTCTGTGTGTTAGAGATACGGCTTGCCCTCGCTTGTAAAGTGATCTGTCTTTCTCCTGTCTCTGCTGTGCGCTCCGGTAAAATGATTCTGTTAAACAAAATTGCCTGAAGATTACACACACACACACACAAACTGCACACGCACACAATGGCCATTATAAATGAGTTCTCCCCAGAGTGCTACTTTTTTTTTCTTTAACAGGTCTTGAAATAAAGAGGACAGCATGTACGTTGAGTCTTTGGCGTGTGTGTTTGTCTTTGCAGTGCACCGTTGTTCATGGACCAGTTTTGCATTGTTTATTAAGAGACTTTTTTTGTACCCTTCCTTCACAGTTCAACCTCTCTTCCCCTTATCTTCACAGGAATATTAATCTTGTTGTTGTTTAGAGCGCGAAGTGGCTTAAGAATCTCTGAATCTTTAATCACTCGCCCCTGGGTTGACCAGTGTAGTTAGGAAGGAGTACAGTTGGAGATGATATAATGGTTCATTGCGCACTTATCCTGGCTCCGAGATATCTCTAGTTCTATTTTTGTTGCTCCAAAACTGCCTGTTCACAGTTGTTTAATACCCAGACAGATCTTTACTCCTGTCTCTTTTATCTTGTGCTTGGCTTGAATTAGTGTGTGTGTGTGTGTGTGTGTGTGTGTGTGTGTGTCACATCGGTGTGATACAATGAAAGTCAAGTAGATAATTCTGAGGCTGAGCATGAATCCATTCATCATCAGCTGGGATTAGGTGTTTTTGTTTGTGTATTTTAATCAGTCATTAATTAATTAAGGTCAATGAGTTTTTAGCTGATAATTGGTCTAGCAATCAATCAACTGACTCCCTGGCATGTACATCTGCACGCTCTTAATGGGATACTCTCAATTAACCTGACCCTCAGTCCACCCAGACAACTGACTTCTTTATCGCCACTGGAAGCTCATGGCTTAATGAAAAAACAACTCTAAAGAGTTCGGGGTTAAATTAGGAAGCTCCGCAGCTAATAAGACTGCCTTAACAAGAAACAAGTGCAGCTTGTTGTGCTCATTGTTGTGTGTAGCGCTGATGTAGTGTCTGACTGTGCAGTAGTGTGTGCGTCTGTGCACAGGTACGTGCGGGTCTTTTTATTCCTGCCCTTCACCATGGGTGATTGGCTAACAGTCGCCTCCAACCTGAAGTTGACAAAAATCAATAAAATCACCTGGGCCTCACACACACACACACACACACACACACACACACACACACACACACACACACACAGAGAAGCAGAGCAAAACAAACACACAGCCTACTTTAGTCAGGTCTGTTTTCTGTAATAGAAACTTCCCACAGAAACTGACCCAGGCAGCGATGCACTCTGGCAAAGGTCACCGAACATTAAACTTCTTTGAGACCTCCAACATTAAACTCCTTTACAACATCAAACCTGCTCTCCGGTGCGGTGGTCAAGCTTATATGTGGATTTTTCATCCTCTGGAGTGTTGCATGTACTAAGAATATATTGACTGTTAATGTCGGTAAATGGATTTGAAGGGCTATCGAACAAAGTGGCTAAAGTTACTATTGACTGTGTGATAAGCTCTGGTGAGTGTGTCCATCGACGGCCATGTTGCTTGTCTTGTTGGTATCGACGATGTTGTGTATGGCACGCTGGCCTTATAGACTCTTATCAGATCCTCTGATCATTCTGATTGATCGCTCTGCCTGGGAGATATACAACACTGTGTGCAACAACAACATATTTATCTGTGGACCGAAGCTGTATCAGAGAAGAGACTTTGAGTGTGTACTGATGATTAACTTAAAGTTATTTTCTGCTATGACTAATCTCTGATGATGTTTCTGTCTCTGTCTGTTTGTCTGTCTGTCTGTATTAGATGGCGGTAGATGTGTTGGAGGGGCTTCTGGAGGAGGATGATGAAGTTGTCCAGGTAAAGTGATAACCCAGTTGTTTTCAAAAATTAACAGCTGATAGCAACCACTACAACAGCTTCACCAGTTTGCCCTTACTAACAATGTAGTAGGGATGGTGTCCCTAGTTCTACAAGTTCAATGCGTTTTTAAGTAGCAAAAGATTATGTCCTCCCTTCACAGTTTCGTCCCCTGGCTACCTTTTTCAGACCCTCAGCAACTTTATTTCTGACTAGCGACGAATGCAGTGAGTTATTCCGACCATCAGGGGGAAAATGTGAAATATACAAAAATCTATTATATTGTAGGCTTTAGACTTTATTCCCCTGCATGCTGCTCATAGTAATCTCAGTCAGCGTCTCTTCTGGCAGATGCACAGCGTCTCTCCCTCTCCTCTTGCACTGCAGGCAGGAGTGAGAGTGAGTTACTATGGTTATGGGGACACTGTTTGTTGCTCTGAAACTCCGCAATAACACAGAATGAGAACAGGGTGGTAGACAACACAGGAGGAGAACAGGTGGGGTGGAAGATGAGCATCAGACTTTCTAATGTCCGCCATTGTTGGCAAGAGCAAAATAAAACAAAATATCCCACCCAACACGAAATAGACATAAACACGATGGTCACAAAGTTAGGCTGAATGCATGAAGTGAAACTAAAATGGCAGTTAATGGCAGTTAAGTGTGCCGACTAATTGACTCTGTGTTCTGGTGGATATGTGTACGTGTGTATTACTTGACAATGCACAGGATTAACTGATGTATTTTTATGTGTCCCCTTGCAGGCAGAATTATTATTAGTTTTATTCAGTAACTGCTGCTGGGTCAGACCAACTTGTAGGCAAACCTTTAATCACACCACTGGGAAGGGGAAAGCCTCAGCCTGAGCACTCAGTTGCTTCTGCTGAGCCACTGTATGTGTGTCACAAGGAAGGGTATACACACCCATACATTACTTGCTCACAACACTAGCGCACACACACACACACACACACACACACACACACACCCACACACACACACAGTATGACTTAAATGACTTGAAAACTTGAATGCTTATTAGGGAGTGGCATAAATTACAGCATTTTCTGTGCTTTAGTAGGAACTATGTGCTGCAAATCCCCACTGTCGGTGGCAGAGGAAGTGAAGGTGTGCCACAGAGTGTCAGACAGAAGTGCACAGCAGTATCTCGCTCGCGCTCTCTCTCTCTCTCCTCCACTCTCCCCCACACACCCCTCAGCTGACAGATTGAGAGCAGTCATCAGGGGGCTGAACTTCTAAACTCGCTCCAGAGACGCACAGCTGTGACACTTTTGATTTGAGTGGGCCTAAAGCAAATCACACATGCATACAGTCATCCCCAGTTGTAATGGTCAGAAAGTGTTTTGTCAGATCACATCGCAGTTAGGTTGCTAGAGTCATATTTGTGAAGTCAGAAGTGTATGACAGGCATATTCGACTACATTACACTCCCTCTCCTTCTCTCCTCCCCTCTCTCCCCCTCTTTGTCTTACTCTCTTTCTTGTTTCCTCTCTTAAGTGCAGTAGATAAGTTGTTAGCTCTCGCCTCTGTCTCCTTACTCTTACGTATCTCAAAGTTGGAACCTTACTTATAAAATGTTAAGTCTGCACAAACAACTGAGCTTGTTCCTTGCAAATCTTGTTTCAAAGGTATTCAGTTCATTCATGATGCTTTTGTTCTTCCTTCAGCAGCACCATATGGGAACTAAGATGTGCCTTCACTTTGAAATAACAATAGTCCCAGTGATTTGATTGACAGACGCAGCGTTTATTTTATTATGTGTGCTTCTGTCTGGGGTTGTGGAAGGCTAGAGAGGGATTTCTGAAGTTCTTAATTAGCTAACTTTCTCATGTTTTAATTTTGAGTGGAGATACACAAGCCATCTTTACCACATACACAAATATTGCGCAGTGGACCATCTGTAAAGAATGGTCTTGCCTTGTTCTAGCTGTTAAGGAGGCATGGTTTTCATTTGTGAAGAAGTAAAGATTTTTTTTCTAGGTTCTGCATTCACATAAAAATCTTTCAGTGATAACAAATGTCATACTGCTGGTTCTGCAGCATTACTACATCTATCCAGTGCTGCTGCTGTTCTGATAAGTTTGGCTGCAGGGGGTAGCCTCCCACTCAGCATGCTGAGCTGCAATTCTGAATTCAGTGTGGCATGCCTTGAAGTGTTTGTTAGCTAAATGGCTGATTTGGCAGAGGTGCGGGTCCCACTGCCTCTGCCCTCAATGAATAATGAATAAAGCTAATATTTGTATTTTGGTTCTTGAAGAACAGTGGGTGGTTGATCTGTGGCCTTAGATGAGAGGCGCACACACACCTCCAAGTTCACTGAGTTGAATATGATTGTGTTTGGAAGAGCAGGCATAGCACTGTGTATGTGATTATGTAGGAGAAAGAGAACAAGCTGATTTTGGTGTATCAGCATCCTAACTTACAGTTAAAAATATGCCTCCGCTGACTGTTGACTGAACTCTGTGGGGCAATGGGATTATTTCAAAACAATGTTCTAGGTTTCTATTTATTTATTTTATTTAACATATGGTTTATACATGATGCTCTTTTGAATTGAGGTTGATTGGTGCCCACACATCTAGTGTCAGAATCTTGCTAAGGGTTGTACGTTTGCAACAGAAGAGGCTAAATCATTATCAAATATTTGCAAATAAATTAGCTAGGAAAACAGCTGTGTTTTACACATGAAATTTATTAGCTTTGGCAAATGTCAAAAGTGTATTTGAATAGTGTAAAAGAGAACTACTGGAGCGACATAATGACATAAGCGAAGATAATGATTTATTATTCTTGACATTATTTTGTTCTCCCAGTGATTGATCTAGTTGTGCTCTGTTGCCCCAATCTGATCCAGCTGTTTGGAAGTTTTAATAAAGGAAGCTGGACTTTGAAAAAAGAGCCAATTATTTGCTGCTTTGATGGATCTAAAGCTGTGTATTTAAAATAAAATGATACTGTTGGTCTCCTGGTGAAAAAGTGTCAATTTAACAACCATGATGCTGGAAGAAAGTCCTTCATCAGAAGCTTGACTCAGTAAGGGAATATTGCGCACATTGGAGTGTGCGGATGCTTTTCTTATTATGTAGACATTGTAGCTGTAAAAAGTAATATACCTAGAAAGGAAATAAGATATTACCACACTAGAATGTAAAGCAAAATAGAAAAAAAGTCTTATAAACATATATATAAACATGGCACCTGGCAATGTCAGTATATCACTGTAAAGGGTGTGTGTGTGTGTGTGTGTGTTGTCACCTTGAACCTATGCAAGTATTTCATATTTATATTGTCTCATTCATTTTCCAATAAATATATCAATATAAATAATATCTGCAGTGTAATGGACAAATCACATTGCATCAATATGTAAAAGTACATTTCATTGCATTACAGGTCATCTTAACTAACTGATATTTATATATGCTGTTTTGTTTAGCTAAAGTGGGTAATTTGCCTGGTGTTTTACATGTTTAGCATTTCAGGCCATGAACCTAACCTGCTCTGGAGCAGGCATGGTGTATAGCTGAAATCACCGTGATGATGTACATCACTGAGAAATGAGTCACCAATGTGCAACCAGGAAACCAGAGTGGCTGAGTTAGTTTGTTAGTTCACTAATCCATCTTTCTGAGATAGGCCACTGGACTGTGGTATTTTCGTTTCTGTATGATTTCTATCCAGGCAGAAAGACATGCATAATAAATATAAAAAAATTGAAATTATGTGTCGAATCAAACGATTAACAGTTAATGAAGAGATTATTAAAAATGATTTTGTCCTTAAAGAGTATTATAGAATTTGAAATGCAAAGAAGATATTTGTCTTAGGGCATTTATTTTTTATTTTATTAGGGATCCAAGCAGCAAAGCCCTGTTGTTTTTGTTCCCATTATTCTTCTTTCTTTCTTTCTTCTTTTTCTCTGCTAAAAGTGTTTGGGCTGCAAAAACTGCTGGACGAAAACTCACCAAAATTGGCAGATGGGTTGCAAATTCCACCCATTACTCAGGTAAAAAAAAAGAAATCGCACTCATAGACCTCATGGTGGCTCTATAACAATCAACTTTGCGGTTTTGCAATTATCTCCAAAAACGGCTTTGCTTAGAGTCAAACTTCTTTCATTATTTTAATTTCTAGATTCATCTGTATCTTTGCTCCAATAGTCTTCTGCTCTAAAAATATAAAATTATATGACTTTTTATCATTTTTCTCTAAAACCTATTTTTGCGACCTGAAACTTTGGCAGGATCATCTACGAACGTTGCTGATCAAAAGTTATCTAAAGGACTTTTTTTTTTTTCATACATTTTTACTTTTGTGTATTTACGTACAATTTTACATAAATGCCCGTATATCAAAATTGGCTTAAGCTATTTTAACCAAACTTGATGCGTCTGTTTTGCTGAGCAGTCTGGGATATTCTTCCACTAGGGGGCACTATACTTGCAAAAAGTTTATACCTCATAATTCGTTGCATGGATTCGTACAAAGTTAGTTTTTTTACGATCAAGGGTCACTACTCAGTTGATGTATAAAATTTGGTAATGATTGCTCAGAGTGGGCGTGGCTTATTACAAGAAATGGAAATTTCTAGACATTTCTCATTCCTATTCAAAAAATCTTAAGAAAATCACCCGGACGTCCTAGAGAGCTGAAATTTTTTGAGCACATCCACTGATTTGTGACTAACGTTTGCCTCACTGCAATCTATGGTCAATTCAGAAGTCAGTCCCTCTATATTTTTCAAAATATGCTAAATCAATTAACATCTCAAGTCTTTCTTCAAACACTACCGTCGACACAGACATTCTCTAGATGGCTGATATCAAGTGTTTCAAGGGGTTTTTAGATCTGTGAAACGGTGAGTCTGCAGTGATATTCAGTATCTTGATGTAACTTGTACAGTATGCACAACAAATTATCTTTTTTGCTCAGTTTTTAATCAAATCCTATCAAAATAATTGACAACACACCCAAAACCAGCAGAATGATGTGTGACCCCCCCCCCCCCCGAATTTTCTCACCAACATCTTCACTGTTGTAAGCGTTTTAAGTTCAAACTGACAAAACTATCCAGGTCTGGCACATGTGTGTAGAAACTGGCTCTCACCAGTAGCTCGGTTGGTAGGTCACCTATTCTGGAGATCTGAAGTTCCAGGGTTCAAATCCCCAGGTGACCAACTCAGACTTTCTCACAATGGGGATGATCAGAGTGACTCTAAGTTCTCCAATTTTATTTGGATCCCATAACACTTTATTGTTTATTTTTCTCTGCTTAAAAGTGTTTGTGCATCTTAAACTTTAAATCTTGGAAACACAAAATGTTGCAGGTGGGTTGAACATGTCACCCAGTAGTCAGGTACATATTAAAATCAAGTTTGCGTTTCCGCTGTTATCTCCAAGTCCTAATTCTTCATCACTTTAATCTCTCAAGTTGTCTGCATCTGTTCTTCTCTGAAAATGTCAAATGTTGCTTTTTTCACAACTTGCTTGGATCCCGATCATTGCTGCTTGCGGCCATATTTGTATTATGTTTTAGTTATGTTATGTTTCAATAAAGTAATTGCATCTTTGCTATAGAAATGAAAAACAAATTTGACAGATGGTGAGATGGTCAAGTCACAGATTTGAATTCATTGTGAATCTACAGTATGTGCGTTTACAGTATACTGTATGTCAGGATTGGATCATGTTGACAGTTATTTTATAAGTGATGGATAGCTTCTGTCTGTGCGATTCCATATGTGTGAAACCTTGTCAAAGAAGGATTGTGGGATTTCATGCAGACATGCTCCGTGAGTGTAACAAATCTTTTTCCCTTGTCACAGCTCACTTACTGCAACAAAGAACACTTTCTCTCTCTCTGAATTTCTGTGCCTCATGCCCCCCCCTCAAACCTCCTCTCTTTCTCTGTGCCTCCCAGGTGTGGTATCTCTCCGGCTGGGTGTGCTACCTCCAGTTGGAAAAAGCTAAGGAGCAGCAAGAAAGAGGGGGAAGAGAAGTAACTGAGGAGGAGATGGAAGAATGGAAGGCATTGAAGGAAGCGGCCAGATCGTACCTGACCAATGCTAAAAAGGTAATTCACGTCGAGAAAATGTCATTACATCTGCCTACAAATGCAGATACAGTATAGTTGTGGTTCATTTATATCATTGACTAATTATTCAGTAGTGCACAGTGAGTGGTGGAAAGTAACTAATTTACTCAAGTAATGGAGCAACGCCTACAAGCTAGTTCAGGCAGTCAACTCACGCTGCTCTAAATATACCAGTGATATGCCTCACATTCCACATTCATCTAACAAAAACACCAAAAATGTCTGTTTAAATAAATATGAAGTAGTAGTCCAACAGAGCTCAACAACAGGGGAACCGGAAATGCACGGAAGCTAGCTGCTGAGAAGCGCAAGTGGAGATAAATCAATGTTGTAATCCCAATAACTAAAGTAAAAAGCTAATTTAATAAAAGCAGTTAACTTTGAGCTCCTCCCACGGGTAAACGGCATAATTGTAAGGGCATAATCCAGGCCAACTACGGGTGTTTATTTGTCCAAAGGTTGCAGCCCTCTCCACACATTTCAGAAAACAAACATTTTAGAATTGTTGTCCTGCTGTCTTGCTTACAGCCCTGACAAAGCATGAATTCATATGAAAACAAATCTGCATCATGTTTTAGTTCTTTCGGCATCAGTTTAATCCGTTTATTGCTATTTAATCACAGCAAAATGTTTACTTTGGGTTCATACAGCTGTAGTAATGGCGAGTTGTGTTTATTCATGTTATCGCGTTAAAATCTCCTTCTCGCGTTGTGTGTGAACACTTGCAGCGAATGTACTCATGCGAGGAAAGCGTCGCGAGGAGGAAATTTGCGGTTGGTCTGAATGCTGCATTAGGCACCGCTGTGCAATACCCATGCTGTCTGATCAGCATCTTGATATGCAATTATTTCTGAAATTATCTCGGCAAAAGAAAAATGCTTACTAACAGATTTGGACAGATTTGTGAACGATATTTGAGAGAAATAGGCCTTTTGTGTACAAAAAAAAAAAAGAAAGTCTTAGATCTTTGAGTTCAGCTCATGATGAATGGGGGCAAAAACAAAAGTGTTGCGTTTAGAATTTTGTTCAGTGTACGTTACAGTAATAAACATTTCATACGAGTTGTCTGTCTACTTCAGTAGAAATTTGAGTATTAGTATTTCCATTTCAGAACACTGTACTTCTACTCCTCTACATTTATCTGACAGCCGTAATTCCTAGTTACTAAGGTTATTCCATAGGTCATAGTTGGTAATGAATTATGCAAAAATGATATGTCTGATATGTGACAATTTGATTTAAAAGGCAGGAAACTTAATAATTTTGAGGTTTGGAAAAAACAAGACGGGAGGTGGAGTGGTTAGCACTGTCGCGTCACAGCAAGAAGGTCGTGGGTTCAAACCCCAGTTGCCCCGGCCTTTCTGTGTGGAGTTTGCATGTTCTCCCCATGTCCGCGTGGGTTCTCTTCGGGTGCTCCGGCTTCCTCCCACCATCCAAAGACAGTCAGGCTAGGTTCATTGGTGTCTCCGAAATTGTCCTTAGGTGTGGATGTGAGTGAGAGTGGTTGTCTGTCTATGTGTGGCCCTGCGATGGACTGGCGACCTGTCCAGGGTGTACCCCACCTTTCGCCCGATGTCAGCTGGGATTGGCTCCAGCCCCTCGCGACCCTGTACATAGGATAAGCGGTTGACGATGGATGGATGGACAAAACAAGACATTTGAAACATTAGTTAAAAATGATATTGTCCAGTCACAATGCAATTGTCAAATTGGTAGGTGTGTTCAAATTCAGTAAACTGTAAGCAACTGACCAAAACAAATCGATGGGCAGCCATTATCTTGGAGAAATCACAGACCATTCATTTAAATGCAAATTCAAATGGTCAATGTAGTCTCCATTTTTGCTTCTTTTTTTTTATACGGGGGGAGGGCTCTCATTATCACCCCCATGGGTACTGTCTTGGAGTATTTAGTGTGGTATTGGTAGTTTTAGTTTAAGTACATGATCTGAATACAATCAAAACACAGGGGTGGGACAGAAGAAACACAACAATATACATTTAAATTGTTATTCTTGTTTTTATTTAGAATGCTTGACATTGTCCTTCTTAATATGTAACTGCCAACTTATTATGTCCATTTTCTTAATAAAAAATAATATAAATATAACTTGGCTAGCTAACTAGAATATTCAACAGTTAATGCGCATTTGGATTAGATATTGGCTGCCCTTTTTATGTACATTTTCAGCCTGTATTCCCGGTCTACCCCTCTCCTGCCGTATGTACGTAAGGTGGAATGGCTACGTGTCGGGACGATTGAAACAGGTGTTTCATCTCCTGATTTTTAAACTTCACTAGCTTCTAAACTGTAACACTTTGACATTTAAAACTTCAGGATGTTTAAAGTACTAACTAATCCGTTGTGTGATCATGACCACGGCACATGAAGCAGTAAACACAACTCGTCATTCAAAAAAAAATGATTGTCCCGGCTCTCCCCTAAATGTAGGACTGTGAATGTGAGAGGATCCCAACTAAGCTCCACTGTTGCCATAGAAGTTTCTTTTTATTACAATTTCAATAATGTTTAACTACACCCCTGTCTTTCTCCCATTCCCCCTCACACACACACACACACACATACATAGTCGGAGCGATGTGTCTCATTCATTCTGTCATTCTGTCAGGGAGCAATGCCTCTATGGAGCTGTGATTCATGTTAGTCTAAAATCCAATAGGCTTGTAAATCAGATAGCACAGACTGCGGGATGGCAAGCCCCACCTATGTTTTTTTCCCTGTCTCTTTACCTCCCTCTCCCTTTCACCTCCCCACCCTCTCTCCTCCTCTCCCAACCTACCGTGTTCCTCTACAGATGAGTAGGGGCAGCAGAGTGGCAATATATTGATATCTGTCTCTCTGGCCAGCAGTGTAGTGACAGGCCTGTCTAACTAGCATCCACTGGGGATGTCCACAGCTGCGGCAGGAGCGAAGTGGGCTTTGAGCTGCCAAGAGGGAGAATTGAAGAAACTGTGGGGAGGAAAAGGAAGGCACTTGGGAGCATATAGATTTGAGCTGCCAGCTTTTTGGCGAGTTAATAAAGAAAAGAAAAACAAATTGAAAAAAAAATGGAATTGGAAAAATAGGGAGAATTAAGTACCTTTGCACAGAGGGAAAGAATGCAAAGGAATAAAAAGGTGGAAAACGGTGAAAGATTGGGTGAGCTGTCAGAGCGTGACAAGTAAACAGCATAGCAGTTTCTTTGTAGAGTGAGTGAAGCAACAGGCACAGAATAATGTGGTAAGGTAAATGCACAAAGACCTTGAAAAGGTGAGGTGGAATGTGGAGAGAAAACAGCCCTCTTTTGTGGTGCACTTAATTCCTCAGCTCGGCACTTTTGCTCACGTGTAGTCTATATTGTGTAGTCGAGATTCTCCCTTGTTTATATCAGAGCTTTGTTTCTGAGCATCACTGTGAGTGTTAATTATTAACGATGAGTCAGTCTGCTAGTTAAAATGGGCTCCAACATGGAAATGAGGCCTCAAAGCCCAACGGCTTGTTTTGGCGCCAGTCCATTTCTCTGCATACTTTATGACTTTGCTGTGTGTGCATGTGTGTGTCCATGTGTTTGTGCTGTGAAACCGTGAGAGAAAGTATGCATAGGCGCACCTTTATATGGATGCGCACATTTAATTGGTAAGTTGTGTGTGCCAACTTGCATATCTAATTATTTGTTAAGAAATGTCTTCATTATTCATCGCTTCTGTGATTGATACACATGCATGCTCAGACACACACACTGCATTCACCTGAGGTGCTCTAAAAAGGAGTGATAGGGAAGAATGGATGGCTTGAGAGGACAAGAAAGATGTGTAGGAGAGGTGCAGAGGGTGAGCAAGAGTAAGAGAATGAAAGGGGAGGTGGAGAGGAAACAGATTGGATATGGGATACGGGTGTGTGTGTGGTTGTGTGGGTGTAGGGTGTGTAGCTGGTGAATAGTGGCGAGGGTAAAATCAATAGTAAACCGGACGTGAAATGGAATTTGAGTCTCAGCCAGATAGGGTGTGATTGAAGAAGGATCTGCAGTTGTATGCACACAGGACAATGCTATATATGTGTGTGCATGTGCGCACGTGTGTGTGAGTGTGCACAGAGGCAGCCAGGGCAAACGGAGGTCAAAAGCTTTACTATTTGATGTGGCTGAAAGAGTATCCCATGAGCAGGTATATGGTCGTGGGTATGGTTTGACCAAGGTGTGCTTGTCATGTCATTTTTATGCCTTTCCCTACTAATGATGTGACAGGAGGACTGAAGTGTTAAGGCGCGTGCGTGCGTCTGTGCATGAGTGAGTTTGTGGTCAGCCCTCCTAAGACTTCCAGCGACATGAACTGTTCACACTCATGAAGGTCTAATCTCAGCCAGTGTCACACCCTTGCCAGCGAAGAAGTATTTGTAAGTGTTTGTAGGATAGAGTGAGACAGAAGTTAAGAGGAAGATGTGTTGAAACAATTCATCTAATTATTGCTCTGTTAGTACTGTAGAGTTGTACAGTAGGAGGGCTCTGTTTGGTCCAGAAAAAGGATGGGCAGAGCAGGATTGAGGATACAGAGGGAAGTTGAGAGGAGGGGACACAAGGGGAAAATGGTCAGGAGACAAGCCGGGAGAATGAAGGGATTAGCAAATGAAATGAAAGAAGAGGTGAAATGAAAAGGGAAGTTAAGCATAGATGTGGAACAGAAGGTGAACAATGATGGAATGATTAGGCTTTCACTACATAATCAGCCTATCTTTATTCTGCCATATGAATTGTAGAAAAAGGTTTCTACCAAGAAATGAGCGGAAAAGAAAACAATTTTCTGGGAAGGGTACATTAGTGCTTTATTATTCCATTTTTGTCGACAGCATACTGAACAAAAGATAAGCACTTACAGATAATCTTTCCTGGACCAAACTGTAGATGTGTCCAAAGGAATTAAGTAAGAATAGAGACAGAAATTAATTTTAAGGTAGTTTATTTCTTATATTGTTTACGCTACACACAAAATTTTTTACAGATAATTAAATGTATATTTAATATGGTAACATATAAATTAAACGAAATACACAGTTGTTTATATGCATATACATGCACATATACACCTAGAACATTTTGCAGTATTTGTTGAGGAAGCTTAAGAAGGCAAAAAACCCACCTGTGCCTAGTTCTTGTCAGCTTTTACAGAGGAGCAACAGAAAGCATCCTGACTGAATCACTAACTGGCATGGGATGTGCACGGCCCAGGACCGGAGGGCTCTGCAATGTGTGATTAAAATATTGGTACCCATCTCCCAAGCATCAGTGATATCGGTGAGGTGCCTGCGCAGAGCCCAAAGGATATTGAAGGACAGTACCCACCCAGCCACAGCCTGTTCACCCTGCTGCTTTCTGGGAAGAGATATAGAGGTTTCTGCTGCCGCACTACCAGACTACAGAGCAGTTTTTCCACCCAAGCTATCAGACTTTTAGGGCCCATGCCCACCAAAGCGTTTTTTTTTTTTCTGACGCCAGCGTCTTTTTTCAGTTCATTGCAATGGGAGTGCTGTGTTATTACAACATGGTAAAAACGGCAGCAGCATGACAAGGCACTGAGCTTCTTTTCCGCGCTGAGCACTGAGCGTTTTTTCCGGTCCCCGAGAGTTAAAAATGTTCCACTTTGGGAAAAACGTTGCACTCGTCACTGTCACTTTTTACTCAGCTGTCCAATCACAGTAGAGGTGGGGCGGGACAAATACCACAACGTAGCAACGCTCAAATTCATCCTCAGCACTGCTCCACTGATTATAGTTTATTTCTTTTGAGTCTGAGTATTTTTATAATTGCTTTTATATTAATGTGTATTGTCTACTATGTAGCAGAAGGGAGTTACAAACTCAATATCACTCACAAAATAACTCAACCATTAGACCTTTGAGAAACAGTGTCCATTTATTTTGACTGTGTTTGAGCACCAAGCATCATTGATGTAAAACACCTTGCGCTCTGACGGCTCGTACACGGTCCACCTGCTTGATCTAGGATGTTGATAAACAGGTCTCTGTAATAATGTGGACACAACAGTCTCTGATTTCCGTTACTTGGCCAACCTGAGTCCAATTTTGTTCGGACCAAAACTTTAGGAGCAGCCTTAAATCCAAGCTGGGCCAGCATGGCTCCTATCCCGGCTCTCTTTCTTCTCCACTGGGTGATTACCGCACCCGCTGTGGTGCCTGGTGCGGTTGATCGGATCATCTAAGGTCCGCTGCTCTTTAATCCAAAAACCCCAGATTCCTTTTCCAATGACTGTATTTCTGTCATATGTAAAACGTGTTACAGCAATATGGGCAGAAAAAAAACTTATTTATGTTATGAGTTGTAGTTTGGTAAATTTTTCTTTCATACTCTTTCAAAATTAAATCTGTAGTGCAGGTGACAGTATAATGTCAATAAACAGAGTGAGACCTCATTCAGCATGAGAAGCACTTATGCTCTATTGTGCACCCAAACTAATGCGAACATGGCTATAAACTTGGAGCTCAGAGAAGAATCACAAGTTTCAAATTGGGTTCCAAAATTTCTCAAGGTTTGCCAGTTCCCAGATGAACGTACTGTAGCAAAGGGCATTACTATTACATTATTATTTAACAATATGCTGCTATTGTGTGTCCACTCAATATTATGAGTTATTTTGACCCTGTTATCTTCTATTATACTAACTGTGGCTCACTGCCAGTGGCTGTATGTCCAGGATGAAGAACAGTAACGACTTAAAATTTATAAAATTCCTTAATCATTTCAACAACATCACATGGGAGTATACAAAAGACAAGAGTCATGCTAACAGCTCTGTGAGGCTGTACTTAGGCACAGTGGGGCATTGAGCTAAATGCTAATGTCTGCATGCTCACAATGCTAACATGCTGTTATTTAGCAGGTGTATAATTTACCATGTTCACCATCTGAGTTTAGTATGTGAGCATGCCACCATTTGCTAATTAACACTAAACACAAAGTATGGCTGGGGCTGATGGGAATGTCATTAGTTTTGCAGGTATGTGATCAAGTAAAATTTTGACCTGATTATGGTGCTGGAGGAAAAGTCACCAAATCCATCCAGTTGTTAAGATACTTTAGTCTGGAATGAAGTGGTGGACTGACTTTCTGGCAGATAGATATTGCCACTGCTAGTGCCATGGCACCAGCTTGGCTAAAAAGAATAGTGGGTAGAATGTGAAAACAGATGAGTCCATGTACCATGGCATGTGTTAAGTGCATATGTTGTGTGTGCTGGTGGTCAAGTGTGCTTTGGGCTGTGACTTTGGGCTTGAAAGTAGAGCAAAGTGGACCATGAAAAAGTTATACGATTACATACACTTACACAACAATCTCCCTCCCTCTCTAGGCAGCTCTCTGGGCCGTGAAAGTGAGAAGAGAAAACATAGGCTGTTGTAAATGAAAAATGCCTGTGTTTTTTGCGACGGCGGTGCTGATCTCAGCAGCGTTCGGTGCAGAATGTGTAAAGAATAGCTCTTGTTTGTGTAGCTATAACTGAAAGCATCACAATAAATAATCACAACCTATCCAGCAGACACACTACACTATTGATTCGTAGGAAATATCACCACATATAAATACAATTTCCAAATACGATTCAGCATTGTAGAACATACAATTTTTGCCCACATTCGCTGTATTTCTTAGATTGTTTTTCTTATGCAACTCATATGAAAGACACCCTCCACCTCTTACCCAAGGCAGTAATGTGCAATTATTCTGGGTATTGAGCAGCGTATCATAAAGCAAACCTGACTTTTATTCAGAGCGTTCGTTCTGGATAAACATCTCCAGGCATTTCAGAGTGACAGAATGAATATCAGTTGGGGTGGGTTTGTATGTATGTGTGGTACTGTGGAGAGACCGAGAGGGTCAGCTCTCCCCTGGCATCAGACCCTGTGCCTGGACCTGGGTCACGCTCCACATCTCTGGAGCTCCAACCTGCAGAGACGGCATCCACTTAAATATACACACACACACACACACACACACACACTGCACACTCTTACACTCCAAATGAGTTCCCATGGGAATGCGTGTCTCCTGTCAGGACCTGCTGTTGCTTAGAGACTGGTCCTGGGGCAAAGCAGTCACACACACACTTCTTCACTCTCTTGGCCTCGTTACACTTTTAGTAAGAATAATGGCACTCAGCTGCTTATTGTCCATGAGCTCAAGTGACTGTGTGTGTGTGTGTGGTAGAATAGTATTCCTAGATCGTATATACCATTCCCTACTTACCCTCTTTTTCTCTCTAGTTTTGTTTCTGGAAATAAAAGCATAAATGCAAATTGCTGTATCAGTTCCCACATAACACAGTGTTGTGCTTGCTGTCCTTAGTGGTAGCGCCAGTAGTTTTATCACCCGACTCCACTTTGAGCTCAGTAATTATACACAAGCAGGGTATTTTTACAGAGATAAATCTGCTGCCTGCTTTGAGAACAGGACTTTTTTATCTTGCTCTTTCACGGCATATTTCACCGAGATAACAGCTTTGATTATGTGTGCGCTCGTGCACATGTACGCCACATAACCATATGTGCTTCAGGATACATTTCTCTGTGCGTGTGTACGCATGCGTGTTGTAACAGCAAGAGGAAGATAAATGGTCTTTTTGTCTTCTGTGCGGCTGAACGGTATATCAAATGTGCTGATTTGCCAAATGAAAGACAAAAACTGTTTACCAGCGTTTTGAGATCCGTGACTGCTTTGCTGACAGAAGGCAGCTGATATTGGATATTTCAGGCGGCCTAACTAGCACTTAGAGACTTAAAACCTCAGGGCTGCTCACTTTTCCTCAACTCCAAGCTGCTGCCTACTGATGTTGTAGTGATGCACAGTTATATTCAGCAACACAACGCAAGAGCTTCTGTTAAGAGCTTTTCACTCACCATATCTCATGTCTCATAATGCCTCCACGGTATGATTTTTGCACTTGTTCAGTCTCAACGTTTCTGCTGTATAACCTACTTTCTATTTAAAATTTCCATTTTTACCATCTACTTACTAGCCCATTACACACTTGCATCATCATTTTTTGTCTCTTTTTTTTTTCTCTCCCTCTTCCCCAGCTGTACAGTAAGCTGCGATGTGATGACCACCCGATGTTGGAGCACGTGGAGCAGCTGTTAGGCGAGCTGGGAGGAGAGATGGAGGGAGAAGAGGTAGACCCAGTCTTGGATGAAGACTATGAACCCTGTAGTGATGATGAGGAGGAGGAGGAAGAGGAGAACAATGCAGAGGCACCCATGGAACACTGACCCGCAGTCCCTTGCTTGTACTCTGTGATTTCACGTTTGCCCATCATGCTTCCCTCTAGTTTAAATGTTCTGGTGCACTCTCTAAAGTGCCTTTTTTTATTGATTACCCTTTCACACCCAAAGATGAAATTTGAATACAAGTGAGATGCACAAAAAGAGTGGCATTAAAAGCTGCAGTCTGCTCAATCTCTTTTAGTCAGTTGAGTAATGCTTCCCTTAATCTCCTTGACAGATGTTGATGAAAGAAATTAGTTTTAGAGCTTTACTTCTAACCGGCAGCCAAAACAAAACACCTTTGAATGCTTTTACCTCTTATACACACCCACGCATTGGTTTCTCAAATGTAACAAAACACACAAAGGCTGCACATTAATTACTTCAGCTCTTCCTCAATACAACAGCAGCAATAGCAGCAGTTTCCTTCTCTGACTGCTGTAAAGTGAAATATCTCATCAGGGTGTAAGCATTATTAGGAAACTGTGTCTGCCAGCAAACAGTTAATCCTATCTTTACATGTAACGGTTCTAATATTCCAAGTTTATGTGCAATTCTTGAATCTTTATGCCATTCAGTTTACTCGCCTGCTTTGGATTTTCCTCCTTTTTTTGTTAACTTATTGGATTCAACAAGACAAGTCACAATAGAGAGAATTTGACATGAAGTAATGCAGCATGTGTTTCTCTCTCTCTCTCTGCTAGAAAGTTCAAAGTGGCTGGCACAAAGCCTTTCAGAAAGGAGAAACGGGCAACTCTGACTTCTTTTTTTGTACTAGTTTTCACATTGCAGCCTTTTAAAATTCTCAGACAGGGTTATGTAGTGTAATGGCATGGCTTAGTCGAATGGCATACAATAATGGGCCGATGCTTTTCATTTTCCTTTATATGTTGTATGCAATCGAGTGGTGAAGGTGAAAAGGCAGTCTTTGTATATCTGAGTGGTAGACGGCTACACATGCAGCTACTTACTGTTGAGAAAAACAGTATAAGATTTGAATTTTTTTGTGAACCAACAGCAAAACACTTGTAAGACGAAATGTAAGACGCTCATGACACAGATGTCAGAATGAACATTTTAAAAACCTCTATTGTGACAATATTGGATTGATTTTTTCCACATTTGTGTTTCTTTAATGTCTGGAAATCTGCACATATAGTCCATCCATATGTATCTTGCTTTTGGTTCCTGCTTTTTGTCTCATACATAATATCATTTTAAAATGCCATTCGCACATTAGATTTAATGCGCCTGCAAAATATATTGGACAGTTGTGACTTTTCTCAAGCCTTGATATATTTTTGGTGCATATCAGTGCATATCTGGGGAGTTTTTGTCATAAACTCCCCAGATACCTTGTAGTAAAGGGACTATTGCATGTGATGTGCATGCTGTAAGACACATCCACAGTGTATTTGTCCATGCCTGTTACCAAACACAACACACCACAGGCATTCACTGCTGCGCAGCCCCTTTGAAGAATTTCATAACCGGTAAATAGGAACTTTATCTGAGATCCTGCTCTTGATAGTGACCCAGCTGCAAGCTGAGAGGCCTGTTTGGGAATAAAGGAGTTCAGATACCATGATCTGATGTGTGTTTGTGTTTAAGGAGCGTAAAATAAAGCCCAGGAGAAAAGTTTCCTATGTGATTGTTTGTATGTGCGCGCGCGTATATGCTGCAGATATCGATAGCTTAATGTGATATGATGCGTTGTTATTTGTGGACTGGACCTTTGCTGTGCAATGTTCAGTTTATGATAATGCACCAGGAGTACAGGCCTCCAGGACTGACTACCTGAAGTGATCCTGTCATCTAGCATTTGGCTTTATAATTAAAATGGTCTCTTGTATGTATGTGTGTTTCTACATTTTTGGGTGTTTGTGTGTATGTGTTACCGCATGTGTCCATGCAGCTCATCTGCAGTGCTGTGTGATTAATGACTCCAGGGGTGAGTGAACATCAGCGGTCAGCCCTTTCTGGTTATTCTCAGCTGACCTAGTGTGAGTGGGTCATAGTGGACACAAAGCCTCAGGTGATCTCAAAATCCTTGGCTTTTCTCTCACCTGTACGTCAGCCTCAGCACTGCGGGAATATTTTCACTTGCTGAGAGCGGGGAGTGCAGTTTCTACACAAGGACACACATTCAATCACCGGGAAAGGACACTCACTGTTTACTCGCATTCTTTCCTGCTCTATGCTGAAAATCTCCCTCTGAAAGGCCAAAATGGCTCTCTGAGAGGCCAAAGCAGAGCAATAATCAGACTTGTATAAAAATATTGCCACAAAACAAATCGATATAGTTTGATCTTTCATGTTTTTGTGTTTCAGATGTCCATGAATTAACAAATAAATACATAAATAAAGAATTCATTACAATGTATGCATGGTTAATGCCTGAGCTGCATTCATACATTAAGCAGATTTGTCTTTTTTTTTACCTGGATGTCAAGCTATCTTTGGAGTCCCTAGCAGCATGTGTTCGGTCTCCAGGGAAACCAACCCATAATTAGTATTTGTGTGTGCGCGTGTGTGCCTGTATGTGTTTTTTAATAATCGACAGTAATGAGATGAGCGGAGGGGAGAATAATCCTGGCTTAACAGCTTAAAAATGCATGTGTCGTCATAACAACATCCTGATTGGGACTTAATCATTGAAATTCAGACACACACACACACACACACACACACACACACACACACACATATCAACCACCAATTGTCTATGCATCAGATAGCTCAATGTTACTAGCTGTGTGTGCATGTGCTGTTTATCCTCTACTTCTACTATGCGTGTATCGTTGACTTAATTAGAGAGTTAAGCAGGGTGCTCCTCTGAAGGGATTAAGGGGGAAATTATCAGAATCTGGAGTCTTAAAGCTGAAACCAGTTAAACGGAAACAGGAGGAGGGAGATCAGGGCTCAGAGGAGAAAGGAGTTTGAGAGGCAATTCTACTGTTTATACACACATTCGCATGTTCATTTGTGTAAATTGTTCTCTTGAAGTCACGCTCAAGCACTTAAATTTGCTTCAAGGTGTACAAGCAATTCTTTCAACCTCTCAAAGCCACTATTTCAATGTTTTTGAACCATGGACACCCTGTGTTTGGATCCAGGAGAGGTTTTATGGATATTCTATGATACTACTAGACAGAAACTCAGACAAGCGGTACAAAGAAGACCAAGTAAAAAATCGACTCCCCAGACTTGAGGATTGACGGATGGGAACTGCATGTCACTCATCTATATCTCTTTCTTTGTGCTGTGGCCGTGCAATCAAACAGCAAATTAACGACATAATGGGAGCGATGGTTATCTGACCCAAGGGTTTTCCTGACAGCAACTGTGAGAAACCATGAATCAACCAACCTTTATCCTCTGCAGTGAAACCATTTCCTCTATAGGATGGATTTCCTGGGTAATGGATGCAGTGAATCTGACCTGGGAAACGCTCTGTAGCTGATGGATTGACACAAAGGGTTAATACTAACAGCTTTGCAGGGCTTAATATAATCATTAAAAGGTTATATGGTTTGTCAGTGGTTATTGGAAAAATGTTTTTCCTCGAATCGATATGGCAAGAGGTCACAGTCCATTATTTATATATATATATATATAGATTCATTTTATTGTTTTAAATTAAATATTTGTTGAGGAAAAGTTTCTCTGAGAAGTGTTTTTCTCTTCATTATATTCTGCAGAAACTCATTACATCTCATAATTAACTCTCAGACAAGTCGCCTTCATCATTGATCTGTGTTTTTGGTCAATAAGGCTGTTTTAGACTATCCTGCTGCTTCTATTGTCTAAGGATTGAATGTGTTCATGCATCTCTGCATGCACACAGTTTGTGCCTGTGTGTTGTTTTTGTTTTGTGTGTGCGTGCATAGTAATCTTTGGTGGGAACATCTGTCTCTCAGAGATAACATAACCGGGGAATTAGCCATGCTGTCTTACAACAGAGCATCACATCTCACTATTACAGCCTTCTAAATTATACCCTATTACACCTCTGTGTGTGTGCGCGCGCGTGCAGAGGAGTGTAAGCAATGTGCTGACAGTGTCATGTCCTTGGGTGACTGTGCCAAGTTTAAGAGTATCAGGGAGCCCACTACCTCCTCTAAGCCTAGTTATTTCTACATAATACAAGTCCTACACAAACAAGTCCCTCCACAATGATAGAGGCAGGCACAGTAAATTAATAAAATAAAACAGAAAATAGGCTGGCGTTTTATAGGATAAAGGTGCCTTTTCTGGTTCAGAACCATACACAGTAATATATCTTTGTGATGTTAAATCTCTGAACAACCTGAAGCCACTTAGCATTCCATTCATTGCAGCATCAGCAGAGTTTTTTGACGCATCAGTGGTGACAGATTACTCTTTGAACTGTACCTTTATGCGAGTTCAAAAGCTAAGAGAAGTTAACAAAGTGATGCATCAACTCAAAATCATCAGAAATGCAGAATGCTAAATGATCAAACAATATTACTAAGACGGCAAACCGACTGTTTAACTGATGAAAAACACAAATTTCTATTCAGTTTGTAGTACATTCTAATTAGCATCGTAATCCTTTTTAACTTTATTTTCAAATGCAACTTTTGAATGTCATTCGGTGGCTCAGTAGAACAGTTACAATATTATCCCTGCCGTTAGTATAACTACTTTTCCTAACAGGCACAGAGATTCAGTAAAAGGATGTAAATTGGAGCGGAACCGCCTGGTACTGTATGTCACACTCTGCCACGACTCAAGAAAACTTTTAATGAATGTCACTGTGAGAGAAAATGTATGGGGAGTGCCTTCTCTGTGTCATAGTTTTGCAAAGCACATTGTACTGTGAAAGTCTGTGCTGTACAACAGGGTTCGAACACGTGAAATATGTTGACTCTGAATGGGGGGGGGGGGACCAAGTGTAATGGTGCCTTTTCTTCCGCACAGTCAGAGAACAGCCGGGGGAGCTGAACGCAGCCCCACTGACCTGGTTGAATCAAAGAGAAAGGTAGGAGGCGAGACCACAAAAAAAGGAGAGAAAGGGAGAGAATAAGACATGAGAAGTGTCTCATTTATACTGCGTTGCTATTTGGGTCAGTGGATCGCTTCAGTAGCCGTGAGGGGCTCTTTTTGCTCAATGCAATCCATACTCACAATCTAACCATCAAATGCGGTGCGAGTGGAGGTGAACCTGCCCCTGCACTGAGCTCTCTGACTGCTGGTGTGTTTGACTGAGTGCCAGCTTTAGTTTTTATACCTCATTAATTCTCAGGAGCGATTGACTTGAGGAAACCGCTTCTTCTCGATCATAAATCAACTCACACTCCCGCGTGCGCACACAAGTAGGCCTACACACACGCGCACACAACAGCAAAACATGAACACACCAGGGGGTGAATCTCGGGGCTTTGGTAATGATTTAATCAGTCACTGACAGAAAGTACAGTGATATCGTGATTACTAATTTCCACATGACCCCTGTGTGGATAACTGTGTGTGTGTGTGTGTGTGTGTGTGTGTGTGTGTGTGTGTGTGTGTGTGTGTGAGAGACATAAAATTTTGCCTTATAATAAAGTTAAGGTCCCAAGCACTCCATATTCGTGGATGTAGAAATTGCTTTAAAAATGATAGGTTTTCTAAAGTAATTGTTTTTAAGCACTTTTGTTTGTGCATGTGTCTGATCTCTATACATGCTATATAGCCTATCTATAATGCATAGAAAGTAGAGAGGACAAGGAGGGAAAATTGGAGTGAATTGATTTGGTATCTTCTCCCTGATTATCAATATAAGAGGACTAAGAAGTTGCAGTGCATTTGAGTATCTCTAAATTAAACTCTGGGATAAGAACAGGGTAGTACGGTGTGTGTGTGAGTGTGTGTGTGTGACAGAGAGAGAGGGAGAGGTAGAGATGGAGAGGTTTGATGCTGTAACAGCTGCTAATTATTGCTGCTCTATATTTCACACAGTCTGTTTGATCTCCGGTCCTGTGGAGAAAGATAGGGATTCTCTGTCTCTGTTTCTCACAAACTCACACACTTATATATACACAGACACACACACACACAAGCTCAATGGTCAGGAGGAGGAGAAAGAGGAATTGTGCTCTAATTACTGAATCTCTGCAGGGGTTGACTTATATTTCTAGCCAACACCTCGGGACTGGGAGTGTACATTTTGTGTCTGTATTTATGTCACCCCTTGCTGGAGCCCTCCCCGTGTGCTGGGCTGTGTTCACTGATATCATGGAGGGCAAATCAATCCAATCTCTCAAAGCACTCTGTGTAGTCAAAGTCTGTAGACCATCTGGATCCCGCTCTGTTCTGTTCTCTGTTCTGCTCCCTGAGAGCTGGCCGCTGCAGCGATCAACTGTTTGGCAAGCAGCTTTAATACATCCGTGCCTTCAGTCACCAGACATGGATGCATAGCAACAGTTACTAACCACCATAACCTTTGGCAAGACATGCAAGTAAGAAACTCATCTATGTTTCATTAATTATGCAAGAAGTTGTTTTTTTACTTCACATATGATATTCAAGCACAACATACACTTCAGAACTGCCTGGTTCAGATTAACTGAGTGGATATTTTTTGGCTTTGGGCATCCCCAGTACAGTGAACCAGTGGTTGAACTGGACGAAATGCATCTGCAGAATGCATCTTTGGACTAAATGATTTGTGTGTTTAGCAATAAAAATGACGAACGGCACACTGTAGTACAAACAAATATGGTGCATTTTGAAGGGCATCATCTAACTCTATGACTGACACATAAACACTTTCACGCTGAGTCTTGTGTTACCATTATTTTTTCTTCAGACCCCGTAGGATGGTGGTTTTCAACTTGGGGATCAGTACATTCACAAGTGGAGATGAATCGTGAGATAAATTTAAGGTGAGATGATTACCAGTGTAGGAAATAAGAAAATCTAAGTTCTGCTGCTACAAAAACCTTTCTCAGATCTTTGCTTTTTTGTGAAACACTGTAATTCACCTTCTCTGGCATGTAAAACTTACTCCAATAAATGTTGAGGGGAAAAATATCTCACGATTCATCTCCAATAAACCACAAAATATTAATTCTTTATGTGGAATGTGTTGCACCATGTTGCACGATCAACACGAATCAGACAGAATGAGAAAAAGCATTAAAGCCCATTTATTTTCACCCAAGTTTTAATGTAACAGATTCATTCATTGCTGTCTCAACAACTGTTTTGTTAAGTGCCTTGTGGAAATGAAATGTTACATGTTACATATGAATATGAAAAGTTCTTTTAAGTGTTTGTATGAATGAAGCCATTGAGGGAATAATCACTGTACTACTGGTCAAGGTTAAATTCACCTTTTATTTTATTGTTTTCCATGGTTCTAATTTGACCACTCACTGTCAGAATATTTACACTATAGAGACAAAACAAGTCTTTACACGTGTCAGATATGAAAAGCAGTTGTTCTCCTCACTACTGTGTGTGTGTGAATTACCTCTATATTACACACGCAAATACAGTATACACCAAGGTTAAAATGACTGTGCTATGCCACCCTCAGTTCCTGGAACGTTATTTATGTTTGTTGAAAGCCACTCTCTAACTCAGATAACTTGTATGAAATGGAGATAAGGGGAGAGTATTATCACTTTCTCTTGCACCTCTGTCACTGGCATGAAGGATACTTCAAAAGGCAGCTGGTCTGTCTGTGGTTCAGAAGGAAAGAGAGAGGATGACACAAGCCCAGCTTGTCTTTGAATAGCAGGTGCACCTTTCCCTTTATTCTGGGCCTGAATGAGGAATGACGGGAAAAGCAAAGGATCAAAGTCTGTTTTCTCTCTGTCTGCTGCAACATAGCAGAGGCTAGATGGAAAAACTCTTTTTCATTTGAAAACAGTCAGTAGTTGGGCTGTTTGCGTGTATCCATGCGTGTGTGCGTGTGAAGGTATATGTGAATAAGACTTGGTGCTGGTAAAAGCACTGACACATCCCCATTTCAAATACCAGGCTTTTGTCCAAACCTAATACCGCCCTCCACCCCCCAATAGTCTGTGTTGCCAAAGAAGATTAATAAACATGGCAGCCACTCTGTGAAAATCACAACGCCTTCTGTTGAAACCTCACTGGCCACGCTCTGTCCATGAAAGACTGTGGGTTCAAGTGTTGCAGGGCTACTGGAGAGAGCGAAGCGAGTGGGGCCGTGTGAAAAGCGGGGGACTGGGGGAAGAGAGGGATGGGATGGTGGGACAGGAGGATGGAGGGAAACAGGGAGGATATGGAGAAGGGAGAGAGGTGTAGGTGGTGAGGGAGGGAGGGGTGGAGAGGGGGAAGGGGGTGAGGGAGCTGAGCTGGGTGTGGATGGATGGCAGGAGAAGGGGATGAGGTGGATGAGGAGGAGGAGGAGGGGGACATTGAGAGGGCTGTGTGCTGTAAAATGATATGATGGAGGCTGGAGAGAGGGCTTGATGGTGGAAGAGTGGGGAGGTTGGGGACTCCCAGAGCCATGGGTTGAGTAAAGTTCTCTTGTGGTGCCACATGTGGAAGTGGGAGACTGAGCTGGAGGGCGTGCTGTGCTTGTGTTTGCATCGTGTCCGTGTGAATTGACTGGGTTTGAGGCTGTGGATTATGCAAGGGTGCAGGTGTGTATTGTTCCTCTGAAGTCCTACCATTCTCCGTCCGTGCTGTGTGTGTGTAGTTTGTCTCTGTGTGTGTATCTGCACTCTCTTGTGCCTGTTCCAGGACTTTCTGCATGTGCTCTCTCGCCTGCTCTTGCAGGAGGCGATATTTGTCCATCTCCTCAGCAGTAAAGCTGATTGACGGAGCTGTCTCTCCACCTGTCTGTTTGTCATCAGTCCTAATCTGCGACCGACAGAGATTTGGCATGCTGCTGGAGTTTGACTCAGCCATGTCCAGAGGACATTTGTGACTGTTGATGACAGTTCCAGGATGCAGTCCACTGCCTTTAGCCTCCTCTTCCTCCTCTCCCTCCTTTTCTCGACTCTTCTCCAGCAGCCTTTTTTTCCTCCTAGCCTTTCTCTGGATTGCAGGTAGTTTCCCTATGAGAGGGAGAAGCAACACCCTGCCTGTTTTCAGTGGCAGAGCCTTATTGGAGGATAGTCCTGGAAGAGTTGTGTCTGACCTGCTTGTTGTTACAGGGGCAGAGGGTCCAGGGCCAAGGTCAGACTGTGAATAGGGCTCATTTAGCTGAGAAGGACTTGTGTCACAACGGTGCGTGTTGAAGCCTGGGACTGTACAAGCTAAAGAGGATTTGTGGGGTGAGGAATGGGAAAATGAGCTAGGGGTAAGGCTGGATGAAGTGGACGTGGGGCTGCACTGTTTCTTTGCCTCCTGAGGGGCCTCGGATGAAAGTCCTGGAGCTCCTGAGAACGTCTTACAGGAGCCAACTGTCAACCCATCCGCTATGACTCCCGAGCAGGTACTGCTCCTGCTCCAGTTCCAGCTTAGCTCAGACATGCAGGAGCTGCTACAGGGGCTGCAGGAGCGTGGGCTGTGGCATCTGCTGGCCCGTGTGTTGATCACACTCTGGGGGCTGTATGTCTGCCTACTTGTCCACCACTCAGGGCTTGAGAAGCGTCTCGTGCTTGAGCGTCTGTTGCCTGCACATTTCCACACATTGCCCGGGCTGTCTCTGCTGTCTGCCCCTGTTCTGGAGCCTGACGTGGATCTGTGCCCCCCCCTGTCTTCCCAGCTGTCGCTGCTACCCCATGTCCATCTGTCCACACTGCTCCTGTCCCAGTCTACATCTTCTGTGCTAAGATGTCTGCTTCTCCTGCCCCAGCTGCTAGGGCTGGAGCTAAACTTTGCCGCCCGATCCCACTCCACTGCTCTGTTCCTCAGTCTCCACCCAGTCCTTGACCTGCCTTCCTCACTACCTCCAGGACATCTACCTCCCATCCACTCCCACTGTTCTGCATCTGAAATCAGGTCTCTGTCTCTGCGACCTGTACTCTCCCGCATTTTCCTGCTCCTCTCTATCTCCTCCCAGACCTCACGATGCCTCAAACTCTTCCTCTTACTATGAATGAATTTCCTGTCCCTGTGGAGGAGTTTTCTCTTTCTCGCTAGGCTGCAACCACAGCTGTTGTCAGGGTAACAGCAGTCAATGAAACTCCTGGGGTTGCTATGGTGACCCCTTTCCCAAAACAGTTTTGAGTTGCATCCTGGTGAGAAGGAGTGTAAGGAGAAGTGAGACCGCCAGGGAAAAGTCACTGCATCTCCGTCTCGCTCACCCCCCCCCTTGGTGTCTGTGTCTGCTGTGTGTCTGGTGAGCTGGGAGTAGACACTGCAGTGCTCTGCCTGCTCTCTGTCTGGCAGTGACTGGGATTCAGTACTGTGGCTCCTGTGAGGCCTCCTCTTCCTGACAGAGACAGATACTGGCTCAGCCTCACATCTCCCCAGGAGACAGCTGCTCCCTGCTCTCCTCACCCTCCTCCTCCTCGTCCTCGTCTCCCCCATCTCCCTTTGCCTCCTTTTCTTCCCCCAGCTCCCGACAGCTTCTCCTCTCCTCTCTCTGCCAGTGTTGACTGTAGAGACAACACTCCTCACTTTGCACCTTGCTGATTTTTGCTTGTTTGAAGCTTTTTTCTTCTCGCCCCTCTTCCTCTTTCCCAGCTTGTGTTTCTTTGTGCTGGCTTTCCTCTTTTTGCGTGACACTTCTGAGACACCCACATAGGGCTGTGGAACGTTGGCACACTTGCACATTGTCTCACTCCCACACTCACACCTGGACGGGCTGATGCACATCCCCTGTGTGCCAGGCTGGATGACAGACTCTGATTTACAGCTCAGGGCTGTGGTGGCTTTCTCCCTGATCCCTTTCGCACCCCCTAATCTGCCACCCAGAGGATTCTGGGAGTTTGTGTCAGAGCTGTCACTATGAGTGGGGTCAAATGGATGGGAGGCTGCCCTTACACAATTCTCCATACTTAGCGTGCATCTTCCTATTTCTGGTCTTGTTTCTGATGATGAAAGGTTTTTGTTCTTTAGGAACAGGTGTGCTTCTGTCTCTATATCGATATGTTGCTCTGCCTTGAAATTCTCCTCAGCTTTTTCCTGTCTGTGTGCTCTCAGATCTTGTCTTGTCTGTCTTTGTAAACAGGAATGAGCTTCTGGTGTAAGAATAGCTGGCACACGTGGATTTGATTCATCTGAGAGAGCACACAACTGATTTTTTTGTGACTCCTGCAAATCCTCAATGAGCTGCTCTGGTCGATGGGAGTTCAAGCAGAGTGGGTTGCAGCTGTAGCAGATGTGTGGTTGACACTTGGTGAACTTAAGCAAATTAACAGGCCATCTCAGATAGGTAGAGCCATCTTTCCCCAGCACACACATATACTGACTCCCCTCCCTACCCCCCTCTGTTTCTTTCTTTATTTCTGTTTCTCGCTTTCTCTCTGTCTCGCTATCTGTGTATTCGGTGTCCATGTGTGCCCCTGCTAGTGCTGTGCCCCATATAGTCACCTGGGTCTGTGATGGCAAGAATAGTGTATCTTGGCTCAGATTAACAGGTGCTGCTTTGGAAATAGGAGAGGGTTCTTTCAATATGTCTGTTTTTTCAATCTGCTCCTCTTCTTTGGCAGTCTCTGTGAGGATTGGCCCCATGTCACTTGGTCCAACACTGTCAGAGCTGGACTTATGATTTTCACCTGCGCCGTTTTTCCTCTCATCTGCTGCCCCAATTTCCCTGTCAATATCTTCCATTATTCCTTTTATCCTTTCTTTCATTTGTTCCCTCTTCTCTCTCTCCTCCTCCTCTAGGTCCGAGAAGACAGAGGCGGAAGGCTCAAGCCGGGGCCCTCTTCGTGAGAAGCAGAAGGACACCCCAAGCCTGCCTCCCACTCTCCCCCGCCCAGGGAGAGGCAGCTGGGGATACAAGCCCAGACAAGACTGAGGGTTCACTGCAGGAGGGTCTGTATTGGATACCGGATGTGTGATTAGTGGGGACTCTGCTAGAGCAGTGGCCAGCTGTATTTGGGAAGGAAATTGGCATGGATCTTGTGGCTGGTGGCTGAGAGGAGCTGTCCTGGGTTGCGTAGGAGGGGGTCTCTGAGTGTGGTTGAAGAGTTTAGGTTTGTCCTCAGGGCTGTGGTCTCTTTGGTGTCTATCTTGCTGCTGGCTCACAGCCCTGACTGCGCTTCTTAGTCCATAAGTTCTTCCTGGGACTCTGCAACAGAAGGTAATAGACATATTCTTGATTTTAGTTGATTTAACTTGACTTCACTTAAGCTTGGCTTGTTTTGATTTAATTCAGCTTTAAATTGATTTATGATAGCAAAGCATCATGAATGATGAATGTGTATAAAATATGCCTGAGTAGCACAGATAGACTGCAGAGATTGTTAAGGTTATTTTAATAATACAATAATTATGCTGTTGAGAGAGAAACAAAGAAAGAAGACAGATAGAAAAAAACAAAGTAAGAATGCTGACGCATGATATTGGTAGTCATAGTATGTTGTTCACATATCATCACCTGATTATAGGAAAACACATTTAATTGCACAGGGAATAGGTGCAATCAAGTTGATTATTGTGTGATGTATTGTTTTTTTAATCAGTTGTTTTGATTGCTTTAGGTGTGCGAACCTGGAGGCAAGTTTTCATCTTTCAACTTGTTTCACTCATTTTATTTACTTAAAAAAAAAAAAAAAAACTTTTTATGCTACAATTCATTCTTCTCTAAATCACAATCTCCCCCTCCTACAAAGCATTTTCTCTCAGACTGTCAGCAAGAATGTGTCTGCATTTTATGTTTACTTCACCTGTGGCCTATCAAGGAAAACTGAGTGCTCTCACATCTGTGGATGCATCCATCACATCTAAAAAACGTTGACTGGATGTGACACACTCTAACCCCTCTGGACTCCTGCCCCTGGTCCCATCTCACGCACACACAAACACAGACAGACAGACAGACAGACAGACAGACAGACAGACACACACAGACACAGACACAGACACATACACATACAAATACACACTCCTCCCACTCACCGCTGAGTATCCTGTTGCAGCTGTGCAAGCTGGTGCAGGCGTCTGAGAGCCTTCTCCTGTTTGCGCTGGTCCTTCCATGATTTTGAGGCCACATTGCGAGCAAACTCCCTGTGCTTGAGTTCCTTCAGCCTCTGCAGAAAATAAAAATTAAGGGGGATAGAGGGACGGACAGAAAGAGTACACAACAGTGGGACAAAGAGGGGAGCAGAGAGAGTACAAGATTAGTTTTAGGAAGCTCTCTGCAGGCAGCTTTCTTTCATTCAGCAGTGTTTGCAGATGTTCTCCTCCAAAGCTCATGTCCAATTAACTCCATTCAGCCTGGAAGAAAGCGTCTTTCCTCCAACACACAGCTTGAGAGCAAACACAACCCAACTGGTGAATACCAGATTACAGACACAGTTGAGATGACTGACATGAGTAATTTAATGATTTAATGATGATGACGCTCTTGCCACAGAGATTTCTAAAATGTTCAACCCTTCGTAAGTCATCACAGCTTGGTCTGAGAGAACGTCTGATCCAATGACATCTGCTTTTGAGCTGGAGTATACCAAAGCCATTGATTTGCTGATGCTGAAATTCCACGTTACCAAAACACAATGGCACGGCTACTTATCAGTGGCAAACTTTCCATGGGAGACATCGTGAAGGCCAGAGATTTAATTTGGAAAAATGCTAGATCTATCTGTGTGCATGTGTGTACATGATTGCAAGAAACATAACCTTTTAACATATAACTGCTCTACAGTGAGAGTGATTTAATTTTTTTGTAAAATGGTGGGCCTTCACTTGCAGAAAAATTACAATTAGCTCTGTTTTGCGTTTTGAGTGCACGTATGTATTTGTGTGAAACCGTGTGTCTATAGCCATAGGTGTGCCAGTCCACCCAGGGAAACAATGATTCATGCTTCTCTCTCCTGTTTCCTTTTCTGACACACTTTAATCCCTCCTTTATCCATGCTCGGCAGGTGTGTGTGTGTGTGTGTGTGTGTATGCATGTTGGTGTCTTTCTTTTTGTCTGTGTGTGTCTGAAGGCTAAGAAGGGACTAAGAAGTTTGGGAATAGCTGCAGTATTGTGCACTATTATCCCTCCTATCTTCTGTCTTCTTCTCTCTCGCTTCCAAGTATATTTTAGCTACCTCACAATCTGCAATCTAGCCATGGTTTATACATTCAGGATTTGTTGTTTATTGTATATATTGGTATAAGTTTCAACAGGATTACACCACTCTCACTTTTAGATTATGTTACGCTATTATCCCCCTATACAGTATGTATCACATACACATGCACACATCAGATAAGCCCCTCAGACATCAGATTTATTTATACACTCACTCTCTTTCACACCCAGATCTTATGCAGTAGCTGACAGTCATCAGGTTAATCTCTGCTGAGTCTTACACAATCGTGTGTCTTTTTACATTATCGCTCAGTGCTTCACATTTCACTGTCAGCTCATTGAAGACAGCATTAAGTATGTGCTTAGGGAGCAGCACTTGTAGGTTTGTATCCTTTAAACATACATACATGTCTTACAGTACAGGTGCTTGTGCATTGTAGATGTGTGTGATCATACACGTGTGTGTATGTGTGTGTGTGTGTGTGTGTGTGTAGTAAGGAACTTTGAGGCACTTTGGTGCCAAACTCATTTTATGGGAAATATTAATCATGTTCAAGCAGAGAGGCATGCATAATGAACTGCTGCGGACAGAGTCAGGAAAGAGGAGGAAGAAAAGATCAGAGTCGTTATAATAGATGGAATATATGAAGATGAATACTTCCTCCTTCCTCTTGCATTTGCACTCTGCCAGGTTATTGTTCTCTCTTAAAAACAGGTCCCACTGCAAGCAAACCTGTAGCTATATTTAGAGCCAAACAGAATATTACACGCAGAACCATTTTCACTGAGCACACAGGGCAGAGATATTTCCGTTTCCCACTTTAAAGCGAATACTTTTGTCTTCAAAGATGATGTCATGTCCCCTACAGCGGGAAGTGATGTTGCTCCTGCTCTCCAACATGCCAGTCTAGCTATGTGCTGTGAAGCTCAATCCGTCTGTCAAAGCCTTGATCAATATTCCTTTAGATGTGTTAAGGAGTGCTCAGGCTGAGGCAACTATGGATGAGTCAGAGTTGATTCATATCCACTAGGGCCTTAGAATGAGGGATCATGTATTCTTAGGTAGCATGTGACGGGGCATGCTAATGGGCTGATTGCTCTTTTTATTTAAAAAGGAGTGTAATTCTGTTATAATGAGCAATTTCTGTAATCGGCAGTAAATGTTGATAAAGCGCTGTATTCAGAAATGTTATCCGTAAATCGATGACAAGGAAAGGACACATAAACGCAATCAGCGGTCTTCAGCTAGAATTTCATCTCTTGTCTGTTGGGCAGGCAGTGTGCATGCTTGCCTGTATGTGTCTGTGTGTTCCTACAATGCCAGTGGCTACTGTCATGCCTCATGCAGTTTATTTCATGTTCCTGCCGCTGGCTAAAACAAAGCATTAACATTGGCCTGCAGTTGCTTCAATTCATTTACAAAGAACAATGACAGTGAAGGAGCAGTCTTATTTAATGTTTATTTCATGTTGCACAGTGTGGGCGTTCAGAAGCGGCTTGGCTTGGTTGAGAGATCGCCTGTGTTAGAGAGGATGAGTGTGTACACAGTAAGTGCATGTCTGTAAGTTTTTGTATGTGAATTTATGTTTTGGCATGACAGCACATAGCTGTAGGAGAACTTGCTATCAACAGAACCTTCAGTTTGTTAGTCCAGAGTGGAGGTTGTGTATGAGAATGGATGTGAAAGCAGAACGCAGGAGGAAACCTGCTGCCGGGCCTTTTACTACTGGTCCACTGGCCTCATCTTGTCCAAACTGGAATAATGGAATCATACTTGAGCTGTGACTAATAGCTCCATGTTTTATTTGTTACAGAATATTCATTTTTATTGTAAAATTGAAGAATAAAGTGAATTTTGTAGCAGCATCCTTATGTACCAGGTACATACAAATAAACTGCTCTAAATTTTAACCTAGAGAAGGAATTATGAAAAATTTGGGACTTGGAGAATAAAACATTTAAAAACATTCAAACATGGTAAAATTGTCAAGTCAAGTCAAAGTTTATTACAACCCGATATCAGAAAGTATGTTTCAAAGGACTGTACATAAAATAAAAGAAGATTTAGAAAAATTTGCTAAATATTTAAGAATGTATAAAAGTGAGTGAAATTACATATAAAACATTAAAAACAAAATATTTGAAATATTATTATATTTTATATAGAAAGTGAGGTAAAATACAACAATACACAATATTCACATAAGACTCCTGTACATTTATACCTGGAAACAGAAACATATACAAAAATGTACATAACCATGCTCACATAAAACTGAATATAAGCTGGGTTGCCATAATTTAATACTTAGGGCAGACTAAATAAGGTTGAAGGCCGATGTGAATAGATAGTTTTGAGTTTACTTTTGAATGAGTCAACCAAGCATTTTGTTACCTTCAAGCCAGAGCAGGTATATGCCGAGTAACTAGAGGTGATAAGTAGTTAAAAATTGAATTTTGAAATCAGATAGCATGTACAGGGAGCCAATGTAATGAAATAAGAAATACAATTGATTTTCATGTGCTCTATATCAGTGTTGGCAGTACTTTTTACGCAGCATTATCCCCTCCAAATCCCAAAGAAGGCTATTTTAATTATTTGAGTTTTACTACAGCTCAGTTCTAACCTCAGAGGTCTAACCGGCCCCAAACATCGCTATCTAGGATAACACACTTTATGTATCTTTGTCTGTGAATTTAATTTACTTTTAAGCAAGCAAAAGGAACATACAGTCCCCTCCAAAAGTATTGGAACGGTAAGGCAAATTCCTTCGTTTTTGTTGTTCACTGAAGACATTTGGGTTTAAGATCAAAAGATGAGTATGAGACAAGAGTTCAGAATTTCAGCTTTCATTTCCTGGTATTCACATCTAGATGTGTTAAACAACTTAAGCATTATAACCGTTTGTATTAGACCATAGCATTCTTAGGTGAGCTAAAGTAATGGAACAAATAATCTTAAAGTAAAAAACATATAATAATATTTGGTGGCATAACCCTTGCTTGCAATAACTGCCTCAAGCCTGCGACCCATCGACATCACCAAACTGTTGCATTCTTTCATTTGTGATGCTATTCCAGGCTTTTACCCCCGCTTTTTTCAGTTCTTGTTTGTTTCGGGGTGTTTCTCCCTTCAGTCTCCTCTTAAGGAGGTGAAATGCATGCTCTATTGGGTTAAGGTCAGGTGATTGGCCAGTCTAAAACCTTCCACTTTTTTCCCCTGATGAAGTCCTTTGTTTTGTTGGCAGTGTGCTTTGGGTCATTGTCCTGCTGCATGATAAATTTCCTCTTGATTAGTTTCAATGCATTTCTCCGTAAATTGGCAGTCAAAATGTTTCTGTCCACTTCTGAATTCATTCTGCTGCTACCATCATCAGTTACATCATCAATAAATATTAAGGAGCCTGTTCCTGAAGCAGCCGTGCAGGCCCAAGCCATGACATTACCTCCACCATGCTTCACAGATAAGCTTGTATGCTTCGGATCATAAGCAGTTCCTTTCTTTCTTCACACTTTGGCCTTTCCATCACTTTGGTAGAGATTAATCTTGGTCTCATCAGTCCATAAGATTGTGTTTCAGAACTTTTATGGCTCATCTCTGTACTTCTTTGCAAATTTAAATCTGGCCTTCTGATTCTTTCTGATGAGTGGTTTGCATCTTGTGGTGTGGCCTCTATATTTCTGCTCTCTGAGTCTTCTTTGAACAGTGAATTGTGATACCTTCACTCCTGCACTGTGGAGGTCGTTGGTGATGTCACTTACTGATGTTTTGGGGGTTTTCTTCACAGCTCTCATGATATTTCTGTCATCAACTACTGTTGTTTTCCTTGGCCGACCTGTTGGACGTCTGTTGCTCAGTACACCAGTAGTTTCTTTCTTTTTCAGGACATTCCAAATTGTTGTGCTTGCTATGCCCAATGTTTGTCCACTGGCTCTGGTTGATTTTCCTTCTTTTCTCAGCTTGACAATGGCTTGATTTTCTCCCATAGACAGCTCTCTGGTCTTCATGTTGGTTTTATCCTCTTTAACAGGAAATGCAGTCTTTATAGGTTGAACCAAGGATAAAAACTTAGACTAGTCATGCAGAGCTATTTAATGTTTGGACAATCAACCTAAAAGGCAACACCTGGGCAACAAAAAACATCTGTCAGTCACATGTTCCAATAGTTCTGCTCACTTGAAAAATGGGTGGGTTCAAACAAAGGGTGGTATGTCCTGAGTTGTTTAACACATCCAGATGTGAATACCACAAAATGAGAGCTGATATTCTGAACTCTTGCCTCATGATCTTAAACCCAAATGTCTTCAGTGAACAACAAAAACAAAGGAATTTGCCTTACCGTTCCAATACTTTTGGAGGGGACTGTATATTTTTTCATGCATATGCAGTCCATACAACATTTTCTCATTTGGTGTAATAGCAATGCTTTTTGATAATTTATCACTTAAGTACTGTTATACATATTGGGTTTTAATATTTTAATATATGTTATAAGAATAAAAGATTAAAAATTATTCTACTCACAGCAGCTGGGTCTGTGGAAGCCCAAAACAAAATCAAATGATGAATGAATGAAAGATATATATAGTGTAGTACATCCATTAAAATTTTATGCTTGACATTAAACTATACATAATAAAGACTCATTTTATGTAGTTTTTTTCTCTCACATTTCCGCATAAGATTAATGCAGTTAATCTTATCAAAATGGAAATCTAAATTATAAATACAGTGTTGTGTGTGAGTATATACACTGTATGTTTTGTGTGTGTGTGTATCTACCTCGAGTTGAGGTGTTCCACCACTGTGTGTGGGCTTGTAAGAGATGACGCAGTTGTCACACTCCTACTGTTACCTGCTTAGAAACTGTACCCAATGGGCAGATTGATATGGAAATGTAAAATAGCTTTCCATCAACACATATACTGCTAACACACCCAAATTCCATGACAGGAGATCATAAAAAATGTCAGCTTGTTTGTCTGCTTGTGTGGTGTTATGTATGTGTGTGTGTGTGTGTAGCTGTAGTGTGAGTGCATCCCATGTACCTGTTTGTGTGCATGGTCGTAGGAGTTGATGTGGTTGTCAAACTCCTGGTGTCTGAGGTACTGCTTGTGACACAGCTCACAATAGAAAAGAGCCTTCAGATCCTCCACTGAGCAGCCCAAAGCCCTCTCTGCACGCTCCTGGAGAAAGAGAGACACGGAGAGAATGAGTGAGACCGTTGGAGGGAATGGGGGAGACAAATAATAGAAAGTCAAGATGGAGGCATAAACAGGCAGACATTAAGGGTTAGGGGTGCAGAGATAGAAAGCAAGAGAAGTGGGGGGAGGAGGGTTAGAAGAATGGCAGATTGTTATCCATTTAGAGCAAATCTGCATCCCGGAGACATCAGCAGTAATAGCCTCTACATGTGCTCTGCATAAAACTGTTAAACGTCTTCCCATTAAAGTACGCTGCCTAGCTGCTGCTGCTGCTGGAGGTTGGGCAAAGGCACTGAAGCCCTGTGCTCATGGCAACTTGCGCCTGGGGACACATTTAATACAGCCACTATAATAAAACCCTACGTATGTACTGTAATGGCAATGACAAAAACTGAGCAAAACGATGCGCAACAGACTTTTGTACATTGGTATAATACTGCATGTGAAGAGGAGAAAGTTTGAAACAAATACACACACACACACACACATATAAAGGCATGTAAATAGCACGTGGACAGGCAGCTACACATACACATGCACTGCGCAAATGGCACATGGACCTCAGGGGATAAATCGCTTGTCTGCATGCTCACATCAGCCAGAGGGCTTCTTATTTTGGTCTGAGGACATGCACAGTGTTGTGTAGAATCGGTGTGCTTGCTTTTGAATGTGTGTGTGTGTGCACGTGTGTGTGTGTTCAGGGGTGTGTGTGCATTCATGCCCTGCTCTGCTTCAGAATGTAATTTCCCTCAGGCTGGGGGCTGCCAATAAACACTATTGAATTCTGTTCTACACTGACATGATGGGAATTTAATTTGAGGTTGTCACTTCTTTCTCTCCTTCTCTGCTTCTTTCCTTCCTTCCGTCCATCCACCCCCCTCCCCCCTCTGTCTCCCTCTCTTTGCTAACTCTTGTGCTGTCCCAGATTTTTTTTCCTCCTCCTCCAACTCACTCTTTTTCTCCTTTCCTTTATCTCCCCTTTTATCCCCTTTATTTGCCTTTTTCTCTCTTTCTGGCTGGCTCCTTTTCTGTTTGGTGAGCCCTGGGTCATGCAGTGACAGAGTCTATTGGCCCCAATTTGCTTCAGTAATATGCCTGCACACAGGAACAGAGGTGAGAGGAAGAGTGAGAGAGAGGACAGGAATGCAGGCAACAGGAAAAATGACCTCTGCCTGCCCCCGTAGACACACACACACACACACAAGCATAAACACCTCAGCATCATTGATACCACCGAGTCTAACAATCCCTGTTGTACTTGCCATCAGTTTTCACACATATAAATGCTCTGGGAACGGATAACTGCACACACACATCTACACATACAGGGAATAAACTGTCCTTTCTCAGGCCAGTTTCGTCATAATGGATGAAGAAGAGTGTAGGCTACAGAACGACCAGGCTGATAGGACTCTGAAAATCAACAGAAAGGTAACTAATATACATCGATCCTGTTGATCTGTGTGTGTGTGTGCGTCATGGTATTGATCCGTCTTGCAGGCTTAAGCCACGACCAGGAAATGATCCAATCACCCAGAGCAGCCTTCCTTTGAGTGATGCTGGGGTAATGAGATTGAGATAATGAATGCTGCGTATTTGTCAACCTTTGGTCTTATGCAAGATTACATAGGAGCAGTCTAAGTGTATGCTTTTGTATACTCATTGCACAGTATGTGTGTACATGTAGATATTTCTGTGCGTGCTTACCTTTGTACCCCCTACCCCTTTCTTTTTTTTCTCACCCCTCTGCATTCTGCCAGGATTATTATTCTGCAAAGAAGAATATGTATGGAAAATGGGGTGTATGTACATTAGAAAAGGTGTGCGTGTGTTTGTGTGTGAGCGTGTGTGCGGATGTGTGTGTGTGTGTGTGATTTGTTTGTTTGTTTATGTTGTAGGCATCCTCACATGCCATTCCAATTTACCTGCTGTGTGCTAAAATCAAACATGAGAGCTTTGATTTGCCTTAAAAGTATACACCTCCTATGATTTCTACAATCATGCACTGACACAGAATGCATATACATGCTCGCAGAATTACATCTAGACATCCAGAACATCCACGCAAACACTTATGCATGCACAGTCACACGCGTGCTGTCAAACTGATATACCACTGCTAAATTAATCTAGACCTCAATTTACCTCACAAGCATAAATCAGTTCACAGAGAAAGCACAATTGATATCTGCAGACCTGAATGGACAGTGATTGTTTGTATGATTATGTGTGTGAGTGTTTGAGCGAGGCTGAATGTGAGTATGTCAATGCTTGTTCTTTTCTCTTTTGTAATGTTATCCTTCTTCATAGCTGAAATCACACCACAAATAAGAGTTTCAGATACACACGCATGTAATTCTCTGTCTTGATCTTAAAGTGTTTTACATACGGGGTCTGTCAGTGTTTGAAAATGTGTGCTATGGAAACTTATGATATACGATACATTCATAATACTACAGTAAGAAAAGTCTCTTGAGGAACCTCAAGTTCTGCAAATTGAAGCTGTGGCAGGACCTTTCTGATGCATTCACCCTGTCACACCGATATAAACTGACCTCTTGGTTGATAACATATAAAATCAAATATGTAATCCTTATTAGTTGTCAGCATACTTAGCAGAGGCTTATGAAAAATAAACATAACCAAATGTTTATCATATGGTGAGCTTGACCTTCAAGACTGCTGATCTGCACAGAAAATCAGATATCCATTAGATAACTTATCACTATTATAATTTAACGCTTTCTAACACCTAAACTGTAAGCTGACCGCAGGTGGAGCCTTGTCAAGGACAGAGAGAGGCTGGATGTATATGTGAGGGCAGGTTTATATTTTTTAGATGTTTCTTTTTCACTTCTTGTTGAAGGCAGTTACAGCTCACTCATTCAAATTTCTCTCACAGCAAATCATTTCACAACAAGAAAACTACGCAACACAAAAATAATTCCTTTAAAAATTCCTTTAAAAAGAGATAGAGCACAGGCTTTTTGTATACTTCTGTAATTATGGCTTTAGATACACAGTATGTGTAATACATACTGTATGTGACATCCACTTGAAGCAAGGTTAGTAGTCAAACATTTTGTGTCAACAGAATACATGTTAATGGTTGCTTGTTGATTTAAGTGGTTGTGATTTTTTAAAACAGAAAATCAAATATGGTAAAAAACTGTGAATCAAGCTCAGTTTAATTCTCAGACTGATGAAGATAGTGGGAAATAACCAGAAGGCTTTTAATGGGACTGAATTATGTTTTAACATTTAATCATTCAATCATCAAGCATTAAAATAAAGAATTAAAACAGTGTTCAGTCATCTACAGTACTTGAGCAAAATTGTTTCACTTGTCTCACTGGTCACTTTCTTGCTGGTTGTAATTAAATATTGAACAGCATTTTCATGGATGGCTGGACCTCGAGAGAGTGTAAGGGAGGACTTGTGATGCTAACAGACATTACAGTGCAGTCACTCTGACACAGCACTTTGAGAGCATTTTGCTTCCATAATTTGATGCATTTCATTTTAAAACAGGATGTTTAGATGGGACACAATGCAGGGAGAGATCATTAAAATAGGCTTAAACAAATGGGATGTGAAAATGCCAGTTTCACTTGATGAGATAATATTTAGATACATAAAGTATGAGATGTTGATGTAGAAATGCTGCAATGCTTTTGTTTTTATTGTTAAGTAGGTGTGGAGAATTTGATAAAGTAGCTTTTTATCAGTATGTGTGGATAAGTGAACATAATTAGACTTGAATACTATGTAGAAGAGAGTGAATTATCAGTGCCCCCTCAGACTTACTAAATACTGTATGTTGGCGTGGACATACAGAGATGAAACTGATCACATGTGATAATTGTTAACAGCATTTCAACACAAGTTTTAATTGCAATCTTGGTTCAGCATGAAATTGAAAACATATCCAAACTTGCAAAAAAATAGGTCAAAATAGCACTCAGCATGCATAATAAATCCACGAAGAGAAGGAAAGAGAGCCCTGTAACAACATAGCTTGTGGTAGCAGATTCTCTCTGTTCAAATATATTAACTTCTACTGAAGGGAACGTCCACTGTAGGGGGTAGAAAAAGTAAGAACTTCATGAAGATGGCTTACTTTGAGGAAACAATAGTCTGTTGTGTATCATTTTAAGATTGTTTTTTCTTTCAACTTTGCTTCTTTACAGCTCTGTTAATTGACTCATGTTGCTATGAAACCTATTAAGTAGAAGTATTGATTACTTTATTAGTATTGACAAAAAGTGGTGAACCACAATAACATGATGTACCTATAATTCACATAATTTTATTATCACCTGTATTTACTGTATTTTAATCTACCGTTTCATATTTTGCGACTAATAAAGAAATATAAAACTATGAAACATGAAAATGAGCAATAAATACTTCTATACAGACTTTCAGGAATTTCACAGTGTTGCTTTTCACAAAGCAACATTTGGAGAATCCACGACAAGATCTCTCAAAAACATCAAGGCCACCTGCCTATTTGAAGATTAAATTAATCTTGGAAAGTGTGGTATCTAATGGGTGAAGTATTTCCCTCTTCTGGCTCAAGAACTGTCACTCTCTTTTCACATGGAGGGGAGATGAGAAGAAAAGGGAAGAGAAGCGTGACACAGGGACAAACTGTGAATAGGAGACGTTTATGAATTCAGAGAACTTCTAATTGCTACTGTGCCTTGTGAGAACAATTCAATAAACAATTCATAACTGTTTATCAAGCCCAATTAAGTCTTTAATTATCTCCAGCTATAATTATCACCCTAACTTGGCCACTGTAATGAATAGAAACAATTCCACTTGTGGTTAAAAAAAAAAGAAAATCTGCCACGCGCCCCCCCCCCCCCGTACATTTACATGTATTGGCTGCTCTGTTCTGTCCGTCGTCTGTCTCTAAATTGTTCCTGTGATCCTCTCTCTCAGACACACGTGCGCTCGCACATGCACAAGTGGAC